GCTCAAACTGACAAAGCAATTTGTGCAAATGATCTTAAATCAATAAAACATGACAAAAAATTTATATAACATGATTTCAAAGATACAGTGAATTTATGAAGCAACCTAGTGCAAAAGTAGCTACTATTTAACATTTTCGACTGCAAATATGCCAGAACTTCACAGAAATTGCTTAAACTGACAAAGCAATTTGTGCAAATGATCTTAAATCAATAAAACATGACAAAAAATTTATATAACATAATTTCAAAGATACAGTGAATTTATGAAGCAACCTAGTGCAAAAGTAGCTTCTTTTTAACATTATCGACTGCAAATCTGCCAGGACTTCACAGAAATTGCTCAAACTGACAAAGCAATTCGTGCAAATGATTTTAAATCAATAAAACATGACAAAAAATTTATATAACATAATTTCAAAGATACAGTGAATTTATGAAGCAACCTAGTGCAAAAGTAGCTTCTTTTTAACATTTTCGACTTCAAATATGCCAGAACTTCACAGAAATTGCTCAAACTGACAAAGCAATTTGTGCAAATGATCTTAAATCAATAAAACATGACAAAAATTTTGTTTAACATGATTTCAAAGATACAGTGAATTTATGAAGCAACCTAGTGCAAAAGTAGCTACTATTTAACATTTTCGACTGCAAATATGCCAGAACTTCACACAAATTGCTCAAACTGACAAAGCAATTTGTGCAAATGATCTTAAATCAATAAAACATGACAAAAAATTTGTTTAACATGATTTCAAAGATACAGTGAATTTATGAAGCAACCTAGTGCAAAAGTAACTACTATTTAACATTTTCGACTGCAAATCTGACAGGACTTCACAGAAATTGCTCAAACTGACAAAGCAATTTGTGCAAATGATCTTTAATCAATAAAACATGACAAAAATTTTGTTTAACATGATTTCAAAGATACAGTGAATTTATGAAGCAACCTAGTGCAAAAGTAACTACTATTTAACATTTTCGACTGCAAATCTGACAGGACTTCACAGAAATTGCTCAAACTGACAAAGCAATTTGTGCAAATGATCTTTAATCAATAAAACATGACAAAAATTTTGTTTAACATGATTTCAAAGATACAGTGAATTTATGAAGCAACCTAGTGCAAAAGTAGCTACTATTTAACATTTTCGACTGCAAATCTGCCAGGACTTCACAGAAATTGCTTAAACTGACAAAGCAATTCGTGCAAATGATTTTAAATCAATAAAACATGACAAAAAATTTATATAACATGATTTCAAAGATACAGTGAATTTATGAAGCAACCTAGTGCAAAAGTAGCTTCTTTTTAACATTTTCGACTTCAAATATGCAATATGAAATATGAAGTGCATCTGGCAGACTTGAGAATTCTGCAGAATTTTGGAACACAGTTGTGCAGAATAGTTCTGCAAAATTCTCCAGAATTCTGGAGGATTATTTATCAGAATTCTGGAGAATTTTTTGAAAAATGTCACGCGACACATTCGCAACATAATTTCAGAAAACAGAATTTTTTAACAGAATTCTGGAGAATTCTGGACAAATAATTCTGGAAAATTCTGCAATAGTTTATATATAAATTGTCAAAAACACCCTTTACTATTTAGCATTAGCTATTTAGCTACAACTGTAGATTACAGATGAACTTACTTCGTTACTTAAAAATCAAATTACAGCTGTAATTTCCAGATGGTGTTTATAGCTTAGCTGCTGAGCAGTACTAACAGTTGATGAAATTTTTCGTAAATTCCACTGGTTTTGACTATGACATTTCCTTTTACAAAAAGATTGAATAGCAAACGAGGAACAGTAGCATGTAAAAGTTTGAAAACGATTGGTAATTAATAACTTTAAATGCTTTCTAGCACGAATTCAATGAGTCGTTATGTATAAACATAAAATTAGCATTATATTTTTTATTTGAATGCAGCATTCAGTTTTTGGTTCTATTCCGAATGACACAAGTCGGTAAATTAATCAGAAATCCAGCATCAACCTGGTGTTTCTTGGCATGGTGCTAGATTTAAATCGAAGCCATTCGTAAGTATTTCCTAGGTTGTTTACTATCATTGTTTAGGTTTTTCTTTCCAGTTTTTATTCTTGTATTATTTTATTTATATTTTAAATGTTAACATCCAGAGTGAAAAATTTGATTTTTATAAAACTGTAAACTCAACTGTAAGTACTGCTCAGCAGCTAAGCTATAAACACCATCTGTAAATTACAGCTTTAATTTGATTTTTACGTAACGAAGGAAGTTCATCTGTAATCTACAGTTGTAGCTAAATAGCTAATGCTAAATAGTATAGGGTGTTTTTGACAATTTATATAAAAACTATTACAGAATTCTCCAGAATTATTTGTCCATAATTCTACAGAATTCTGTTAAAAAATTCTGTTTTCTGAAATTATGTTGCGAATGTGTCGCGTGACATTTTTCAAAAAATTCTCCAGAATTCTGATAAATAATCCTCCAGAATTCTGGAGAATTTTGCAGAATTATTCTGCACAACTGTGTTCCAGAATTCTGCAGAATTCTCGAGTCTGCCAGATGCTCTGGAATCGCCTTATAATGTTAATGTCATGTGTGAAAAAAATGAAGCAACAATCAAGTTAAAGGTTGAGAAAAATGCTCTCATTTTAAAGACTGTTTTTTGCAGATGTCCTGATTATGACCAAATTGTAGGAATTTTAATTGATGAAGGAATTAAGGCATTGCTAGAAAAATGTAAAATGAAGCCTGGTGTTCCATTAAAGCCTATGTTAGCTCAACCGACAAAAGGTGTTCATGAAGTTCTCGAGCGTTTTGACTCGATTGAGTTCACTAGTGAATGGAAGTATGATGGAGAAAGAGCTCAAATTCATATGGACGAGAATGAAGTAATAAGCATTTACAGTAGAAATCAAGAAAATAATACATCAAAATGTCCAGACATAATATCAAGGATATCATTAACAACAAAAGATAGTGTCAAGTCGTTCATATTAGATTGTGAAGCTGTTGCATGGGACCAAGAAAGGAAGCAAATTTTACCATTCCAGGTTCTATCGACTAGAAAACGAAAAGATGCAAATGAAGCTGAAATTAAGGTTCAAGTTTGTGTCTACATGTTTGATTTGCTTTATTTTAATGGAGAATCTCTTGTCGAGAATCCATTTTCCAAAAGACGTGACTTACTTTATGAACATTTCAACGAAGTAGAAGGAGCTTGGAAATTTGCTACCAAATTGGATACCAGCGATATGAATGAATTACATCTTTTCCTAGATGAAGCAGTTAAAGGAAATTGTGAAGGATTAATGGTTAAAACGCTCGACAAGGAAGCAACATACGAAATTGCTAAAAGATCAAGGAACTGGCTTAAACTTAAGAAAGATTATTTGTCTGGTGTTGGCGATTCACTTGATTTAGTCGTTTTAGGTGGCTATAGAGGTAAAGGCAAGCGAACTGGAATGTATGGTGGTTTCTTGTTGGGATGTTATGATCAAGAAAATGATGAATATCAAAGTATCTGTAAAATTGGAACTGGATTTAGTGACGAGGACCTAAAAGCTCATTCCAATTTCTTCAAAGACAACATTATTAAGGAACCTCGGATTAGGATTGAAGCAGTAGCTAGAACAGCGGCTTATAGACTTGCTGTTAACAAGTTATGGATCTATGATTGGATATTTTCAGGACACTTGGAACTTAACAGATTTCTAAGAGGAAATGCACTCTCTATCGCGGAAGCAGATCATCCTATTTGTAGGCACGTTTTTGACAAACCATTTAAAGTTGTCACCTCAGAAGATGAAGTCCAAATGGCAGATGTTATTTGTGTATACACCGATGCATCCAAATCAGAAGATGAAGTCGGGATAGGTGTTTTCAGTAAAGATTTGGAAATTTCATTATCCTTTAGTTTACAGGAACATGCAAGTGTTTTCCAAGCCAGAAGTGCAGGCTATATGTGTAGGTGCAAAGCATATTAGCGATATAAAAGTAAAGGACTGCAAGATTTGCTTCTTTTCTGACAGCAAATCTGCGTTAACAGCACTTGGCAACTGTAACATAAAGTCTAAAACTGTTTATGATTGTATTTCTAGTCTTTCATCTCTTGGATTGGACATTGAAGTTACACTTCATTGGGTACAAGGACATAATGGAAACGTAGGAAATGAAACAGCGAATCAACTTGCTAAAGAAGCGTGTTCTAGAACAGATTACGACGAGACTGTTTATTACGGTTTGGACATCGTAAAACGGGAGATTCGTGAGTGGCTTATCAGGCAACACTTTCGCATATGGTGCTCAGAGAAAGGATCCCTAACAGCTAAAAATCTGCTAGGACTTACCAACAAGAACAGCCTAAATGATGCATTGAAACTGACAAGAAGGGATCTTAGCATCTTAATTGGTGCTTTGACTGGACACATGAGTATCAATAGTTTTCTTGTTAAGCTCAATTTGAGTAACTCTAAATTTTGTAGGTTTTGTAGTTCAGCTGAGGAGACCATGGCACTAATTCTATGTGACTGTAAGTCACTATGTGCTTTTCGCCATAAACACTTCAAGGAGGATGTTGTCAATATAGGTGGCATAAGGAAGCAGCGCTATTTGGACTTAGTGGGATTTATTAAGGACATTGGAATTCTATAGCTGAACCTAAAGGGATGGTACAACAGATCTATGATCGCAGTGCCTTTTCGTGTATAACGAACCCTACATCTAATTCTATCTAAGGAACCTCGTTCATATTATCGTTTTGATTCAAGCTTAACACCTGATGACTGGCTTGATGTCGTTCAAGTTTGGGAAGTTAAATGTGCTGATTTATCATTATCTCCAATTCATAAAGCAGCTAATGGAATCGTTGATCCTGAAAAGGGAATTTCATTAAGATTTCCTCGTTTCATTCGAATCCGAGACGATAAAAAGGTTGAAGATTCGACATCAGCAATGCAAGTTGCAGACATGTATCAGAATCAAGATCAGATCAAAAATCAACAAACACAAAGGGATTCTGAAGAAGATTTATATTGAATAAAAAAAAGACAAGGCTCGATTTATTTCATATTTCAAAAAATTATTTTATTTTAAAAAGATTATCTCCTCAAAAAAATAATAAAAAGCACACATTCATACTTCTTACATACTCAACTTACTCCTGATTTTTATTAATAATTTTACACTCAATCACTCCAATCATAATCATATTTCATTCGCTTAACACGCCTAAATATTAGGATAAAAAAAGATTATTTAAATTAAAATTTGTGTCAATATGAAACAAAAAAAAAAGTTGTAAAAAAGGTTTTCTAAAAACTAAAACTTTTGAACGCATTACATGAAATTTGTTTTGTCTGGAGCATTTTGGTTACGTTGCTGTTGCTGATTCCATGGCTGATTGTTTGGACCCTTTAAAAAAAGAAATCAAAAAATCATTTTAGTCAATTTCATTAAGCTTGTAAATCAATTATCCAAGATGTACAGCAGTATTTAATAAAGAGTACATATACATTTCGGATATAAAGAAGAATAAGGATTATTTATTAATGCATTCATTACTTGGTTGTCATTATTGATAGGATTATTTCCTGTACCACCACCACTATTCTGTTGATTCATCCATGACAAAAAACTATTACTTGAATTATTAAAACCACCCTAAGATTATACAGAGTAGAGAATAATGGATAAGAGGACATGTTAATTAGATCTTACAAAAAGACAACGATTTTAAAACTATTATCGTTATACGATAGCTTACCTGATCATTGTTTCCTTGTCCCTGCATTCCATTTAACAAGCCCCATTGATTAAGGGCTGCTGCAACAATTGCTGGATTCATTGGTAAGTTTAAAGCGTTTAATCCAACTCCTAAAAATACCATTTAAATGTTCAAATAACTTGTTAAGGATATTTAATAGAGTAAATCTAACCTAATGGATTGTTCATATTCCCACCGCTTCCACTTTGATTGCCTGGATTTCCTCCACTATTAATTCCAAGTGCTTGTAAATTTGGCATGTCAAGATTGCCTCGATTATTGTTGTTGCTGCTGCTGTTATTCCCATTGTTTCCACCACTTCCCCATGCATTTCCCCCGCTATTTGGATTATTTGGCATAAAATTTGAGTTCTGTCCACCACCACTGCTCATATTACTACTGCTTCCGTTACTATTTCCACCGCCACTTCCACGTCCCCCAAACTCATTTCGATAATTTGAATCTGAAAAATCTAAACTTTTAAAGAACATCTTCAAGATAAATAAATTCATTTGTCTCACTGTTGTATGGAGCGGAATTTCCAGCATAATTCTGACTGCGACTGTTCATTGAGTTTCCATAATTTTGATTTCTGTTCCCGTCGGCTTTTGGTGCAGCATTAGACACATGAACGGAAACTCCTTTAATGATGTGATCCTCCCCACACAATGATTGAGCAATTTCTGGATCTAAGAATGTGACAAAACTAAATGCACGAAACGGACGTGGAATAAAAACATCTGTGACTTCTCCAAATTTACAAAAATATTCTTTTAGATCCTCTTGTGTCAAGTCCTCTGTGCATCTTCCAACAAACACCTTGCATGGAACTTGCTGAATCTGACCTTCTTTCGAGTTTGGAACTTTTACTTCACACCATCTTGAGTCGATGTGATGCCTTTGTCCTAAGACACGCAATTGTGTCTCATAATTGGAAAACCTGACAAATCCAAAGCCTTTTGATTGACCTTTTGCATCCTTTTTTACTTGTACCATCAGAACTTCGCCAAAAGTTTCAAAATATTCTCTTAATGCCTGCTCATTTGTCTTCCATGCTAATCCGAGAACTATCAAATCCGTGCATTTATTTGTTTGACATTTTGAAACTTTAGATTTTGAGACATTTTCCATAACATCATCGCTCTTTCGCTTATTCTCTGAAACAGAGTCTATTTGAGAAATAAATTTCTATACTTCGACATTAGTTCTTACCTTTTGGAAATACGCAATAGTATACGAGACCATCCCAACCACATCCTGGTGCATGCAACTTTAAGTCATTCAATCTTATTCCACGTATAGCTTTATTTTCGGGATTTCTGTATTTTAAGCCAGTTGCTCCAGGAAATTGTCCTTGTAGGGTTGACAAAAGTAACGTATTGTCATCTGGCTCAAGCGGAAGTTCAATTGGCTCATCACTGTAATCTTCAGCCACTTGAATATATTCCACAGACATATCTAAAATATACAATTTCCATCATTTAGCACACTATTCGTCATACAGACATAATGAACCGCTCTTGGCATTAAAAATCATAAGGACTCATTACATATATCTCATAAAATATTGTCATCAGAATTAAAAATACAAAAAAATCAGTCATACAGAAACTTTATGGAAATCATAATAACTTTGTGTATCAAAATAAAGAACATCATTCATAAGGCATGAGAAAAAGCCAATGCTGTTCACATATTTTCCCCTCAAACTTGTTTATTCGTCTCATTTTCCCCTTCCAGTCACAACCTCTACGAAATTCAGCACCAAAATTCTACCTATTCAAACATTTTATGACTAGCTTTATACGATTAAACTCATTCATTTTAGCAACGGTTAAGCATATAATTAATATCCAGTAAAGTTGATGTTGTATGCAATTATATGAGAAAATGCAGCTTTTAATAATTACGTAGAGACCGGTTACGTATTTTAACATCAAGCTTACGTAAAATCGCTACGTAATTTTGTTATTATCAAAATTTATAGCATTTTTCACACATAAAACTCTAAAGGAACTAATTAGACGCTTTAAGCACACTCATTTCTATGCATTACACTATTATAAAGCTAATCCAGACAGCATTTTGGTGCTGAAAACACAAGTAACCATCACGCATTTTTTTTTTCTTTTTGCTTCCATCTTTGATAAAAATAATTTTCTCCTGCAGAGACACATTATTCCTTAATTTTTTTGTTAACTTATTCATTCACCTTCAGAATTTCCAATCACCAATCTATCAATTATCACTCCTCGCAAATAAATAACAAGCTAGTTACTCAAGTTGTTTAGTCAAATATAATTCACAAAATGTATCAGAATCAATTCAATCATAAACTTCCAGCAAATTCGATCACTTTCTTATCAAGCTTGATATATACAAAGATATTATCTTATTACAATTTCATTTAATCGTTTAAATGATGTTTTTATAGCTTTTTTAATAACTTTAAACTTGTTTTTCTTTTTCGGTAGATTTACACTTTAAATGGGGTTATGAACTAGCTGAAAAAAAAAACATACGTCGACATACACGCCGACAATCGACTATTCTACCGACTTATAAGCATATTATGACATATTAGATAATGTTTATGTTGATTTAATGTTTTAATTTTGTTTTTTTAACGTTCGGTAAAATTTTAAATTTTATGCTTTAATTTGTGCAGAAAAATTTGAAATATCAATTTAATTAATTAATTGTTCACTTCATAAATACTATTATAGTGCACAAAGCATTAATTATCTAATGGCGATCTTAAATCTTTTTAAATTGTTCATTTTTTTTCAATAACATTAGACTGCTTAAAAAGCATAAATTTCAAATTTTAAAATACCGTTGAGATTTTTTTGTTCACATCGTACACGTGTGGAGACTTTAAGCATTTTGCATTCGATCGGTGCCACTTAAAGAAAGAACTGATTAAATTTTGAGGATGTTATAAAACATCCGTTGCTTCAAACAAAGCAAAAAAAATAGAAATTGCTTTCAATATACATGATGTCGACCTCTGGATGTATAAGGATGACATGCAGGGGGATCATTAAAGAAAATTAAAACCAATTTCCTTTAGTTAATTTTCCCCAATTAGTCAAAAAAATTATTTTGCAAAATAATTTTATTATTTTAACGTTTTTAAACATCTAATATGTAAAGGAACAAGCCATAAAGCTGTCTAATCATCTATTTTATTTGTTTAATGAAATTTGCATTTGAAACATTTAAGTTTTCTCCTTGATTTTTGATTCTGGAAAAAATATTAAATTATGCTATTGAAAACATCTAATGGCGATAAAACGTCTTATGTAGCAAGCAGTAATGGAAAAGGGAAAAAATCCAGTGAGTAAACACATCATTAATTGTATCCAAAGAGTCGCAAATTTGGAAGCATATTGTATCGCAAATTTTTTTCTTCATCTTTTGTTTTGACAATAATAATAAATATAGATATATAGAGCTAGGAATTGAAAATATATGTAGCAACAAGAATGAATTATTCAGATTGCGGTATTATATAAGAAAAATCATGTTGTGAATATAGACAAAAACAAACTATGGGAAGACGATATTTGGCAGAAATACGCACACAAACTTTTCAATCTGCCTTTTATTCGGCTATCATAAAGCTTTCTTCATTATTTAATTTATTTGTATGTTGATTCATGCAATTATCTTTCATTATTGATACGATGATGTTTTCTTAAGCGTCTCTTTTCTTATTTCTTATTTTTTTATTTGTCTTCTTCTGACTTCCTTCTCTCGAGAACAATCCGTTCTATACGACTCTTGTGTGACTTTCTCGCGTGACATTCTAAATTAAAATTAAAAACTTTTTTTTTGATGAGCATAAAATTCAAATTCTGAAAAGTTGTTAAATTTTTAAAAAAAATCTTATTTCACAGTCTCGTCAAGAATTCACCGAAAAACGTTGAGAATTGCCACTAAGCCATCGTCTGGAAAAAGAGTTCATGTAGGAAAGAGAATATCACTTGGCAAAAATCAGAAAGTGAGTTCAATCAGCTGTGCCTTAATGTTTATTAAATAATTGTAATTGATTTCTAATGAATGCAATCTTGTAGAATTTTAATGCTTCACTTCCACCAACGACATCGTCATTGTGCGATAATTCAAACGATTCAGGCTTAGGCTTTGATCATCACGAATCTCAGCATATTATTCAGCAACTACATTCAATAAACGGTAGTGGAAATTCGCAAAATATGGCCTTAACAACAGCTGCAAACAATATTAACAGCAGTGCTAACTATCAACGATCAATGAATACTATCAGGTATGTTAAAACGCTTATCACATATTCTTATCTCTCTTCCTTCATATCTCACTCATAAATCAAGTCAACCGCATGCTAAGAATTGCATTTTGAAAAATTTGAACGAATGCTGCTGTCTGAAGACAAAAAAAAATTAACTCATTATTTTCTTTTTATCATTCCTGCATTAAAATCTTGTGTGTTGATTTATTTTCATTTTATTTAATGCTGCCTTACTTATCAATGTTTGTTTTAATACTATGATAACAACGTCTTTATGGCTATTAAAATGAAAAATTAAAAAAAAATTATGAAAATCAATCATCAACATACATGTCATGCACAACATTAGGTATGGAGAAATCACTCAGGCAAATTATGCTTCAAACACGCCGAGTCCCACGTCGCCAACATCATCATCATTTGTTCGGCAAAATTCTGAGACAAGTAAGAATAAGCATTGCATACAATTGGGAGCAGGCAAGAAAATTAAGAGCGTTATTAAAAAGCCATTTATGCCTGTCAAAAATACTAATCATTTGACCTTGAAAAATGAAACTGAAGATACTTGTGGCGATGATTTCTTTTCAACGCATGTTCAGAAAAACATTATGAACAAGTAAGAAGTCCTATATCTATTAATCATCCATGATTTACATTAAATTTCACATTCTTTATGACAAATTTGCATTTTTCTGGTCTTTGAAGTGAAATTGATTGTATTATTTTTTGTTACTTCTCTTTTTCCTCTCTTTAAATGACATGACTCAAGTCTCTCTTCCTTTTCTCTTTCTCATTAATTAGTACGATCTCATCGCCGACAAATTTGACATATTCATCTGTCACGAGTCCTTCGGAAAGGAATTCATCAAGTTCTTCTCCTTCCTCGAATCGCTCGTCTCCAGAAATAACTAATAATTTACAATTGTCTAATAATACTGAAACATCCGATACTCCTGAAGAAGTGCATTCAACATCGACATCATCTTTGTCCTCCTTACAAAATCAAAATCATTCGTCAGTTTCAAGTGATGAGAAAATACAATTGCAAATTATAACACAGCCTGAACAACAGCATCGAGCACGATATCAGACAGAAGGAAGTCGAGGAGCTGTAAAGGATAAAAGTGGAAACGGATTTCCCGTCGTCAAGTTAAATGGATACTCGAAACCTGCAGTCTTACAGGTAGTTTTTGTCAATCAAAAAACCATATAAAATGATTAATTAATGAATTTTCATGTTAAATTTATAAGGTATTTATTGGAAACGATGTCGGTAAAGTGTCCCCGCATATATTTTATCAAGCATGCAAAGTGAGCGGCAAGAATTCGACACCATGTAATGAAGTTAAAGTAGATGGAACGATGGTGATTGAGATAGAAATTAAGCCAGAAAATGATATGACAGTAATTTGTGATTGTGTTGGGATATTGAAGGAACGAAATGTAGATGTAGAACATCGTTTGGGAAAGAATAATACACTTGCGGCAGTGACGAGAAATAAGAAGAAATCGACAAAATGTCGAATGATTTTTCGAACAAAGATTAATGAGGATGCAGAGTATTCGGAGGTTTTGCAGATTTGTAGCAATACAATAACGTGTACACAGCCGCCTGGAGTTCCAGAAATTTGTAAAAAATCCTTAGATTCTTATAATTTTGGTGGTGGAAAGGAACTCTTTATAATTGGTAAAAATTTTCTAAAAGATACAAAAGTAACGTTCACAAGATATGATGAAAATGGTCGACAGATGAAAAAGATTTGGGAAGAGACAGTTTTACCTGACAAGGAATATCTTCAACAGACACACCTAATATGTACAATACCGGCATATCCAGAGGAAATAACAGAGCCAGTACAAGTTCAAATGTATGTGACGTCAAGTAACAAGAAAAGTGAGCCTCACACGTTCATCTATACGCCATTCAAGCATTATCGTTCGGTTCCACAATCACCTTCGATTGATGCATTAAATAATATTGGATTTTCAACAATAAATCAGCAAGACTTATCGCCAACATCTACAACTAATTCTCATGTTTTATCGCTAACATGGAATGAGCCACAAGGATCGTCTCCTGAAAATATTATGCCACCTCCATCATCTCGTAAACCATCATTTTCAAAGTCCCTCTCCGAGATAAGCACAAATGATTCAACAAAAATTAACAGTCCTAATGAATTGCAACAGCAGCAAGAAACCACTACCTCATCACCGACAACAATACAACCAATTCAACAAGCCTCAGTAGTGAAAGAAATGATTTATAGTGATAGTACTATGCTTGATGTTACGGGACAGTGCTTCTTAAATCCATCGGCTACATCAAATTTGATGAATTCGACACAAGTGGGTCAATCCTTATTGGAACATGATTTTCAAGTCGTTCATCATATTAAAAGTGAACAAAATCAGGATCAATTGCAAAATGTCGTTACAAATGATATAATGCCTCCACCATCTCAGCAGCAGCCTTCACAAGCGTCTGAATTAAATTCAGTTCAGCAGCAACAAGTTGTTGAAAATTTCATAAATATGATTTGTGCACAAGTAGAACCGACTATAGTGCAACAAAATACAGATAACATTATTAACCATCATCATTTAAATCAGGATTTGATTATGAATCAAGCATCTAATAATGTTGTTGTTGGACCAACAAATAATGATCATGCAAACATGATGAGTGCCATTTCTACGTCGCAACCCATGATATGTGAGCAAAATATAATGTCAGTGCAATTATCCGACGGTACAAATATTATTCCTTTAAATACATTAGACGCTTCTATTAATAATGATACGACTTCAAATACTTCGCTAATATCTAATGCTGTCTCAGAGGCAGCAGCCGAAACGCAATTCGTTGTTAAGCAGATGATTGCGAATGTAGCAGCAGAGATTCTCTCAGAGAATCCCAACGAGACGCAGTCTTCGATTAATAACTTTATTTCATCGACATTAGGTGGCACAGAATCGACACAACAGCAGACGCCAATTACTAGTTCTCAGCAACAATTGCAGGAAATTATAGCTCAAGAGTTTATGGCACCGGTCATGATCAAGAAGGAAGAAAATGATGGGTGAGTAAAGAGCTGAAAGGGGGGTTATTGAAAATTCTAATTATTAATTTTATGCAAATATATTTTAGGCAACCTCAAAATGCTCTTATTAGCGATCCTGCATCCAACAACCCTTCATCTTCAAATATGACACAGCCATTTTCACCGACTCCTGCTGATTTTAATTTGACTAGCATGTCCGAGAGCGATTTAATTAGTTTTATTAATCCATCTGTGTTTATATAAATATTACACTCATTATTATTACAACAACTTTGTTTTTTCTAAATTATCGACAATAAGTATGTTGAAGATGATACACAGACAGCTGTTTTTTTCTTCGTTTCCAAATGATGGAAAAAGATAGAAATTATAGAAATATTAAACAATTGTTCAAAAAATTCTATGGAGAAGTGCTTTGAATGAAACAAAAAAAAACTATTTTATACATGTATAATAACTAATCATTTTATGTAATGGATCATTATGAAACAAAAGAGAAAGAAAATTTCTACAAAGCATATTTTACTATAAATTGATGCGTATATTGAATGTTAATTAAAGAAGATTAAATAAATGTTTTAAAAAAACAAAAATCATGATTTAACGGTTTTTTCATTTTTGAATTTCTTGTATTGTTTTGAGCGGGAGAAATTGTAAATAAAGATTTGAGTATTTTAAAAAAGCGTGAATTAAGCAATGAGTTCTTCAAATTTAATTAATTATTTTAAAGAATTGGCAAGTACAGCTATTGTGGTATTTGTTAAACAGCAAAAGGAGATGAGCGAACGAATGAAAAACGTCTATCAAGTAAGAAATGATTTTGGAAGCAAAACTTATGTAAATTTGATTAATTTTTCCAGAATATTAAGGAACTTACGAATGCTGAGATCCGTAGAATGTCTGATGAGGAAGTGCTGAATTATAATAATACGCTTTTGAATAAAATTTCTCATGTTTTTGTGCTTGACAATTTCTCTGGATCTTCATTTGATTACTTAGTGTCTAAAAAGGCAAGAGATCTAAGAATTTTTGGAGTTCCACTGCTTGAAATAATATCTGAAGAGACATTAGAAGTAACCAGTTCGTGGAAAGTTTATAATAATGCATTTCAAGGCTTAAAAATTTGTACGTCTAATTTAAGTGGATCTGAAAAAGGGAAAATTGAGAGCTTAGTTAAGTCAATGAATGGACAATTCACGAATGAATTATCATCTGATGTAACTCATCTAATAACAAACTCAACCAAGACAATAAAATATTCTGATGCCACAACCTTAGACATCCCAATTTACCATACAGAATGGGTTTATCAGATATGGAACAAGTGTCAGAAGCAGGAAGGACCGATCACAAAAGCTTGTTCAGAACAATATGATGTATTTAAATTACCACCATTATTTGACTTAAAAATTGCTACAACGGGAATGAATAAAGATCAAAGAAGTGACATTTCTGATGTCATTGAGGAAAACGGTGGAAAATTTGAGGATGTTTTTAAATCTAATGAGACTGATATTTTAATTATGGACAAAAAAGATGCAGACAATTCCAAATTTAAAATTGCTGCTAAATATAAAATTCCCGTGTTAAATGTCAACTGGATTCATGAGAGTGTAAAAGCAGGATATGCTCTGACATATAATGATTTTGCATTCAAACGTCCAAAATCTTTCGACTCTTCATCCTCATCTTTTAACGACTCTACGAATTTGTCATTAGACGATTCCAAAAAGAGCGAAGGAGATCAGGAGAAGAAAGAGAAAGTCCCATTTGTTACTACTAGTGTACTGACTGATAAAACTAATGATCAATTTCTATCGACATATACAATTGAGCAGGCAAAGAAGCTTGGACATATTTTTGACGGATATGTCTTTTATTTATATAATTTTAATCTCGAGCATTATTTTAAAATTGGAAAATTAATTAGTGCTTGTGGTGGTATAAGAATCAAGGAGCTTGATACGAGCATCACACATATTTTATGTTTTGACAAGGAAAATATCGAAGCTTTTCATAAAAGAACGATCGAAAAAGAGGTTCATGGGAGCATGGTTGACTATAAATGGATTGTTGAATGTCTTAAACAAGAGAAGCTTCTTTCCGAAACTGATTACTGTATAACTGTAGATTCTTCAAATTCTAAAAAGATTGTACCGCCATCACCAATGAGCAGGAAAGCTATTAACTCTTTAAATGTGTCCATCACTAAATCTACTGATGTGTAAGCAATACTTTTAAACTTTTGTTCTATTGGAATCGACCGTATTTCAATAATTTTTTATTAATCTTTCAGGTCCAAAAAGGAGAATACAAAGTCAAGTAAACTTTCGAAAAAAGATTTAGGTTTTGGAACGTCAACAAAGGTTCTAGATTTTTCGAGTCATGATGATCTTATTCAGACGTCAATAGAAGCAAATCATAGGAAACTTAAACAGGTTCCAAATTTTACATCTAGTAAAAAACGGTCTTATGAGGCAGATTATTGTACAATCGACGAGCATCATAAACGACGTAAGACAACTAACGACGAAGACTGCAAAAATTCATTTCAACTTCTTTGACGCTTTTCCTTTGTTAAAGGACAAAACTTCTGATCTATAATAAATACAATATTAAATGCTTAATCATGGCTTATGCAATTTTAAGGTATTTTTGTGATTATTTAATATTTCATTATTTTTTAACGCGTGCCTGTCCATAAACATAAAGTTTAAACACAATATACATATCTTTAATATTTATTCATATGAAAGACTTGATATCTTTTCTTCATTCCTCACAATATGTGATAGTTTATTTCAATTAACAATCGACACGGCAAAAATACGCTCACATCATGTAGTTTTTACAAAAAAGGAATTAACAAATAGAAAAAAAAAATAAATTTCATAATTAATGTTCCAGGAGCTTTTTAAAAAAGAAATAACGATAAATTTTGTAAATTTTTTAAGCAACATAACTATATTCATCACTTGAGTTTGCAGTACGTTCTATATATTGTTTATCAATCAATGACTCAATACATTTCTTGATCATTGGTATGCTCGGTGCGAAACATACTTTCGATTGGGAGAGAATCTAAAAAGAAAAACAATTTATTAATTAATAAATACTGTATAATTTCATGCGATCCTACCTCCTGAATGAGAGCATTGTGTTTGAGGACCTTGCGTGCTTTCATTATCCTTACTATAGCTGCTTGTAAATATAATTTACGATCCTCGTCAACTTGAGTTATTGTTTGCTCAATCTACAAAGTAGTATTATTTGTTTTTAGCTTAATATCCTAATTAGATTATTGAATGAGCAGTTTACCTCTTGCTGTGGAGATTCCTTCTGCATTGAAGCTGTTATTTTAAATTTTGTGCGTTTATTAGTGAATTCTAAGTTTAGGGATAGTACGGATGAATCTTCAATTTTCTGTAAATCATAAAACACATGTTAATTTATGTTCTCGTTGGGCAACAATTTGGAAAGTAACGATAATTTTCAGCAAATTCTTTCCAGAAATAACCGTTACATAAAATTCAAATATAAAAGATCCGTTAAAAAAAATTTCAAATTTAACTAAATCCTTACCTCTGTGTCAATAAGAAGTAGCTTCTGATCAACGAGTGATTGTAAATGTTTTTGGAAGTTGTCGTTATTTAATTGCAGGACTTCGCGAACTTCCTTGCAAATCATTGTATCACAATTTTCGAACAACAAAAGCATAGCCATTTGATATGTTTGCATTGTAATCAAATAAGATTTTTTGGCTAAAGACACTTTTAATTCACCAGCACAAAGATGATGAAGCCATGATAACTTTCGTCCACTAAAGCTGGTGTTATAGAAGGCTTCAAATTTACGAATAGGCTGTTCAAATTCTTGTGGCACGGCGAAAGTTATATTAGTTTGTGGACCTAAGGGCCACGCGCCTGCTTGTAAAACTTTTATTGCAAGATTGATGCTTAGTTCGTCATTCACATTCTTTAAATGTTGATTAAATTTATTGTTCAAGTCCATACTAATTCCTATATCAGTGTACATGCGATGTAATTTATTTGTAAACTCATATCCACATGCTTGCTTTAACTTGTTTATCATAACTTCTTCCAGTTCCATATTGACGGATTGGTCATGAATAAGTCTAAAATGTCAACCGTATATTTATTTTCTTTTGTAAGCATATTATGTAAGCAAATTATGTTTTACCGTTTAGCTAACATACGACTATAGAACTTTTGATAGACGTCCTTATCTTCTATGTATTTGAAAATGGTTATGCTCTTGGACAATTTCGTTTCAATTTCACATTCCGTAGATTTTGATTTCTTTAATAAATTGTCACAATACTTTGCAACCTACAAAAGCGCAATAAAACAAGCGAGTTTATATTTTGTTCCTTAAATAGGTAATAAAAAGTAATAACTTACGAGTTCAGCACTGCGACATGTAGTCTTGCCATCGCTTAATTTTGAATTAATAACGCTGGCGCAAGCCTTATCTAATGCGCTGAGGAAAAGTGGGTCGTTCTTAAAAGTTTCTACGATGAGATTTTCGTACTTTTGATGTACTTGAAGCATATTTTCAACAAATTGAATATGAATCTGAAGGTGACAAAAAATAAAAAGAAACTGTAGAAAATTAAAGTCAGGACATAAAAAAGAAGCGACTTACATTTTCTCCTTTTAAATTCATTATTGATTCAGCACCCTCATTTTTAATCTGTTCCAATAAAATCTGAATGAGTTCTTTAAGTCCATCAACAATCGGTTTCAACAAAACATATAAATTTCTTAAATCATCTCGCTTATCATTACTGACCATTTCCTTGCATTCCGAATATAAAAAGTTCTTATGATCGGTAATCATTCGATCTTCACATTCCTTTTTAAGCTTTTGAATGGAACTAATATGGAAAAATTTGTGTGCGCGAACATTCTCTTCCTCGAGGATTCGAATGACTTCCTGCATATATTGACTAACAGAGCAGTTTTGCAAGAGCTTAGACGCTTGAGATGTGAAATAATTTCCACTAGCTTCCAACATTTTACCCTCAAAAAGACTTTCGTACAATTGTAAATTGCCTTTCTTTTTGTAGTCTTGAACCATCACGAAACTGTGAATGACTCCGTGAATTGTAGCTATATCTTTGGACGTTAAACAATTATCAACGCGATCACGTTCGATGCCTTGTAAAATTTGCTTCACAAGAATATCACCTAAATTCTGTATCATAAGCAATCGCCAAATATCAAGGCCCAACTCGCCTATTTCCATCTGTTCTTGAGAAATAGTGAGTGGAGTTGTGCCATTTCCATATAAAATTTCAGCTTCCGATACTTTTTGTTTCTTTATGTGCTGTTGATTTAGGTATCTAAAAATAGTTACAAAGTAAGTACATATGATGAACTTCTAATTGACGCAAAATGTTTATATATATAAACACAAGAAATAAATGAACATTATAGGGAAGACAATAAGGACAAAGAACAATTGACACGCAATTTTCACTTACAAATATAAATAGTTTAAATATTCAAGTCCTTGGCTGTAATTTTTCCAAGCGCTGTAATACTTGTGCAGTAATTGATTCTCGCCACTCTCACTATCATTCATATCATTCATGTAGCAATTGAATTCATCTAGTTGTGACTTGACATGATTTTCCAAAAATAATTTCGTCTCAGAATACAGTCGATCAGCCAAGGGATCCGGAAATGCCACGCAAATCGAATAAACGTCGCTATAAAGAAAACAAAAACATTTGTAAACAAGTATCCTCCAATATAAAAATCCAAGGAATTTCGTGAAAATTGAAAATCATCACAATACAATAAAGAGAGAAGAAAAGAATACGAAAAAAAAGTGAAAAGAAAACTCACGTAAAGCTAGAATTCCAATCATCTCGTCGTACACTGTTTAACTTCAATACCTTCTCCACTGTTTGTCTCAGGCATCCCCAAACATCATCAAAAACTATCCTTTGAGGTCTTAAACTCATATTGGTTAATTATAAGAGTCCAATTCAAATTAAATGTTGACAATGAGCTATTCAGTACGAAAATCTACAAAGGGGTCTTTAGTTTGAACAACTCAGTTTGACATAAGATTTTCTGATTTCTAAAAAGCTATTCAAATCTTAAACTCTATAAAATTAAGCGCTATTTTTGAGCGACTAATCCTTGTCAAATTTTCTGCAATAACAATTTAATCAAAAACCCTATTTTGACTTATCAAACAATATGAGAAATTGATTTTAAAACTATTCATTTTCTCATGGATTAGAAAAAAAGCTTAAAAGATTCCCGGAATAAAAAATATCGCTAGAATATTTTAATTAAGACATTTTTCAGTGATTTAGGCACAATAAATGAAAAATTATAATAAAATGCATCTCAATAATTCAATAAAACATTAGAAAAGTCGATATAAAATGCAAAAATTTAACATTTAACATTTAAAATTTGAATTTGATATTTTGATCCGAGAAACCGAGAATAAATTTCAAATAACTGAAAACTACATAGACAACATAGACATAAAGAAATATCTCGGTAATTTACGTAGGTAAGTGTAAAGACTAGCTGTTAAGTCATTTATTGAAGAGGAAATTTGGTTTAAAATAAGATTGTTTAAAAATAATCATCCGTGGAATCTTATACAACTTAATTATATTGCATAATGCAGCATAATGATACCTTAAATTATAGCCCGATTGGTTCTGAGTTTGTTTAAAGGTTCTAATTCAATGCATGTGGAGATTCTCCCCTGCTGTCGATTACCAACTAGATCTTGACATCCAATGGAGAATCGATAGAGCTTTCTAATCGTTTGCACAAGTCATTGGTGCTTGAGTGTCATGATGCTGGGTTATAAGCAAGGGTCAGACACTCCAAAGTATTGTACGGTACTGTACAATACTTTCCATACAAGTATTGTAGTATTGTACAATATCTACAATACTTACAATACTTGCCATATAAGTATTGTAAGTATTGTAGGTATTGTACAATACTTACAATACTTTCCACACAAGTATTGTAAGTATTGTAGGTATTTTACAATACTTACAATACTTTCATATGTATTGTAAAGTATTGTACAATACTGTACAAAACACTAAGCCAGTGGCTTATTCAGAGGAAAGACATAAAATTTTATAGAGAAGCAGTTCTCTTAAACTTCTTAGGTTTCAAAAAAATCCGTTAAAAAGAATAATCACGCAACACGTGGTAAACACTGGTAAATTGCAAAGATAACATCGCTGAGATCTTACTTTCAATAGATATTTCATATTCTTTTTATTACTACTGATGTTAAAAATCTAAATGACATTTTTTAAGAAAATTTTATAAGAGTATTGGATAATTTTTTGAAATTTTAGAAAATTGTTAAACTTATTAGTTTTAAAAAAATTCTACATTTACTAAAATCTCGACAAAAATGACATAAAAGTGGATCTTCCAAGAAAAGTTTAAGCTAAAGATAAAAGAAGGTGCATGTAAGTAGGTTATAGACCCTTCAAACCCCCTTTAATTGCATCAAACTCTTACTCATTTTTAAACTCACCAATCCACCACGAGCGTGTAGCTCTACAAAAAAGTATACCCCGCACTATCACCTGTCGTTTCGGGCAACTCGACATCGGACATCTTATTTTAAAAAGGAGAAAAAATTCTCTCAGAAGAAAAAAATTGTGAAAATTTAAAATTAGACATCATAATCATTAAAAAATGGGCCCAAATTGTGTTTAATAGCTTTGTGTGCGGGTGATACACGCGATTAAAGAGTTTGAAGAGTCGAAAGAGCATCGTGCGAGAGAAGGAGACGAGTGAAAAATATTGAAAAAATTTATTTTCGTAAAAATATCCACATAAAATTTTTTTTATTTAAAATATTGATTGTGTGAAAGGAAACGAAAAAAGAAAAAAAAAAGTCAAAGAAATTAGTACAATATTTTAAGAGTGTAATTTTGAGTAGTATTCAGCCTGGACATAGAGAGGAACAGTAGTAATTCTGATTTAAATTTATTAACATCTTCTGATAAGATCTTCTCAACATCTACTGCAACTCCTCCAAGTCAACCTTATAAAATTATAAGAATAAGAGTAGTAATAATAATAAAAATAGTAATAAAGTCATTTCGATTGTCATCCTCCTCATACGGATCAGCATCAATAGTATCGTGAAATAAAATTTTAAAAAAAAATGGGAAACAACGCAACATCAGCTAATCGAAAAGTCGATGCTGCCGAGAGCGTCAAAGAGTTCCTTGAACAGGCTAAAGAAGATTTCGAGGACAAATGGAAGAGAAATCCGACCAATACTGCGGCACTTGATGACTTTGATCGCATAAAAACTTTGGGAACGGGTAGTTTTGGTCGCGTAATGATTGTTCAACATAAACCCACTAAGGATTATTTTGCGATGAAAATATTGGATAAACAGAAAGTGGTCAAATTAAAACAAGTGGAACATACATTGAATGAAAAAAGGATTTTACAAGCAATTTCATTTCCATTTTTGGTCAGCTTGAAGTATCACTTCAAAGATAATTCTAATTTATATATGGTGCTGGAATACGTTCCAGGTGGTGAAATGTTTTCACACTTACGCAAAGTGGGACGTTTCTCGGAGCCTCATTCGCGATTTTACGCTGCCCAAATCGTTCTTGCATTTGAATATCTTCATTATTTAGATTTAATATATCGTGATTTAAAGCCCGAGAATTTGTTAATAGACTCTCAAGGTTACTTAAAGGTAACTGATTTTGGATTCGCAAAGAGAGTTAAAGGTCGCACCTGGACTTTGTGTGGAACTCCAGAATATTTGGCACCGTAAGATTCTCTTCTTTTTTTCTCATTACACATACTCATGGCTCCTTCTTCCTTCTTATTCTTCTTGTTACTCTCTCATATTCTCAAAATAATTTTTTCTCAAGTATCATCATTTTGACCAGCTAGCTGCTTCATTACTAGCTTGCTAACAAGCCTTTATATCTTATCTATCTCATTGACTATACAGTACGGAGAACTAAGTTCAAATAAGTCTCTATAATTTTATGCTATTACGTATATACACAAACTTTTTCTCAAACAACAACTATGGCGATAAGTTACAATTATCACGGTGTGATTAAATTGAGATGGATGTACTTTAAATTACATAATTTTTTTTTCTTTCATTTCTTTCCTATTCAAAAGGATCAAAATTAAAGGCTTGTGTTTTGCTTGTTGGGCTTCTTTAAAAGAAATTATTGCATAAATATAAATTAATGGAAATACTTGAGGGGAAATCCGTGATATTAAATTTTATTAATAAGCACATCAAGAGAACAAAAGTTCATCGCTTCCATTTGAAACTTTTCTCATTCAGATGATTTAAACTATTGAGTCAGTTATGATATATATGAATACTTAAAAAACAGTGAACTGCAAATAGCTACACTAGATGTACAGCAAAAGCTTTTATTTTAATGGAAAAAATTGAAGTTTTAAAAATAAATAAATTTTAACAAAGAAAGAAAAAAACAAGTAATGGAAATTTTTCGTAATACTGTGCTTGCTTGTCATTTGGAGCATCAAAGTTTATTGATTAATTTTTAAAGAACTTTAAAGCAAAAAATGCTGAGAAGGTTGTTGACAAATGACGTCATAGAAGAGTCGTCATTTATGGCTACCCAAACATAATTATAGTGAAATTTTTACTTGCGAGTTGGTTTTAAGGACGGCAAGAGACATAAATCACAAAGAACATGAGTTAATTATGCGCTTTAAACGTTTAACCATGTTGACATTTCGCTGACATTAATTTTATTTATATAAATGCATAGATATATCTATAGATACATATATATTGAGAAAAGTGAGAAGGTAGATGATGAGGATGGGAAAGAAAAAGAAGGAGAAGAAGTTATTATTAAATTTTCGATTATTTATTTCATTCATACTATACCATAGTACATGTCATATATACTTGCTTATTTATATTCCCATTTCTTCTATTCATGTTCATTTATTTTGTTGTTTTGTTTTTTCGTACCTACAGAGAAATAATTCTAAGCAAGGGCTATAATAAGGCCGTCGACTGGTGGGCATTAGGTGTATTAGTGTACGAAATGGCAGCAGGATATCCACCATTCTTTGCAGACCAACCTATTCAAATTTATGAGAAAATTGTATCGGGAAAAGTTAGATTTCCGTCACACTTTGGATCAGACTTGAAAGATTTACTCAAATATTTGCTCCAAGTAGATCTAACAAAACGTTATGGAAATTTAAAAGCTGGTGTTAACGACATTAAGAATCACAAGTGGTTCGCCTCAACAGATTGGATTGCCATATTCCAAAAGAAAATTGAAGCACCTTTTATTCCTCGCTGCAAAGGACCAGGTGATACTAGTAACTTTGACGACTATGAGGAAGAAGCACTTCGAATTTCGAGCACGGAAAAATGTGCAAAAGAATTTGCAGAATTTTAAATCAATGAAAGGGAAATGCAATGCATTGGAAACAGCAGACAGGCAGGTAAATAATAATAAATAAAAAAATAATAATAATAAAATTATTATCAAAAAGAAATATAATAATATTTTTGCGCCGAACAAACAGTCAAGTCACAAGAACGATGATGACGATAATGATAAATAATAAGAGGAAACAGAGTAAGAAATTTAATATAACTATGAAAAAAAAATTTTGAAACAAAAAATACAATGATACATACATACACACACACATACACAAAAAAATACTAGGGGTCTTCGATTTGAGTAGATGCTATTTAAACAGATTTGGTTTGAATAGAATTTTTTTTGGAACAAAAAAAAATACTCAAATCGAGGGTCTCTAGTACACAATTTTTATTTTAAGTGAAGAAAAAAAAAAGAATATTTAATTCATTCGAAAAAAAAACAAGATGAGAAAAATCTATATTGAGTAAAAAATAATCTATGATAGATGTAGTATACAAAATATCTATTTTAATGTTTGAAATCAATATTTTAAATTATGTATTTATTATGATGATGATGATAAAACAAGTCAGTCCCCGATTCATTAGCAATTTGCTCGTAGAGTAAAAACCAAGTAAAGAAAATAACACACATTCTTTTTTTTTTGAGAAGTAAAATAAAATTTAAAAAACGTTCGACCAGGGTCGGTGCTTCCATAATAAAGATGATAAGTAAAAAAAAGCTTTAAAAACAAAAACACACACATACACACACATTTCATTGAGGGAAAAACAAATTCTTGCCATATTAAGAGAATAGGCATCTAAGTCTGTTGATCAAAAGATACATTTATTTATGCCAAAGGCAGCTGCGTCTATGAAATATGAAAGTGCCGGCTCTGCTATCATGTCACACACAAAAAAAAGAAAAGAATATCAGGGGGAAACTTGCTTCGTGGGTGGATTTTCTTCTGTGGTGAGACATACATCACCATAGAAATTGTTATTTTCCGTCTATAATCAAAGGTTCATGTCCGAAAACAATACAATAATATCGAGCTTCTCCAGAATCTTACCTTCACTTTTCAAGGGATTCGTTCGCAAATGTTGTCTATCATTATGTTGAGATTTTTAGACCCAGTGAGAAAAAAGAAAATGATTGAATGGATTATTAAAATCCTGAGTAGGTTAAAATTATTTAAGGAGCGCTGGTTCTTAATTCTTCTTGCGATTAAATCAGTATTTCTCAAAATATGAAGCGTAGAGCATTACATTTCCATGGGAAAATCCTAAGCTTGTCATTAATAGCGGTAAAGCATTACTGCGGCTCGGAAGAATTGCTAATACAAGGTCTTAAAAGTTTGAAAATCACTGGCTTAATTCAAAGTATCAAAATGATCAATACTAGAATGAAGTATTTCTAGATACTCCAAATGTTAGACGTTATTTGTGAACTATCCTAAATTTATTGATCATACAAGGGCCCTATCTAGACCCATACATTTGCTCTTCTATTAACTATCAGCCAAGAAATCAGATTAAGTGGAAAATTTTCCATCCAAATTTTCTTCCCACCACATAGTTTCCCTCTGAGACAAAATAAAATAATAAATGAAAATGTGTAATGGTAAAAAAATTCCTTAAGAATCGTCCTCTCTCTCTTTTGTCGTCGTAATTAACATGCAAAAAAAAAGTCCCCTGAAGAAACAAGTAAAGTAAAAGATTGCTGTCATAATTGTTAATGCTTTTGAATTATTAAAAACTAAAACAAGATGAAAAAATTATTGAAAAGTTTTAAATAATGTCGCTCGTTTCCATGAATTTAATTAAAGTAAATTTAAACAAAAAATAATGTTTATTTCTCCGAAAAAAAAAAAAAATAATAATAATTAAAGAATATGAAAATGTGAATTTTTTATAAAAAAAAAATTAAAGTCATATAGGTGGGAAACAACATACATATATATTATATATAGTTTGTTTTTATATCCTCAAAAGTTTTTTGGAGTAAAAATAGATCATTAAGAAAAAGAAGAAAAAAAAAATATTCATACATACCCATAACATACATATTTTTCTCGAACAAGAAGAAGAAGAAGAAGTATAAAAAATCATCTGTATCAGTAGTCTACACCTTATCTTATAATTTTTTTTTTATTGTTCATTGAGAGAAAACATCAAAATTTACAGGCGAGTGTGTCGATGTCGTTTCAGAAAGAAAAAAAAATAATAAAAAAATAATAATAATATTAATAATGAATATATAATGTAATTCAAAAGAGCTTTTCATTTTTCTTAAGGGGCCGTTCATTTATTACGTTCGCATTTTAGGGGGGAGGGGAGGTTTGAAAAATTGTAACAAAGGGGGGGGGGGGGGTGTCAAGAAATATGTAACGTTCTTACTGTCGTCTGTCTTTTAAAAAAAAGTTCACGAACAAATTGTTTACAAAACATTTTTTTAAATTTTCCACCTTTTTAATGGTAAAATAAATTATGAACGTTCAGGGGGGGGGGGGGGGGGGTTGTGAGTTGTAACAATGGGAGAGGGGGGGGGGTTGTGAGTTGTAACAATGGGAGAGGGGGGGGGTGAAAAAAGTCGTTTTTTTGCGTAACATAATAAGTGAACGGCCCACTTATTGAACGGCCCTTAAGTCCCTCAAAGTAAATAGAAACAAGAAAAAAAGTCATTACTCGTAAAGCAAATTTAGGGCGCATTTTCCATTGCAATTATCAGTAAACATGAACATTTATATCCTGGTAGCCAACTTTTAACTCGGTTATTTTTGGAAAGTTTGCATATCACGATCTTCATGTGGTTCAACCAAAGAGGCTTTTCCTGTTCCTAAAAATTTGACTCTTGCGAAAATTAACGTTTTTGAACAATTTAAATTTGTAACGGTTTATGAAAATATTTCGTACAACGTTCAGTGGAGAATTTTTTTTCTTCCTTTCTTCTCTATCTATTAATTGAGAAATAAAGCTAGAGTGATTATTTATATTGAGAAACGCTCGAGTTTCTTGATATATTATTAGAAACATTTTTCTCATGAGCCTTCTATAATATGAAATCTAAATTAAGATTAACGAACTTTTAAAGTTCAAACTTCACAATGCTTGTACTAAAAAATTCAAACTTTCAAAACCGTTGAAATTTAAAATCTTAAAAAACCGTTAGATATTTAATAATTCATTACCACTAGACATGATAAATGGGATCAATTAAACAAAGGTTTGACAATGTGTAACACATAGCTGCTTATTCATTGGAAGATGCGCTAAAATAAAATAATGAGAGATGTTCAACATCCATCGTTAGATGCAATTTTCATTTTTAATACTTTATGTTTCTTTTTTTGAAAATTTATGATAAAAAAGAAAAAGAAGAAAAAATGTTTTCCTTCACAGCATAGAATGTGTATGTGTTGACTTACGAATTCTATCGCTGTTCCTGCACTCGACTGCATTTTTCTAATAAAAAAAGAGGATATAAACAAGACGTTTGAAGAAAAAAAAATACTATTAAATGAATAAGCAATACCGTAATAAAAAAAAAATATTTCATTTTCATCAAAAAAATTAATAAAAAAAAGATTTATGAAAAAAGGAAACAATGATGACTGTTTATGAGGTTTATTATTTTGTTTCATTAATTAATGATTATTACATATTATTATTAGGCACTTTTAATCATATGTTTTTATCATTTTTATTTTAAAATGGAAAAAAAGTATTGAGGTGATATGAGTTTTTTGATATATGATGATGATACTAAAAGTATAGATAAATTAATTTTCATAAAATTTTATGTTGTTTGACCCAATCACTCACCTCAATCGAGAAATAAATCCCCGTCACACACTTCTCAAAGTGATTCGTACTAAATCACTTTTTGAGTATATTTGTGAGAGAAAAAATTATAAGGAAAAAAAAAGAAATAAAAAAAAGTAAAATTCAAAACCTTTTACATCTAAATTAAAGAAAAATGAAGAAAATATAATGTAAATTAATAATGAGAAAGCTTTTATGTAAAATATAATATGATATAAATAAATAAATAAACCAAAATCTTTTTATTTCTCCCCATTTCTTGAAAGTTTGATATCTCATCGCCGTACATATCTACTTATTATAGCTATTTGTGACTGACTAGAGTCAATTTGTACAAGAAATAGAGGCAGGATTGATAAAAAGCGTCTGGGATTGTCCGTTAATTTTAGAACAGGGAGGGGGTGTCAAAATTTGTAACTATAGCGATACGAAATATGAGAACGACTCCTTTGAATTTTAACCCCCCACACTTACTCATTCACTGTCTGCCTCCCCTTTCCCCTTCTCTTCATCCGTTATCATTTTGAGAATCAAAAAGAATTTAACGACGCTACATATATATCCACATACATACCTACACGTAGTAAATTTACGTACATATATATTTCCTTTTCAATGACCATGTATATATGATATGATTATGTGAACTTCATTTGAATAAGTATTTACTAAAAAAGAATGTTCTTGTTCCGAGGCAAGCAATCCAAGTACACGACATCTTCTTTATATGTGTGTAATAATCAGAGTGCAGTTTAGTGGAAAATTGATGAGTCTTTATTGAAAAAAAAAACCCTATTAATGAGCAGGTAGATGAGGTGAATTTTCACTGAATTTTCCTTGTTCGAACGTTTTTCATTCAATAATCAATCTATTACTGCATATTATAGCTCACTTGATGTATGTTAGATAACACATTTCAGGATAATTACAACTCTAGTACTGCATAATCAATTTTAAAATAATAAGCTTTACCGACTTTACCGACAGGATATCAGGATGCAACGGCTGACTACTTGGTTCAATAAATTTAAAAAAAAAGGTATTATGTAAGAAATAATGTTTTTATTCCAGAATAATGGTCTAAATTTTCAATGATTGCATGAAGGTAAATACAGTAGCGTGCAAAAGTGAGTGGACAGAACAAATTTTTTAATAATTTCGTTCAAAAAGTATCTTCCACTAAACGAAATCACTTCAAATTTTCACAGCATATCTAATTTTTGATGAGATTTCATATGCAAAACTCTTATATATGCAAAGTATTTATGAAGATTTCCTCAATTTAATGTACTGTACTGTGAGAAAATCGACAATGAAAATAATAAATATGTCTATAATTTTTTTGCATAATATCAACTTTTACTATAATAAACTATGTATATTCTGAAAGCTTATTAAAAATACTATATAAATCAGTTAAGTCTAAGTTAATTAAGATTGAATTAAATGACACATTTGCTTAAAAGTCATTAAAAATTATAGCCATTTTGAATTTAAGAAAAATCGAGAAAACACGTGGTTTTGGTGGAAAATTTTTGAACGTAAATTAAGAAAATCGTCAAAACTTTAGATTTTCATCTTAAAAAGTTACCATAACATACTTATTAACACATTTTTTTGTCATTGAAAATTGTCCACACACTTTTGCATGTTATCGATTTTGAATATTTAACTTTTTTTTTCAAATTACTTAATTATAGTACAAAATTTGTTTTGCATATGAAATCTCATCAAAAATTAGATATACTGTGAAAATTTGAAGTGATTTCGTTTAGTGGAAGATACTTTTTGAACGAAATTATTAAAACATTTGTTCTGTCCACTCACTTTTGCACGCTACTGTAAGTGCGCGAAGATATTTATTCTATGCTCCCTTATATGTTGTGTTTATTGTGTATGCATTAATCATTTGAATGAAGATTCACACAAGTTCTTTTCATTTTATATTATATTATATTGTGTGTGCCCTAGTGAAAATGTGTACATCAAGGCATTCTATGTAATAACTTTTCTCTGTGCTATTCAAACGTTATTATTATATAATGAGTGTGAGTAAAGCACAGATTAATTAATTGTGCTTCTTTCCTTTACCTCTAATTAAGATAGTTTGATGACAAAGTTCTATTATGCCAATTAAGGAGGTTTTTTATGTTCACACTATCATTTTTATACCTGACATACAGGCATAAATATTCATTTTCAATAGATTCTGATGCTGGGTATAAGTCCAGAAAATCAAAGTCATTAAAGGTTTATAAGTGCAGATAAAAATTGCACCTGGACTTAAAAACCTCACGTGCAGTCTTAAGTCCAGGTACAAATACAGCTGGAATTATAAACTGCACGAGAGGTTTTTAAGTCCAGGTACATTTTATATCTGAATATATCTGAATGTATTTTTGAAAATTTGAAATTTTTTTAAGTTACCAACTTCAAGCTCCTGTAATTTTAATTGTGCTTATCGTAGACTCATGCGGTTTCTAGTGAATAAAAGTACTAAGCTAGACCTTTCAAAAAATGTACAACACTTTTATGAAATTTTATTGGTTTAACCAGAAAAAGCAAAATAAATTCAAGATGGCGGAGAATTTTGGAATTTTCATACATTTTCCACACTTTTTTATTGATTTCTCTCTTGTCTCAAACTTTTTCTTAGATTGTTATATATCAATGGAAAGCTATTAAAAAATGAAAGAAAATAAGTTGAACAACATCTAATAACAATTCGCAGTTATCGAGAAAAATGAATTTAAAAAGTGAAAAATTCAATTAGGAAAACTCGTGAAAGACTCAATGGAAAATTCTGAAACTTATACGAGTTATTAACATTTATATAAGCAATGAGTGTGCGAAATTTGAAAGCTTTTCATAGAGTCGTTGCTGAGAAAAATAGAAAAAACTAAAAACTTGCATATATAAAATGCGTTTTTTACATAAAGTGACTATATTGCTTGCAAATTTTCCAAAACTTTTCTATTCATCATATTGGAAATTTGTAAAGCTTTCCAAAAATATATAACTTTAATAGGTTTAATGAAAAAATAAGGGAAAAATTTGGAAAATATAAAAATTTCTAATTGTGTGTCCACTCACTTTATAGTCATCTTCAAGAGCTTTACAAAAATACCACATATGACTATGTTTTGACTTTACCATGACATGCTATAGCCTCTTGAAAATCGAAAAAATTGACGTTTTTGGGACCTATTTTCCTATTGATCATATCTCAAAACTGGAACAATGGCAATGAAAACACGCAAATTTCACAATGATTTACCCTTTATGGTACTTTAGAGGGGAAAAAAATCAGAGAAAAGTGAATTCTTTGTGTGAAGTTTTCAGAAATTCATGTGAATAATTGCTTTAAAGGAATTATATATATTGTGAAATAATTTCAAATAATTTTCAAGGATTACAAATCCAGAAAAATCTATCTGGACTTATAATCGCACTAGGAGATTATAAGGAAAATTTATAAATTTTCTGGAATTATAAACCACACGTGAGGTTTTTAAGTCCAGGTGCAATTTGTATCTGGACTTATAAACCTTTAATGACTTTGATTTTCTGGACTTAATTATATTTTATACATAATTTTCTGTGCACGATTTTCGTACCTGGACTTATAATCTCTGGACTTATAACCCAGCATCACGTACTGATGAGATTTTTAAATTTTAAACACCCAGTCAAAGTTTTTGAAATTAAACCATTAAATCATCCACGCGTGGGTTTATTTTATGTTTGAAATTCTTTCAAATTTCTTAACCTGTAACAATAGTGCTATAATTAATGATAGAAATAACTGCTCTGAGTTATAATTAATTACAATAACACTTGAAAGATGAAAACGTGTGATATTTAAGTAAAAATGCTGATTCTAATGATTTCAGTTAAAATCTATCAAAATTCAGTAAGATTTATTCAAGTTGTAATAAGTTCTGGTAAAAATATTACCATAAAATTATGATTAATGTACAATAACAGGTAAAGTAGTTTTTAACGGTCGAAAAAAGTGTTGAATTTTGAAATTTTTTCTTCTTTGTTCGAAAATTCGAAATTAGAATTCGAAAACTACTCAATTGTCTCTGAAACAACATTCATTTGAAAAAAGTCTTCAAGCAGGTCACATCGTGAAAATCGCGTGTAAAACTCTTTTAAAATTACAAATCGAAAATACTTAATTAATTAAACATAAAAAATGGATCCAGTTACTACAGAAGCAGTGTAAGTATCGAAATAGTATGGAATTGAGTGAATAAATAGTGAAAAAGCGTGAAAAAATAACTTACAAAAATTTTTTCACTTGAAAATGGAAATGGCTGACGCATTTTTTCATTTGATGAGAAATGCACTAAGTAGCATTAATTCAGTGATAAAAAGTGTAAATTAATGTAGATAATGGAATGCAAAAGAGATTGTAATTAAAGCCGAAAAGAAAATGTTCCTATTTATCAGTAAAATTGTCGTTATTTTTGGCGCTATTGAGTAGCGTCATTTTTTCACATTCAATCTATATACATGTATTATATATATATACATACACATGTCTTTTTTTTCTTCATCTTCGTCGGTTAATACAACAATAGACCTTCTTTATAACGGATAATTTCATCTCTTGCCATTTAATACATGTTCACATCGCTCTTTCTTCAAATGAAAATTTCTCATTTTCGATATTATGTATAGCTATATGCCTTTTTTTTGTGTGTACAACAAGTATATAAAATGCGAAAACTTATTTCTGTGTGTGGTTAGCATTTATTTTCTCTCTCAAAGCAAGTAGAACAATTACAGTTAGTATAAAATGCTTCGGTTGCGTTCTTTACATACATCCTATTATGTACTTGGCTATATGCACATTATATACTTGGTCTCTTATGTAGTACATACATTTTGTATCTTACCTTTTCGGCTTTTTTATTTCCACATTTTTCATTCCTATATTCTTGTTGTTTCAATTCTATTTAAAATTCGCTGAATGGAATGGAAAATTGTACGGGTCGTTTGGATTTTTTGTTCTGTTTAATACAAAAAAAAGAGTAAAATTTGAAATGTTAAAACGATTAAGCAAGCAAGACGAGTGCATTAACATTAATATATTTTTTTCTCATATTCTTCTTTTTGTTGTGTATATTTATAGTGAAGTTAAAGAAGTTGAGAAGGTTGTCGAAGATGTACATGAAAATGCACCTCTCGTTCCAACAGAAGCCGTCGAGGAAGTTAAAGCTCCCGCAGTCGTAGAAGAGGAACCAAAAAAACCTGAAACAACCGAAAAGACCGAAACTGATGCTACAGAAAAGAAAACCGAAGAACTTCCTCCAGTTGAAAATGGAAATGGTGAGGCTGAAGTAGTTAGTGCCGATGAACCAGCACCAGAAGTACCAGCCGGTAAGTAACATTATAATTAAGCTAATTAAGGGCAGTATTTTAATTGGGACATTAAATTTCCAGTCGTCGAAGAGTCATTAAAGCGAAAAGTAGACGATGAAGCCAAGGACGGTGAGGAAAAGATTCCAGAAAAGAAATCCAAAACTGTAGATGTTGAAGAGAAGAAGACAGCGGAGGCAGTTGAAAAAACAGCCGAAAAAACTGTAGCAGAGCCAGAAACTGCTCCGGAGCAAGAAGTTACTGCATAAATTATTACAGCGAAGAGATACTTAATATCAGAGATAATTCAGTTTAAACTTAAACACAATAATTTAGTATTTTTTATTTATGATAAATTTAAAGAAAATGAAAAAATAATATGTTGACATCAAAAAAAAAAAGTTCAAGAAAAACTTAATTTTAAAAACTCGGTTTAAGAATTTAGGAAAACATTTCTTTTTGTTTCTCAAACTATTAAGTAGTTAACACAACTTTTTTTTTGCTTAATTTAAAGAATGATGATTAAACATATTCATATAGTCGTTTACTCGATAATATATCAACAAAAGAAGAATTGTCAATGTCTCTAATAACCTAGTTTAACTATTTCTCTCTTGATGAAAAATACAAAATGAAAATCTTTAAAATTTATGTCAAAACATTCCTCGAAAAATTTACAACATAAAAAACTCTTCTGTTCATTCTCAACAATCCTACTCTACAGCAACAACAAAAGAAAAAGCTCACATATTTTTAAGGAAGAAAAGATTCCAAGCCAATATCACCTAGAAAAAAAATGTGTAAAGAAAAGAAATAGACGAGAACTAAGCGTCCAGTAAAAAAAAGAAACGAATCAACTCTCTTTAAAGCCAACATGAAATAATTTTTTTTACAAACAAAATATTCTTTTCGCCACTCTTTTATAAATAAAAAAAAATTACAATAAAATGACATGTAATCTCAAGAAAAAAATAAGACAAGCTGCATCTTTTACTATTTTTCTTTAAATAATTATTTATTTCAGTCTTTTTAAGTCAGTCAACATAATGTAAAATTTGGGGGTTTGTATGTAGAGATCAATTACATCCATGCAATTATGTTGTTCATCACAGCCAGCTGCTCTATCACAGTTTCAGTTTGTTGCCTGCACATACAGTTACCTAAAGTTTATTGTGTTTTGGAGGGAAAAAAGAAGACAAGAAATTAGTAATTGTAACTGAGAAATGTGAAAAGAATGAGGAACTAAAGAACTTTTTAGGTATATAACAAAAATTCATTCCTTTAAACGACAGACAAGGGTGTTTTATACTTTAAAAAAAAGATCGATCGATAAGGATGGAAATTGGGATTTTCAATAATTGTTTTGTAACGGTTGATTTATTTTCGAAATTTATGATTTTAGCATTGTTTGAAATTTTCAAATTGGCAGTTTTTTTTGTTTCATGTATCAGAGATCAGATACTGCATTTCAATATCAATACTTAAAAGATTTAATGGTTTATTTAATTGGATATCCTTAATTACTCGCGATCAATGTTTTGTACTACTTTACTTTACTCAACTTCCAGCTTTATATTTTTCTTAAAACTTCAAAAATATGTAGAAATAAGTTTTTCTGTCCATAAATCATTTAAAAACTCATTATTTATCGATAAGAATTTGATTGATTTCTGTGCATGATAATAGACTTAATGATTTCGGATCTCTTCATTCATGATACAGCGCCATATCAAATGTCAGGTAAGCAATAAATTAAATTTTATGACCAAAGTTTGCATTCTCAGATTCTCCAAATATTATGCTAGATTTAAAAACCATTTATGCTTCATCACATGTAAAGCTATTTCATCAATTCACGATATTCATCACTTATACTTTCTGTAATGCGTGCGTAGAGCATTAAAGTCTTTTGAAATTTCCTCGCTTCAATATTGTTCGTACTTGAATCTTTCTCATTTCTTTTTTGGAACGGCATTCTTTCTGTTTCTATTCTCTTATTCTTGTCTTGTTATTATTATTATTGAGTATGTACTTTTATTTTCAATGAATGAATGCTTAGAATTTTATTGGGAAGCACACAAATTATATACTTTGTGTGTGACTCATTTTACAATCCGGCAGTTAGAAAAGAAATGTTTTGTTTGGCTACAGTTTTTTGTGCTTCATTTTCTTCTTCTTTACGTTTCATCTTTTCTTTCAAATGTTAAGTTTAAGGCCAAAATTATTCTTATAATGTATACTTATTTAATATTTTGATTTGTTTTAACGGATTTATTAATTTTGAATAATATTTTTATTTAAATAGTCATTTTAATTTTGAATTTATTCATTCAATATTACCAATTTGATTTTTCATAATGTTTAAATTTATTTCTGACCGTTATTTTCTATCTTTTTCTTTCGACTGCTTACGATGTTTGTTTGAAGACTGTTGAAAAACCTTGAGTTCTGTAGACTTTTAATAATCTATGTCACTGAGTTCTTTAATAACTTATACAAGTGAATTTAAATTTATAAAGAAGCCTTGATTACCTTATTTTGTGAAATAAATAGATCATTAAATAGTTAAGTCCGTCGAAACTGGATAAATATCCAGTCATTTAAATAAGTTTTTCATTTGGTTTCACAGATTTTTAGTTTTAATAAAATAAAATATTGTAAATATAATGAAATATAATGCATAAAAGAACTTAAAAGAAATGATACATCAATTATATAGTTGCACAAACTTAATTGACTTTAAATTAATTAAAAAATTACTTACTAGTTATCATAATTAAGTCTTATATTTTCTTTATTTTAAAGTATATAAAATGTTTGTTTGTTACCTTTCTGATTTCATAAATTTTGATGTTCGTTCCTTTTCAAGCTTGTTGCTTGATGACTGATTATTCTTAGTAATCTTGTTGATTGATAATTTTTGTTCATTTTTAATCTCATAATTTGACGTCTTTTTGTTGACTGACTTTTTAATAAAAAAAATCTTGTTGACTTTAATTTCTCATTTAGAAATTTTCATTTTTTTTATGTTTGATGACTGACTGCGCATTTAAGTCTGCTGTATCATTTTCATTATTATGATTTTTTTTTTCAACTACTGATTTGATTTTCTATTATTTTAAAAAGTTCTTTGTTCAATAAAAGCAAACAAGTTGACAAAAACGAAAGAATAAAGTCTACAACGGTCAAAATTGCTTGTTTACACCAAAATATATAGATGTGATCATGTTCTGACACAAAACTTTAATGTTTTAATTCAAAAAGTTTTAAACTTATAAACTCTAGTTCCTTTGAGAGTGATTTTTTTAATTCAAAAAGTTTTAAACTTATAAACTCTAGTTCCTTTGAGAGTGTTTTTTAAAATGAAGATCCATGATACAAAGATATTAGCATTCTATAGCTACAGATAAGTATTTTCATATATTAAAGTCTAGATTTACCATAGTTTTCAATTTTGACAAGCAATTTGACTGAAGTTTAGCTTTTTAATATGATATTTTCAAGTTGTTTGCTCCTGAATTATTTCTACCTTCAAAACTAGGTTTGTATCTAAATTAATATTTCAGCATCTTAAATGTCTTTGGCAATTCATGTCTCATCAATTATTTGTTTCTGTTTCAAGGAATCGACAATATTTGAACATGTGAATTATAAATTGCACTCATTTCACATTACTTTGATAATTATTCCTCTTACATTTTTTTTTGTGTCTTCTTTTTGTTCACTGATTATTTCATGTCTTTGTGCCATATTCTATTCTCATTCTTATTTTCATTTTTTGCTATTTATTCATCACAAAGAATCTTTGAATCTCGCATGTAATTACTCTTCTTAAATAAAACGAATTCAAAGAAGCTTTAAGTAATGCTCTCTCACACATTCCTCATCGAAGCGATTCATAATTGTCTCTTTTAAGGACAAAAAACTTATCGGTAAGCTGCAAATAAATTTTTATTTTTATATGTTTCATATTAAAAATGTTTTCAAATTCTTCTGTTTGTGTCACTTTTCCGTCAATTTAAGTTTTTTTGCAGATGTTTTTCAATCATCTTCATTATCTGTTGTTGTGCTATAAGAGATCATCAACTATATATAAATTATTATACAGGAAAACATGTTTGTATGTAAATTCTTCTTCTCTGTTGGAAATAAATTGTTTAGTTATTAAATTATAGACATTTTTTTGTGGATTCTTTTGCACTTTAGATAAACAAGATAACTGCGCCGTCGTTTCATATTTTTTGGTATGTCAAATTCATTCTGTGATCGTTATTGGCTGAAAGTATGACATTTTGTAATTTTACATTGATTTCTTTTTCCTAGTCTATTTGTTTAATATGATTAAATCACGAGAGATATACTCTCAATTGTATCCTGTAAGACCAAACTGACAGACTAGTTCACAGTGCTTTTTACTTACTGGAACTTTACTAATACTGATGTTTGCTCAGATGATTCATGCTAGTAGCATGTTACTCAAGTTAATTTTCGCTTTATTGTGAGGATCCTTGATTACTTTAGATCCCAGTAAATTAACTTGACTTCAATTAGAATTAATTCTTCCTCAAAATAAGACAATTTTTAGAATTGAGGACTTTCTGTTCTCTTTATCATGCCGGATTTGCAAAATATTTTCGAAATTGATTGTCATTTAACATCACAACTAGTCAGCTAAAGTAATTTTCAATTTTTAATTTTTTTTTTGTTTCAAAGAATCCATCAACTCATTAAATAAAATTAAAATCACACATTATACCGAATTTTCGTGCTATCATTCAATATCATTTACTTATGCATAAAAATTCACTGTTAATGATTTAAATGATAATAAAATAATAATAATTTTTACTTTTTTTCATACAGAGCTCGAAGTCTGGTAATGTTTATCTAGTCTACTAATGTTCTTTAATTTCATATTCACACAAAATTTTCAATTTTTGTGAATATATTTATGAGTTGAATTTGAGCAACTTAGAGTTGATTCAAGTCTATAAACTGTTTTGACTCAAGCTCGGGACTTAAACTTTGTTTCATGTTTAAATTTTCTCACACTTTTAAAGTCCACCAACAATAAAATAGTAAGAATCTCCAGATAATTTTTGTTGAATACGTTATAATAATTTTATTTTGTTTACTGTTTCTATTATGATTAAAGTCTACATAATGCAAATTAAAAAAAAATCTTCAATGTTTAATGGAAATTGATATTTATGTACTAATATGATTTTTTTTGGATGTTCTTTTTACCTAATGTGAGCAATTCATTTTCGACAGACTTATCGAAAGTCTAGGGGTGTTATAATATGCATGTTCGATCACATCAGCTTTTTACTATGCATCTCAAAAATTGGTACTCTTAACTTTGTGTATTAAAGTCAATCTTTTAAAATTAAATTGTATTGTAATTAAATTGCTGTCGCAAATCGTCAAAAAATGTAAAAAAAAATTTCTCGAATTTCAAATTCGTTAGCCGTCATCATAAACTATTTGTATTTGTTTGGGAAATGTCAAAATGTATACTCAAATAACTTTACAAAATGTATGTCGGTAGAATAAAACGTAAATTTATCAGATTATTTACTTTGTCAAATATTTGATTTCATTGAAAGTAAATTGGTTTTTAGTCATTTCTTTCATTATAATCATCATTATCATCTATTTCTTTACATTCAAGTCGAATCTTTCATAATATGCTAATAAAACTAAAGTTAAACTTATTTTTCATTAATTTTTTTAAATGAGAACTTTTAACTAGTTTAATAATTCTTGCTCAAAATTTCAAATATTTTCTTACAATTACGTTTACCAAACTTTATGCAATTTTCTTCTTTTTTTTTGTTTGTGGATAATTTTATCGGACATTATTCTTAAAAATCTAATATGTGTCAATAAAAGTATAAGAAAGGAAATTTCTTAGACACTCACTTATTATCTTTCAAACTGTTTAGTAGTATCCAGATTGGTTGTTGTAACCTTGAGAATATGAATCTGTTGGAGATAAAAGAATTGAATTAATGAAAGGCCCCTAATGAATAAAAACTTTTAAATTACCATAATTTCCATATCCAGATCTCGATGTGTCGTACTGATTGTACGAAGAATCCTGTGAAACTTGTCCACCATATGAATCAGTTCCGTAAGATGGTTGACGATAATCTTGCGAATAATTTGTGTACCGAGTATCGTAGGACGATGTGCCACTAAATTAAACATTACATGAAAAATAATTCAATTCAATTAATCGTTTATGTTATTACCTATAATCTTGATATCCAGCATTGTGATCATATTCCTGACCATATCCCAATTGCGAATTCTGTGATCCGTATGATTGATTGTAAGATCCTCCATTTGTTGTATATCCACTTTGAGATGATTGCATGTTACTATTATATCCACTTCCATGCTGTTGATATTGATCCATTCCATACTGTGTTTGATCTTGATAACTTGGTGGACCATGACTAGAATAGAAGAGATTATTAATTTATTGCTCAACAGTTTTATAGTCAATGACTAGCACTTACGGTGGCATATTGTATGAACTTTGGTGATGTTGAGGAGGCATTGAAGAAGGTGGTTGATTTTGTTGAACATTTCTACTTCCCATATATGGTCCGCTATCATAGCGTCCTCGTTTTGGTGGTTGCATTGGTTGATCATAACGAGACATTTTTGGTGGTCCTGAATTCGGTGGCAATGCAGGCGTCAAGTTAGATGGTTGACGCGTATCAAATTGCTGTCTAGGCATCATTCCACTTTGACCAAAGCTACTGCCACGTCCGCGTGAGAACGATCCTCTAGAAAATCCTCTGCCTCTAAATGATCCACGACTTGATGGTGGCATTGATGAATTACTACTATTATTATTATTCATCGATTGCTGTACGGGTGATGGACCAGATTGTTGCTGCTGTTGTGATTGTTGCTGTGATGAAGGGATAGAACTTTGTGGAGCAGATTGTTGCTGTGATTGAGGCAAAGATCCAGTTGTAACAACTTGAACATTATTTCCACTTTGTGTTGTTACTGGAGCAACTGGAGTTGTTGGCTTTTCTGGTTCAGGTTGTGCAGTAACAACATTATCATTCTGTTGTTGTTGCTGCTGATTTTGGAAATAATCTGAATTTCCTGATCCTTGATTCATAAAACCACCTCGACGTCCTCTTGGTGCACCTCTATTGCCTTGCATTGAGTTTCCGAATCTTCCAGGACCCCCTCGTGGACCTCCACGACCTCTCATCATTCCACCTCGTCCTAAAACATCCAAAAGTATTGCTTAATCTATAAGTCAACTTAATGAAATCGATTATTTACCTGACATTGGACCATTGTTAAATCCCCCACCTCTCATCATTCCACTGCCACGACCACTATTAAGTATAGCATGAAATAGGTCATTTACATTCATCTATTGTGACTTAATTAACTTACCGGCCTCCTCTTGAGAAATTTCCCCTATTATTAAATCTACCTCTTTCCATTTTTCACTGTTTTAAGGTTAATTTATTGAATAAATTTTATAATCAATTTTCGTCCTATTTTCAAGGTTTTTAATCAATTCACAATGTTCTTATCGAACAAAATGTTTTCAGCGGCTTTAAAAACTGTTTAAGTACAAATATTCTGTGATCTTCAATAAAATTAATGGCGAAATGGCGATCAATATTTAAACACAATTTTTCACTTCAATTACTGAATTTCAGTAGCTGTTCATATGTTATTCCTGACACGGCTTATGAGTTATATCTTTTTAACTAGTTTTTGTACCATCTGATCATTTAATAATGCCACAAATTAATTTTTTAATTTGGCGTCAATTTTTTTCACATTAATAATTCAAAACTTTTCTTTCGAAACTTTTGAAGCTATTCCTGGAACTTTTGAAACTTATTCTTAACTGTCTACTGATTAGTTTTGTTAATATCCGCACTTTGAAGGTCTTAATTCGACTTTTAATTATTTTTTTTTGCAGCAAAAAACAATCGACTACTTGTTAAAAGTCAGCACGAAACTTCGTGATAATTTTGAATAATTTCAGTCCGTTATTATGAAATTGAAATTCACCACAAAACATGTGACACGTGTTCAGATTTATGAAAGCAAGTTAAACATTCATAAATTTATGCAAAAAAATAATGCTTTTCAAGAATTTTATGAGACATAATGTAAGATTAATGTTGATTTATGCGGATTGTGTAACGTCGAGCATGTTGCTCAATTTCTGAAAGTAAATTTTTAATTCTTCCAAGTCGTGGTCCCTTCAAATCAAAACAATAACATCTTTTGTTCACTCCAATCAGTTCTTTTCAGTCGTAATCTAAACATTATCGAAATTCAATCATATGAAACAGAGAATATTATTTTTTATCAAGAAATTTGATCTAGCTTTAAAAATCCTTTGATAAATTTATGTCTTTTGCAATTTTTAAAAAAAGTTTTTTCAAGAATTTGCGTGATTTTAAAAATAGTGATCGAGTTCATCTTCATAGTTGTTGTGTTTATATATAATAATATATGAAGATTATATTTAGTTTGCTGTAAAAAAAAATAATATTAGCGTGCCTCGTTATCTCTAAAATTATATAGTGTATGTTTTATTTTTCTTCTTTCATTAATGAAACTTTAATAAAATAAAATCAATGACACAATTGACAAACCCCGAGACAGAGACAAAGAAAAGCTATAATGTGAAGTTAATGAGAAAATATGCTCATTTTTTGATAAGCTCATTGTAACGAATTTTTCAATTTACATCGAGTGTGTACTTATGACTGTGCCTAATTAAGATATTGAAAAATAAAATAGGGACCATGTAACAGGGTATTTAATCGATATCATAAAACACAAAAATGTTAAGGATTATTACGGCTCAAGAACTAATCATAGATTGACAACTCTTTTTTTCTTCTTTTGAATAAAACTCGTGTTTTATGATAACTTAATTCATTAGTTGTGTGATAAGCAAAAAACTGCTGATATTTTATTTTAGACAGAAAATAATTGTTCATTCAACTTTGTCTCTTCGTTTTGAGCAGTTCAATCGACACACATTACATCCATACTCAACCCAACAAAACACATGCTCAAGTGAAAGAAAAAAAATTAAGAACCAGAATGAGAATGTGAAAGAAGACATGTGATAAGGCACTTAAGAAGGAGATAAAAAAAGAAAGAAATCGACAATATTAAAATTCGGAAGTAAAAGAAGAAGAGTTTAACTTGAGAAAAAAGCTTCAAGATCAAGGCAATCGAGAAGATACATAGACTCAAAATATGGCATGTAGCGCATCAAACATGAAGTTCGCAAAAGACATCAACATTAGCTTTGAAAACATAACTTATAGTACAAAAGTTGGATTATTCAAAAGAAGTAAGTACTTTATAAGTTTTATATCGCTTATCAGTGTATGAGATGGTTCACTTGTAATGTCCTTCGTTTTTATTTAAATGGGGTCTAAGAAAAGGTTGTTACAAAAAATCATGGAAGTAAAGTCTGAAAATTCAAATTCTCGGCTGTACAGAGTTTTTTCTTTTCTATTCCGGAGTGTTAATTTAAACATGCTCGAAACTGCTGTTTTCTTTTATGGTTGAGTCCAAGGATTTATTTTAATTGTTACATCTTGTTTGCTAAATATTCAATTATCAACAATCTTCAAAGGATTATTCGGAAATGATGTTCTCCTTAAGGGTCATTCACTTACCTATAGTGTTTATCAAAAAATGGGACTTTTAGGCTCTCTTCTTTTTGTCAAAAAAATACCTTCCCAGATCCCTTAAATTCTTGAGCGCCTTAGAGTGCGTGATGTATGTTGCTAAGTTTGAAAAAATTAAACTTTAGATTTTTTTGTGGATAAAGGCGAGGTTTATTTTGTAACTTGATTTTATTAGGATTTTAGGCCAACTCGTTCTTTGTGATAATTTTTTTTTGAAAAGTCGTGTCATATTTATATGATTTCACATAAAGCTCGTGTCGAGTTTAAGCTCAGAATATTGTGTAATGGTATGAGACAAGAAGGTCTTATTTATTTATTCTACTCCACATAATTATTTACCTCCTCAAATTTTTGGTTTGGTAAGCGATAAAAAAGGGAAGGGGTCTGAAATTCCTGGAATTTATAATTTCTTTAAGACTCTAAGCAACTTCTTAATATATGAACGAACCCCCCTAAAATTTAGTAATGCTGAAAAGCAAACAAGTGAGTATATGAATTCTACTATTCAAATAAAATGCAATATACTAAAGTAATAAAGAAAAGAAAGGAACGAGTGTGTTTCGAGTTTTTTATTGCGCGACTTGTATGCAGTTCCAGAGTTGGGAGTCAAAGATAGCATTCCGTTATTTACTGTCGATTTGCAATACTGCTGATATTTGCATATTACGTCCATATAATAAACTGATCATAAAAGAAATAATGCACATTGCCTAATCAGTTCTATTCAAATTCCATTTGTAGATGACAAATTAATTTTAAACGATTTGAGCGGAGAATTTCGATCGCGAGAATTAACCGCAATTATGGGTAAGTGACCAGCTAATTGATAGAATAAACATTAATTAATTGATTAAGTGCTTGTTGGTATTCAATTTCTTAAAACATCTTTATTAATGCTATTAATTTTTTTTTAAATTCTTAAAAAGGTCCAAGCGGTTCAGGCAAGTCAACCTTATTAGATATTTTATCCGGATATAAAAATAGTAATAAGATTATTGGAAAGATTAAAGTTAACGAATCGATTAGAGACCCAAAGCAATTTCGACATATTAGCAGTTACATTATGCAAGATCATTTGCTCCACCCATTGCTGACTGTTGAAGAAGCAATGTCATTTTGTATTAATTTAAAAATCGGCAAGGAACTTAGTGATCATGAGAAGGAAGATAAGGTTCGTATAGATATGCTTTTTTGATATGATTTTATCGCAAAAAAAAAATATCGTCGACTGTAGACGAGTAAAGTATTTGATATTTTTACATTGTTGTAGATCGAAGAAATCCTCCTTAATCTTGGCCTATACGATAAGATGAATGTAATGACGGAAAAGTTGAGTGGAGGACAACAAAAACGACTGAGTATTGCATTAGAATTAATAGATAATCCTCAAGTAATGTTCTTTGACGAAGTAACCACCGGATTAGACAGCGTTTCATCGAGTCAATGCATTCAGCTGCTCAAAAAGTTGGCAGAGAATGGACGAACGATTATTTGTGTAATGCCTTAATAAGTTCAATTAACACCATATGTCTGACATTCTTATTTATTCTTTAGACAATCCATCAACCATCCGCCTCTATTTTCGAATCATTTGACCACCTTTATGCGATTGCCGAGGGACAATGTATATATCAAGGCGAAAGCTCAAAACTAGTACCTTATTTGTCTCAACTTAATTTAATTTGTCCTGAATTTCATAATCCATCTGATTTCCTACTCGAAATTTCAACACATGATTATGGATATCAACTAGATAAATTAATTGAAAAAATTAAGAATAGCAGGAATCACGAGTTTCGAAAACATTTAACATTAATGGCTGCTGAAAGTACAAAGAATACACTAAATTCGCATTCATCGTTGAAAGCAGAGAATAATCCAATTACCTTGTGTGTTAAAAGAGCTAAACTTAATGCAAGACTCAATATATTAGATCCAAGAAGTTACTGCAATGATTCTGATCTATACTCAACGTCATTTCTTCGTCAATTCTACTATCTCTATTTGAGAACCTTTCTACTGATTACAAGAAATCCATCGTTATCACTTATGCGATTGATGATTCATCTCTTTGTGGCTATATTCATAGGACTCATTTACTTTCAAGTTGGAAATTCAGCCAAGAATTTAATGAACAATTTCAAGTTCATCTTTTACACCGTTATGTTCTTGATGTTTACTGCGTTCTCAAGTTTGCAGACGACTTGTGAGTATATTATTCATTATTCTGCATACTGCACACAAATCACTTCTATATGTAGAATGTAGACACGTGTTCCTATGCAAAAAAAAAATCGTTATAAACGCAATTTTAAAAGGCAGAACAGACCATTTCAGTCTAGCTTGTTACTTTCCACTTTGAGTACAGAAGAGCATGATTCATATGAATGCATTTGTGTACTTTGCTCCTGCTTAGTATGCTACAAAGCATTCTGGAAATGGATATATTAAGCACTTAATAGAATTATCTTTCTTTTTATTTTTATTATTTTTTTTTTCTCTTTCTCTCTCTTCTTATTTTGCTTTTTAGTTCCATCGGAACTACCAGTCATTAAACGCGAGCATTTTAATCGATGGTACTCTTTTAGCGCTTACTTTACTAGCCTCACATTAGCTGACTTACCGATGCAGATATTGTGCACAGTAATTTACATTGTAATCACGTACTTTCTTACCAATCAGCCACTTGAGCTCTTCCGTTTTACCGCATTCTTCACAATAAATCTTTTATGTACATTTGTTGCACAAGGATATGGTTTAATTGTGTCGTCACTATTCAATGTAAAATGGGGTACAATATTAGGCAACTTTTTCATCTGTCCATTCCTAATATTTTCTGGATTCTTTGTTCAAATGAAGCACATCCATCAAGCGTTGCATTGGCTTTTTCATATATCATTTCTCAAGTATGCACTCGAAGGTAAACGATAATTAATTTACATGTGTTGCAATTTACTGACTGACTAATTGATTTTAATTTAATTTGCAGGCAGTGTTTATTCGATTATTGGATTTAATCGAACGAAAATTGAATGCGATGAGTTCGACAAGGAGATTAGCTTTTGTCGATATTCATATCCTAATCAATTACTGCGTGATATTGGTATTCAAGATTGTGCCAAAAATAATACAAGTAACGAAAACTGTGATGCTGTGATGCTGGATAACCAAAAACATGATTTTGTTAAAGTCATTATCGTACTTGCTGTCTTTATAATATTCTTCCGTGCAGTTGCATTTTGTATTATGAAATATAGATTAAAAAATAATTAAATTAAGCAATGAATAGTCATTTTTATACAAACATATTTATATACAGTGCCGTATCTATACAAATGTTATTTTATTATTCGATGACTATTGAAAGTTAATAAAATTCAATTTTCATACAAACATTTGTTGACTCTTAATTCCATTAATTATCCTACTTATCACACAAGCCGTCTAAATCTTTAATCCCACAGATGTTTGACTCTTCTGTCTATAAATTTTCCCACTTACAGTGATTACAGATATAAATTGTTGACATTTGCTCCAATTGATAAGGAAATAGCGATTTATCGAGACAAAAGCATTTTAGGCAGTGTTGGGACCTGTGATAAGTGGAGTGAATGAAAAGCTTGTTCTCTAGAATGGTACTACAAATTCTGTAAAGTCAAAAAATAGGTGAAAAGATATAAAGGAACACTAGGCAAGACTTTATTTTTCTTTCAATATTTTTTTTATTCATTTTTTACACTCAATCTGCATTTTTACAAAAACAACTTTTGGATACAAATTTTTCCACTTTTTTTTTTTGAAATAATTTATTCATTATTTGGTGAAAATGAGAAATTAATGACATTTGGCTAACCGTGACTAAGCATGTTAATTTTTCTATGCAATTCCTTGGTACAAATTGTTTTTCAATATACTAATTCTTAACACAAAAATTAGTATACTTCCATTGAACATGGATTCATTATTATTTTTTGGTAGGTATTTATTATGTTGATGATTTATTCACAAAGAGACGATGTAATTGTTATTTACAAAAAAAAAAAACAGGTGATGAAATTTGTGGCATACACATGATACACATGCACAGACAGATATTACGAAGAGAAAAAAATTAAATTCTTTTATTGAACACTTTCATCGTGAAACAGGTGAAATGTTTGAAAAGTTATGACAATAAGATTGTCAGTAAATAATCCTGATATGACAAAATAACTAAATGGGGACAAACAAAAGTGTAATCAGTTCCAAAGTTTATCAATTTTATCTGATGATCATAGATGCAATAACAAAAGATATTAATCCATTTTTCTAATATGTTCAATGAGTGTAAAAGCAATGAACAGTTAATACTTTTAATTAGGGTTTCCAAATTGTTATTCTCCTGTTGTATTTAAGATCAATGAATCAACTCAAATAGCAAACTATAGTCTTAACAAACCCTTAAAAAAAATTTGGGTAACGGTTTTTTGAAATTCAAATATTAACGGTTTTTAAAAATTTGATGTTATAGAGGTATCAAATCAAAATTTGAACAGGTTACACTTTTATGAAATTAAAACTTTTCAACTGCCCAATACAAGAACAAAGGGGTTGTTCACTTATGACGTCCATAATTAACGGTCATTTTTCAAAAAAGTACAATGGAATTCCAGGAATTTCTATTGTTCTTTTATTGCTGACCCCCCCCCCCCCCCCCCCCCCTCCTGAACGTCATAAGTGGACGGTCCCAAAGTAGAATTGAACTTTTAAAACAACCCCGAGCTTTATATGATGTATAATTAAAGTGATATCAGTTCTTAACCAAAGAAATTAATGAACATTTGGAAACCGTAACTACACAAAATGATTTCGTGCATTTATAGCGCTTTTGCATGCAATTTATCTAGATAAATATCATGATACTGCTGATTCCTTTAGTGAGATACTTTGATTACCAAAAATCACTTAATTCCACAAAAATTCGCATTAAAAGCGGTACTCAAAGAATTTTGGAAAACTATATATGAATGGTTTCGACATTTTGTCGGTAAACATAAATTTGGTTTCGATTTCTGTAATTTATATTACAATCCATCATTAATGTGGGTATTTACACACACTACAATGCACCTTAAACTTATAATTCTTCACAAGTTATTTGGGCATAATTTAACATAAATTTAAACTTCGTCATTTTTAATACACTTTATTGAATTTATAAATGTTTGTTTTTATACCTTGCTATAGTTAAAATTTTGAATGTTTTGCAGTGTTCAAGTTACTCTTAACATAATATAATATATAATCATTTTTGGATCTTTCCTGAATATTTCATTTCATTATCTCTGTCTTATATTGAATTCTTTGTGTTTAATAATCCTAAACAAATTGACTGACTGACTGTGAGATGATAAAAAAAAGTTCTTTAAAGAAAAAAAGGTAAAAGGAAATGTCCTTGAATCTAATCATATGTTGTCTACTAATTCAAAAAAAAAACTTTTGCTGCTCAGGTTATTAAATCACTCTTAGTTCTTTTTTAACATCTTGCAAACTCCACAATTATTCATATAAAAAAATCATAGCTAACATTAAGGTAAATCATGAATTTGATGATAACAGTCAAAAGTAAGTATGTAAGTAATTAATTAATCCATAAACGGTTCGAACGCAAACATAATCGTTATTAAAATTGCTTTAAAGATGATTTTCTCTAATTCATGTATCATTTCTAATGGCACAAAACACAAAAGAAACTAATTATTGCTCTAAACGTTTGTTTCCATCCATTTAAAGGCCGCAACTAAATTTAATGACACAATTTACGACAGAAAATATTTTCTCTTGGCCTTTTAAAGGTCTTTGAAAGTATATAATTATAATTCATGAAGATATTCTTTCTTTTTCGAAGAATGTAGGGAGTACAAACATTAACTAAGACAATTCTTAACGTATAATAACTCATATTAACTCAACTATTTGGTAGGACTGTTTTCATTCATACATAGTCATAAAGAATGAAGTTATAGTAAAAAAAAGATTATATAAAAAGTTGAACATTAATTCGCGCCATAGAAATTCACAAAATTTGTTGATTCTTTCACTTATCCAATAAATGAGCAGCATTCTTCTCAAAAAAAAAAAAAAGATTACAAAACAGAAATAAAAGTAAACGAACTGTTGTGTCGCAAGGAAGGAAGGAAGGAACATAAACACATAAAGGGATAGTAAAAAGAAGAAAAATTAGCTATTTCTTTCATTCTGTTTTCTCTCTAGTATGGCTTCGAGGCATCTTTGGATCGTTTTAGTTGCACTTTTAAACGCTTTGTACCGATTTGAAAACCGTGCATGGCTTGAATGGCTGCTTGCGCAGACGAAACATTGTCAAATGACACAAAACCAAAACATTTACTTAAATTTGTTTGCTTATCAATAAAAACCTTTGCAGATAAAACATGCCCAAATGGCATGAACGTTGATGCTAAGTCTGAATCTGTAAACTCTTGTGGTAAATGATAAATGAATAAATTACAGCCATCAGGACCTTCAATTTGCTTCCCAGCTGCGCTTTGAACTGCTGCATTGAAGGCTGGATTTGTTAAATGTGATGCGGAGAACGGTGACGTAAACTGCGAAAGTTGAGTCGTCTGTGTTGGCGTTTGAGATGTCGTCAATTGAGTTGCAAGTGCATCGCTCGTCGGCCCTATTCACAAACACAAGAATATTCTTAACTTAGTAAGTCTTTGAGAACCAATTTTAATAGTAAATAGTAACTTACAAAGACCCGTCGCAGTTCCATTATGTAAGGTTGCTTGTTGATTTGTAGTCGCTGCAGCTAGCGTTGGCTGGGACATTGCAGCTAATGTTAAAAGGTTCTGTACACTAATCGGCCCAAGTAATCCAGCTGATGCTGCAGCAGACAAATTTGTCGCTGAAGGTACATTGTTTGCTTGTTGTTGGTTAACTTCAGCTTGAGCACCTAAACCTGAATATTAATTCGTTAGCTATAGGGTGATTCTCCACATGAATGGAAATTTTAGAATAGGTCATAATTTATCTTTTTTAAATCCCCTGATAAATTGAAAACCTGACCAATTTCAATGCTTTCTGATTTACCCTGTAGAGAATCGCCTTATAACTAGCTCAAGATATATCATATGAGTGAAATAACTTACCATGTAAAAGTTGCTGTTGCAATCCTATAGCCTGTAATTGCTGGAGAAGCTGGATCGATGCCGTCGAAATAGTCGATGCTGCATCATTTGCTAAAAACGGACTAGAATGTGTGGTAGGGTTTGTATGAACGGGTTGCGGAGTGATTGGAATTGGTGATTGTGTTAAGGGATTCATTCCCGCCGCAAAATTGAATATATTTGATTGAATCGCTTGCATACGTTTTGCATCTTTCTCTTTTTGCGTATCAGCAAACTTTACAACAAGAGGCGCAGAACACCCTTCCATAGTTTGACTCTGATGAAGGGCCTAAGATTAATTAAAGTTTTTGCTATTATTGTATCCGAGGATTTTATCGAGTGTTAGTTTAACTCACCTTAATAGCACCAATAGCCGCCTGTTTTGTTGAAAATGTTACAAAAGCACAACCTTTACTTTGACCTGAAGTATCTCTAAGAACTGTACATTCTTCAATCGTCCCATGACCACTGAAAAGTTGCCTCACGTCATTCTCGTTAAATTTCTTATTCAGCATACCAACGAAGAGCTTTCGTTCTATATTTGTAAGTAAATAGGTTGTCAAATAAAATCAAAAATCAGTATCTAGTGACTAAATGTATTACATTGAAGATGATTGTCATATGAGGGAAATATTTTTTTTTTATTTTCGTGAATGCCCAGCTCAAAACAGCTGATTATTCATAGTTTAAGTTATAGAATAAGCAGCTAGTTTGAGGCTTTCGAAATTAGCTTGATTTCGCTCGATTACCTGGTAACAAATAAGGGGTGGTATTTGTCGTTGGCAACCAATACGCAGCACTTATTGAAGGATATTGCTTGGAACCTTCGCATACTGATGATTTTGAGGATGTTGACGTAACAGACGTTGTCGTTTGTTTTGTTCTACTTTTCATTATTTTATCGGTTTAATTTTTTTTTGTTGTTTTATAAATATTTTGGTATTTTTCACAAATATTTTTTTTTATAGGTTGTGCAATAATTCAATTGAAGAATGATAATAAACGAGGAAGCGAAACGGAAAGAAAATATAAAAAGTTTGTAGAAAATATTAAGATATTGGTGAGTTTTCCCCCGAGAAGAACAGTTGTTATCATACAATAATAATAGACAAAATTATGATATTACAAATTGTCACTAACACATTCCTTAAGGACATTTAAACATCACAATAATGATTTCCAATTTAATGTGTTTTTAACTTATTAAGCATTTCATAAATTACATCACAAAATCTTTCACAGTTTCCTTTTCGTGTCAATTCTTCAGATAGTTTTACTTTTTCACAGTTATTATTCACTTTACTGAAGCTTCAAAGCTACACAACATGACGATACTTTATTTTTTGGCTAAATGAACATTGAAAGACAAATCAATTAGCAATAAGTAGATAGATATTTTTTTTTCATACAGAATAATGAAAAGTGTGATATTTAATCTAACAGAGGTGATAAGCTTGCACGTTTTATTATCGTTACTTTACGTAATATATATATTTTTTTTTATTTGATGAGGTTTTGCAATCGCAATTGTTCGAATGATCGAGTAAAGGAAGACGTTTTTTGCTTCTTCCAAAGAATTCACGTAGCAAAACTTAATTAAAATGAAAAATTATTTAAATTAATTTTCAATTCAGACTGAATACACACTTGAAGCGCAAAACAATTACCGAGAACTGACAAATATAAAATCACTAAGAATCCAATTTTGTCAAAGGCATTGCTTAAAACAAAAATTTATTTAAAATTAGATTTGAAACAATTACTGCTGTTTGTTGGTATTTTTCATTTCGCTTATTCGCAATTGATTTGCTTGCTTCATTTGTGTGAAAATTGTGATTAGAATAAAACATGTTGTTACAGGGAATAAAATGGATGTCATTACAAGTAAATTAAATTGCCGGTGCTAAATTTATCGATTTTTTTTCTGACATTTTCTCAAAAGTTGGGCTGGCCACACGTTACCAAAAGTAGAAACTAGAATCTTAAACTTAAAAATAACGATTACAAAATATTTAAAAAGTAATAGTCGAAAAAAATTTGAAAAATAATTCAATTTTTTTAAGACCAACCGTAATTTTAAGTAACTCGTTCCAGCAGAGAAAATGACCGGTGAAAAAAGATGAAAGCGCGTTTAAAAATAAAAGACAATCCTTGGGAAATTCCAGAACGTGGTTAGCCTATCCGAAATTAAAATTGTCAAAGTTTGCGAATTTCAACGTGCTTGCCATGCTATTGAACTTTATAGCTCTAAGCAGTGCTGTTCCTCAGCATCAATAAAAATTAAAGATTTTTTTATGCAGCTCGATTGCATGCCTAACTTCTTTAATTAAATTTCTTGCACACTTTTCCGTTCTTCATTGAACATTTAACCAATTTGCAAACTTTGCAGTTTGTCTTTATATAAGCAAGTTTTAATGCCACATTAGCAAATTGTTATGAACACAGAAATAAATAATACATTAAGTTTAAAGGCAAATTAAAGTAAACACACAACAAAACAAAAAAGATGAATTGTAATGAGAACTTAGTGACAAATAATCATAGGAAGTTTCAGGAATTAAATCATGCTGTGGGTTTTCTAGGAATCACAATAATGCGCACACTTTAATGTCTCATCAGCTTAAATTGAATGAAATGGTTTGGCATGTAATACACACTGAAGCTGTTTTCAAGCAATAATATTTATGACTTGTAAACATTTTATGGCAAATTCACTCACTGTCATCAATGGTTGTAAAATAAATGAAGTGTAGAATTGTCATTAATATCATTTTGCATTGTGCTGAACTTCTTTTTTATGTGAAGAAGTAAAAAATTGCATATTCATGTAAAGTAATTACAGAAAACCTCATCGAAGAAGGGAAACTACTTCCACCACATTCATTTGAATTTTGTTTCTTATTTCTTTACTTTGTAAGACTATATCCGACTATATGAATTAAAAATAAACCGTCATTGTATAATCAAAGTAAAGAAATCACTCTCAACAGATGTAAATTATTTTTGTCAACATATTTTCATATCGGACACAACTATTTGCTCATAGTCCATACACTTCTTCACGAACAACAGTGATCATATTTTTAAATTTAATTAAATTATAATTAATATTCAACGTAAAACTCAAAAAAAAAAAAATAGAAAACGAAGAAGGAGGAAAAAAAAATATTCAAGCACTGTTATCACTTCCGTTTAGTGGTATCCATTTTACGATCGCATAAATAAATACACGAGTTAAACTTTTGATATCCAATTGTCAACTAAACATCACACATGAAAAATAATTTCTACTCTTTTTTATGTGCTGTGCTGCTTCAACTCTATTTACCATTTACATGTGATATATTCAAATACCTCAAAAACTTGACACAATGAGTGGATGAAGCAGAAAAAAAAGAGAATATCGACTATCTTTTAACATCACAACACAAATAATAATACTGTATATGTCAATCATATACGACTGACTTGCCTGTAAGTCGCGACTGTATTTAAGTAAACAGTATATTTTTTTCGATATTATTATTCGTCGATGTGTGCTTGCTGAAATAATAATTATTAAGGTAAAGAGATTTTTTAACGTCATATACATACAAATGAAGCAAATAGAAATGTTATCACAAAACACAACATCATTGTGAGCGCAACTGAGAGAACTTTTTTTTTATTTTAATTTGTAATAAAAATTTAATCGACACTGTTAGTGCTGATCGCTTGTATTATTTTTTCACATCTAATTACATTGAAAATATTTATTTTTTGCTCAATATCCAAATTTCGATTCGCGTACTTTTATTATAGACACATTATATTTTTAAATAAATTCAATTATTAACTTCCTCGACTCACGTTTCAATTTCGACTGTTTGATGGCCCATCGTATACTCGACTCTTCGATTTTCTATCGAGTTGCAGTCTTTTCGCAATTTGTACTCTTTACTTTATTCTTATTGTATATTGTCACTTAAAATTGTATTTGTCACTGTTCAATAGTGCAATTTAAATTTGCAAAAACTAAAACCACGATAAATCCACAAAATGATATATGAACACTTCATGACATTGTAATTATTGTGAAATCCTCACAAAACTGGAAGTCTAGTTTATCACGACATTTCGAGCTTCACATTATTTCTGTTTTAGCAGCTTTGGAATTAGAATTTTATTCAAATAGCTATCTAAATAACTTTGATTTAGATTCATTTTATATTTGATTTCATTTTCTGTAAGTACAAGTACGCACCCATCAATCTTCATGCATGATTAATTCCATTTTTTTGCCTTTACTCAATTGTTTTCTCGTGTATTTCTTCCATAGTATTTAGCCGTATATTATGGCTCTGTCAATGTATTTGTAGAAATAATACCGAAATTCTAATTGCACAATATATGCAAACTATTTATTACAACAAAGTAAGCAAGTATCTTCGTCTTTAAATCTATAGATAACTCGCGACAATGTAAAAGTTCGATGGCTAATTCTCGGAGTAAGTTTATATTCCAAAAAAAAAAAAAAAAACCGAATAGATTTGAGAAAATTGTTTGCATATGTCAACTGACCTCTACGAAACTTCATAAGTGAAGAGTAATTTTTAGCGTTTTTATGAAAACATTTTTCTAAAAGGTAGCTTAATAATTCACTTTGCACGTCAGGCAAGCAGAGATCAAAAACTTTTTAACCAAACTTTTTAAAGCAGCTCGGATTTGTTTTAAAAGCTTTGTTACTCATTACATTTAAGCATTGTTAATTATATTAACCAAGGAAGGTAATATGTACGGTCATATTTTGTACGTAGTGTATAAATTTGTAAATTACAGGCGTGTAATGAATTAAAATGTTTTTGTAAGTTTCAAAGTGTTTACTAATGTTACATTTTGCTACTAGGTTCGTATTAACTTGCTAATCAAATGCTGATCAGTATGACAAAAATGCGCTAAAGTCCCTCTACAGTATCACGAGGACTTTTGTTATTTCCATTGAATTACAAAGTGATTCTCTGTGATTCATTGAAAGATAATAAATAGCATGCTTCATGAAAACATTCAAATAAAACATTAGTTCAAGTGTTTTTGTAATGAATTGAATTATAGGCACAAAATATTTCCCCATACGACAATACGTAGTACTATTATGATTGTTGTATAAAACAGTCAAATACTCACCATTACGATTCTCACTATCAGCCGGTTTCATTTGTATAGGATGGTGCATCTGAAAGAACATACAAAAAAAAATAGAGAAGAGATTAGTATAATCCTCTAATATATTGGTTTCCTCAATAATCTCTTCTTAGCGTGGCTGTTACCGTTGCTACTAGAAAGTTTAAATTAATTAAAGGAACTGCATTTGTACACAATTCAAATGTATTTTTTTTTTTTAAATAAAGATCATTAACACTTTACTCAATGAAATTAAAAAGAACAGAAAAGAAAATTTCTATTTTTGGAGGAAAATTCTTTTTTCAAGGTTTTTCTCTTCTCGCAAATACTTTTTTATGTGACAGAAAAAAACATACATAAACATAAAAAAATAAATACCAAAATAAAACGGATTAAAGGAAAAATAGGAACGAGACTCTTAATGATCAACATAGGCATAATCGAATATTTTCACAAACACTTACCCCAACTAAAGTCTTTATATTATGAAGAGCATCTTGGGCCTTTAATGCAGCTTTTCGTGTATAAAACGTCACAAAACAGCATCCTGCGAATGACAATAACAAAAAACAAAGAAGCTCTTAACGTTAAGCCATCAAACATTTATCGATTCAATTTCTCGAAAACAGGAATATTTTTTTAATGGTCAGGCATAAGACATATTATGGTAGTCATGTAAAGACAATATGTACATAGAAAAAAAAAAAACTTTAGACATTTCAATTGGACACAATCAACAAAAAAATATTTCTGCACTGAATTTTGTAGTATAAAATTTCTGTTTACCTTTACTCAGTCCCGTAGATTTGTCTCTCAATACATTAATCGTATGTACTCGACCAAACTCCTCAAACATTTCACGCAGTTGTGCTGCAAAAGTGTATTAATGAAATCAAATCGACTTCCAGAAGAACATTTTGAATATTACCTTCATCCATGCTTCGCGGTACTTGACCAACAAACATTTTTATATAATCTGCATCAGGCTGGTCTTGATCTATCATCATCAGTTGATCCTTTTCGATATTATTGTCTTTAAGCATGTGTACATGATTTATTTGATTCTGATTGATTGTATGTGCATTGTTATTGTTTAACGTGGCTAAGTCACTGTAAGACGAAATAAGACTTTTGCTAATTAATCATTTTGTTATTGGTAATTCCTGGATCTTTTTTATTATTGCTTAATTTTAACCTTAAATATTGTTTTATGGTTTTTTCTTCGAATTTATTGCAAAGCTGCACTGTTTTGTTAATTTAAATAATAGGAGAGACTCACTTGATTCTGTCATATTCGTTTATGTAATTATTGTATCCACAATTATAGGTAAATAACCCATAATCGTAAGGAAAATTGATATTCATGTTTTTGTCTGCTTTTTAATATTGAATTAACGTCTTAATTAATCAGAAATACACAATGAATTGTCAAATGATTTCAGTAATTCCTCAGACAGTTCGCAATTATTTAAATTAATTAAATCAAACAAAAGTGTGAACCTTCACAATAAAAACTCAATTGACGATGACGCCATTTTATTAATCTCGATTAATAACTGCTACAAAAATTTTAAAATTAAGTTTTTAACAGTATAACAGTCTGAAGTTGACTGCGATTTTGATCGAATTCAAATTGGCTTAAATCTTACTGGCTTAATCCTGTCAGGCTTGATATTGGATCTGATAAATGATTTAAATAAAAACTGGCTCTTTAAATCGACCCATTCACTTCTTAAACTAACACGTGTAGAAAATACTCAAACACAAACAAAAGAACAAACTATAACTGGAGCTAATTAGTCAAGAAACTAAGACTGTTGGACATTGCATTATTCTGATCATTAGGGTTTTGGTCCATTGAACAAATATTCGAAAAATAGCAAAAAATGATCCCCCACCCCCTCTTCTCACATAATTTCTATGTCGACAAATGTGTCGAGGTCCTTTTTAATGTAGCCTTATTTACTCTAATTCGTTTCATTTAAAAATGATTCAACTTGTTTGCAGGTATATTTATAAAATATAATATACATATCATCGTAAAACTTTCATAAATGACAGAGAAATAACAATGATAACAAAAAAAATATTAAAAGTTGCTGATAAGAAGAAGATAAGATATACTAAATTTTGAAGCCAGCAAACGAAAATATCGTCATTGTAGGTGAGTTAAGGTGAAATCTCTTTTTAAACACACGATTTAATGTTTTCTGCGTACAAAATTACGACTCTCGATTTAATTCTCGTTACAACATGCTAGACTTTCATTCATCAGAATCAAGTTCACAGAGGCTTTAAACTCACAGATTAGTTGAGCAAGATTTAAACTGTACGTCTACTATAATTTGTTCATAAGTGATGTCCATCAACAACTTGTTTTAAAGAAGCTCTGATATTTTTCAAAAAAAAAAATCTGAGTAAAACTCACATAACCTCAGACCCCCCCCCCCCCCCCCCCCATACCCTTATTTTTGGACATCATTTAAGAAATGTAACCCACTTAGTAATTGCGTAAAAAGAGAAAGAATCGCTTACTTTTCAATGTATTTGCTGCTATTGTGGTTGTTGGATGTCGGTGATGATCGATTATTGTATATTGATTCCTTTTGATAGGGATGCTGTTGCATTTTATCCGCTTTAATTGAACAACTAAGCTTATTTCCATTGTTATCGAGGAGGATTTTATTATTCTGTTGGCCTGACGATAATTTATCCGCAAGCGTCTCTAAAGTACTTAACATTTCTAGCGATGTCAAATTCATTTAACTATATCTTTTTCAGCTCTTTCCTTCCTCTCAAACACTATATACTTAATTTTATTTAATTTTCAAAGTCCTCTCTTTACTAGGATTATGTCCTATTTTCTTTTATATGCGTTTAATTCACTTTAATTATTTTTTTAAACACATACACTTTTGCACCACTGCACTAGCTTGCCTTATTAAAACTATTTTTTTTATTATGTCTGTTTCTATCATACGAGGTGATAAAAATAATGTCCGATTGATGGCATATGAAGTGGAAAACTAAAGCAGCTTTATCACAATTCTCATTATCTTTTTCCTTCGTCTGATTTTTTTTTTTTTTTTATTATTTAACTTTTCAATACTTTATTCCATGTATGAGTAACCTAAAACACATATCTCGTCGTTCTGTAAATGAAATGAAAAACTGTTATCTCCTTGCGTCTGAATATATATTAATATATTTATATTTATATAATAATTATGTATACTATTAAATGTGCATGTATTTTTGGGACCTTATCTTATCAAGTCAAACAAATATACTCCTCTCTTTTTCAACTTTTACATTTAATAAGCACACACGGTGCAATATTTATTTTTCCGAAGAATATATGTGTGCTGTGCTGTTCTTTTCATTCACATACTTTATTTCTTTTTTTTTTCGTGAGATTTAAAACTTGTTGAGTCAGATGTGTAATAAATGTAACAAAAATCGTGGGTTTTATTAATTATGACATAATGTTGTCTGTTAATTTGTGCATGAAAATTTATCGAATAATTTATATTACACTACTTTTTTGTGTTTCGCTTTTAAGAGGGAAAAATTGCAGCATCAGCAATGAGAAAGTTCTTCCAAAAAGTAAATGATGCATATTTTGAGGCATACAGGCGAGATGACGAGATTAATTACATGAAAATTTTAATTTCTTTTATATATGTTGCTGCTCTTAATTAACTCTTTTTCTTAGATACATTTTCATATTTCCTTTCTGTAATATTATTTTAATCTACATCATCAACTACACTTTTCTGCTTAATGATTCAAAATAACATTTTTTTTCTCTTTCTCACTCGCCTGTCTGCCTCTGCCGTGCTTGTTGGAAAAATCATTTCTCTCAATTGGAAAATATACATTGTAAGGGTGGAGGGTGGTAAACTTTATTTTATTTTTGAAACACTTCCAATTGTTTGTGGAAATTCAGATAGAAAACTTCTTAATGCACACATAGTCGTAAAATTCACATTTTATTATCTGATATTTTTTTTATTCAAAACTGCTTGAAACTCACATTTCACTTTAATTAACTTTTTTTATTCCTTAAATAAGCGAATTACTTCCACAAATCCTAAGTGATTCTTCGACTTTAATTATTATTGTGATGCACTCACTTAATCATTATTATTCATTGATTTACTTATGTATGCATAATCTCTTATATATAAATAGAAAAGTCATGCTTTCATTAACTCCCATCTTATCATTAATTGACAGCGACAAACATTGATAATCTTCTTCGAAAAATACATTTAATATATATAAATTTCTATAAATATTCCTCAGTTGTTGCTGGACTCTCTCTTTTATTTCATTTCATTTCTTATTTTTTTAAGAAGATTTTCACTTTTCAAAATTTAATTTATGTCATGCCATAATTTATATTCCCAAACGATTATTTCACGACTATAGTTTTTTTTTTTTTTTAATTTTTTATTTGGCTATCCTCAACACAAAATGTTTATTTCGGATATATCACAAGTAAATGATGCCGTTGTGTACGAAAAAACAACACTCAAATATCCTCATACAATTTTTTTTCTCAAATAAATCATTTATTTAATAAAAATATGACAGACATGATGTGATGCAATAATTATCATTCTCTTAAAGAACTTACAAACATCGCGAGTCTCAATAAAATTTTATTTTGCACTTCTTCATCCTAATAAATGCTATCATCACAGATCAGAGTGGAAAAAAATCATTTGAAAACAAAATAAAATAGCGCTCCGATTCTTTCGCTTTCTACGTTTATACTGAACGGACAATATAAAATAATCTTTTCCACTTTGCGCTCGAAAATATGGGAAGTGACATTTATTGAGATTTTTTTTCTACATTTTCCTGTCTGATTTTGTCGACACTGAATTCGAGTTTATGGCACATGGAAATTTTCCGAAGAGATTTTCCAACACAACATACAATGAGAGTGAGAGACACAGGATATACATCCAATCCTTATGTATTGGAAATTCTCCCCTACAGAAGTCTCTCATTCTCATTATGTTCGGTTTACACTCTTTCACATTTTCTGTGTGCCCACTTTAAGGATTTACTTTGTTATTTTGATACGTAAAGAGAATGAAAAGACACAAGAATGTGACATGCTTGTATTTTTGTTTTTAAACGAAACATTTGCTACACCATATAAAATATATATAACTCAGTGATTTCTTTATTTATGATATTTCTCAATCGCATTTTCCATAAAATAAAAATTTTTCTTCTCAAAAAAGTAGGAATTATAAAAAAAAGAATGAAAATAGAAAAGGAAGGGAAATCTATTTTACTATATATCACGGCACTTTAGTAAAACACACAAACACCTGTCTGATATTTTTCATTTCAGTTTTTAAGCATACATTATATATGATTGTTATTGCCTACCACATTTTTCCTCTCTTTTTTTTAAATCTATTATAGATATGGAGATAATTTTTTTTTTAATTTCTTTCTGCTTCCTTCGAGAGGATGATAATGGCTAATAAAATGTCTATTTTACTCTTTCTTTATAGATTCGTCGTTACATCAGTGATGTTCAAACTGTAGGCTTTGAAGAAGCTTCTAAGTTCTTAACAAACGGTTCTCAATAGTAAGAATCAGGGTTGCATCCAAGATTTCTTTTTTTCGAGAAGAAGGATCTTTTTATTTTTTTAAAACAAACCTCAAAACCCAATTAAACTGACGAATTTTTGGGTGATAGGGCGTCAAAAAATTAATAGAAATTATGAAATTTGAATTAGGTAAGTCGCTTCACATATTGTTGTCACTGGTTTCGAACACTCAATGGTAAAATGTGATCGATAATCAGTCAAGAGTGAAATCTCGAACTTAAGCATTTCCTGCACATTAAATGACCAGAAAACAATATGTGAACCTACTGAATGGATTAGTGTCGATTTTTATGATTAATTTTATGTTATAAACATTCAATAAAACATACCTCCTGTAAAAGTTGTGTTTGAATATACAGTAGCGCTCAAAAGTATGTTGACTTTTAGACTTTCTATCATAATTTTTGATCTACTCAATGAATCTTTTTGAAATTTTCACCAGTTGACCTAGTTTCAAAAGAAAATCGAATGAATATAATGACTTTATGGTTACTTAAGTTTTTATCCTTTCAAAAGTATGTTGACCTAGAATATTAATTTTTTTTGTTCCAAAAGCTGATTTATTTTAACTTAGAGTGCTTTTTTCTTAAAATTCAGATAATGTAGAACAAGTTTAAATTTTATAAGCCTTAAACTAAGTTAAAACTTTTTTTAAATAAACTTATATATCTCTAAACTCGTTCTACATTATCTGAATTTTAAGAAAAAAGCACTCTAAGTTAAAATAAATCAGCTTTTGGAACAAAAAAAATTAACATTCTAGGTCAACATACTTTTGAGCGGATAAAAAACAAAGTTTTTCGAGGTTAGCTTAATTAACTTATAATAGGGTAAACCATGTTGAAATTTGTGTGTTTTTGCATATGAAGATTTGATTTGCATGTAACTTTTTAATGGCTCATTGTAAAAATTTACCAATAGTCACAAACGATCAGAAATCGTTGACAGTTTTGGTTTTTTAAACTTTTTAAAGGATGTGCTGCTTAAAGAAAGAGAAATTTGATAATTTTGGAGCACTATATGTCGATTAATCATTTTTGAATTTTTCGGAGTTTCTTTTGACTTTTTCCTATAATTTTGAATGGCACACATTAGTTTTGCTACCAGTTTATAAGTTCCTGCAGTTCTTTTCATGTCAATCTTCATTTGTTTCTCTAAAAACATAAATTTAATACATAAATAATTATTGTTGTTGACAAAATTTCTCATTGCCTTTTACGATAAAAAACGCACAAATTTTAACATTCGTCAAAAATTTTCGCACAAATTTCAAAATTTGAAAACCAGTGATTTTAAAACTAGTTTTTAAAGTACTTCCAATGACTTTTTTGAAGCAACAACTTTTTGAAAACGTAAAGCAATTAGGAAATATGATTTTTCATCTCTACTTTACTAATATGAAGCACACATTATGTCCAAATTATTAAAAACATGAAAATCACAATTTTGTATAGGAATTCGAATCTTTCAAATATAGGGCTGTTTAAAGCTTTAAGCCTATCCTAAATGACTTAGAAACATTTGAACATTAGTTTTACATAGAACTGCAAACAAATGTTTAGTATAAATGGCTTAATTAGGAGGATTTATTTTCAATGTGAGTGCACAAATTTCAACATTGCACAAATTTCAACATGGTTTACCCTATAACTTATAATATTCATTCGATTTGCATTTGAAATTAAGCCAACTGGTGAAAACTTCATAAAAATTCATTGAGTAGATCAAAGGTTATGATAGAAAATCTAAAAGTCAACATACTTTTGAGCGCTTCTGTAGCTGGAATTATAAGTTTTATTATAAGCTGCTCTATATTGATCCAAGAGAGCAAATAAATAAAATATTTGCATCACATAAAAAGTGAAATTAAAGTGCAAAAAATCAGAAATAGCGAAATTTATCAGCTGAATATCAAAACATAAAATTGTCCCGCACATAGTCTTAGACATCACTGCTACATATCGTAAGATGTTATTTACAAAGTTTTGTTTCTGTTTAATAGGATTATTTTGGCAAGCGGAGGAAGTAGTAATTAAAATAAATATAAAAGTTTACGTAAATCAGCAATTTAAACGCATTTTCCAAGAATTGTAAACTGTCGATACAAAATTGGCCTTAAGTAATAAATAATTTAAAAACTTAGGTGTGTATCTCTCAAGAGTTCCTTAAATATTAATCTCCATAGAATGTAGAATGGTAGGTAGAACGTTAGAAAGCAATTTAAGAGAGAAATATTGAAACCAAGTGGAAAGTAATCTCGACATGTATTTGAAGATAAAAAATTATTTGTAATGCATTGTCGTCAGAAAATTCATAATCGCTAATCATCGAGTATTATCAAGTATTATGGAATACTTTGTAGCGCCAAAATACGATTTGTGTTATGAGTTCATTGCTTATAAGTAAAGTAAATTTTTATTTATTAAGGAAACGAAATATTTGATGCACTTGATGGATAATGTAGCCATAATAAACAACTTTTCTTACACCTGTCTAGGATTTATATTTAGTGAATTTTATAACATCTCATATACAGTTATTTGACAACAACTTGAAAAGTATCTATAAAGTGTCACTGATTTCTAGACCTACTCTAATGCTGGATATATGTGTGTGATTGACCTATCAGGTGAATGACATTCAAATGATTTAGCAGAATTAGTCACATGTTGTCACCCCCTGAGTTTTATCATTATGAACGATCGTTTAGACACATCGTAAATTAAGGCAATCCAAAATATCACAAAAAGCCATTGAAGAATTTAATCGAAATTTTTTTGTATTTTTATTTTCAGACACAGAAACACATTTTGTTTCAGCGAATGACGTCTATGCAAAATTTCATCTGAACGTAGATCAAAGGACGTTTTTGAAAGGTTCTTAAAATTAGTAACATCCTTAATTTGTACCATTGATATCGACATACTTTATAGTAAAAGAAAAGCATATAATCGAAAATTTGTACTCGTTGAAGAGTAAGTACATCATGATAAGAATTTCCCCACGTGACTGAAAAGAGCGACAAAATTGTTTCTGTTCGTAAGAAAAGATCTGCTGTTAATATCGCATAAAGGAAGGAAAGAGAAAAGAAAAATTTAAAAATAATTATAAGAAATCATGATAAATCACACATGATATTTTTTTGTAAGCTTCAAATTTTCATTCAGAAAATTAAATGTCTTCCCACATTGAAGATGACACTCAGACTCGATGACTATGGCTATGTGACATAATATGTGAGCACTTGTTGTTCTTAATTTATTAAAGTTGTGCGAGATTTCGATTCAAAGTTAAAAGGTAGACAGGAGAATTAACAGTTTCATTTATCATGGAATAAAATGTGATGATTTACAGAATGAAGGAAACAGCGAAATTGTGTGGCCCAAAAGAATCTTTTATTAGATATCTTCATTTATAAATTAAGACATTTTTATTCACGCGATGTCGCCTCTACTTATCAAGATCACATCCAATAAAGCTCTTAAATACATCACGATCTTTTTTGGTTAGTCATAGATAAGAGCTGTTTTTTTGATTACCTGAGCTTCAATCTGGATCACTTAAAATTTAAAATATGTCCATATATTGTTATGAGTTCAAAGTTCCATTGATGTCTCCTACCCTTAATCGTTAGATAAAACACGAACAAGTCAAAAAACTTAAAATCTATTTTCGTACCAGAAAAGTTAAATTAAGATCTTATGGGATGTAGAAATATTGCAAGTATTTATTACTGAAATTGTGCGTTTAACATTTTGATGACACTAATACATATTCTTTAATTACTTCCTTTAATGAAGTTCCTCTCTGAAGCATCTCATGATTAAAAATCCTAGCACATCAAAGTAACACTCAAAGTACCAAGAGTAAACTTATAGAATCACGGCTAGAAAGTGTGACTAAACTCTTTAAAATTAATTTTCTTTAATGAATTGTTAAACATATGCTGGCATCGATAGATTAACAAAGTTTAACTAATTATGTTTGGCAACATTTAAAAGAGAATCTTGAAATGAGAAAGAAAAGTATTAAGGAGGAAATTCGAGTTTGATTTATTAAGTCAAACATAGGCGAGCAATTTGTAAAACAAAAGAAAAATACACATTTCACAGCTCACGTACATAAAGAATGCTTAATAAACTGAATTAACGTAGCTAATAAAAATAAAAGATTTTAGAACTGTCTCTATACGTTTTCATGCAAACAATGAGTTATAAGTAAGTCAATACAATGGATATGATAAGAGTTGAAATTACTCCTGATAATGTGATTCACGTACTAGCGATAAAGTGTGATAAAAACCACAAAATTGTTTAGTGAAATCTTTCATTTCGTTGAGAGGAATTAAGCAGACTAGTAAGGTGAGGTCAATTCCTTAATAATTAATCCTTTTCCAAATTAAAAAGTTCTGTGCTTGTAAATAAAATAACGATCATAATTCAAAAATACCGCCTGTAAAGTAAGCATACAAAACAGCACAATATCTAGTATGTTCGTTTGTGTCGTGCCTATATATTGACGAAGCGTTCTTATTGCAGGTCTATAACAATTCCAAGTGGTAGAAAAAAAATCGTAGAGGTAGAACAAGTAAAAAAGAGAATTTTGGAAATAATCATATTCGTGGTTTTGTTGGACCTTCATGCTAAGCTATTTCGTAAAGCACTCAATTAGAAAATTAACAAAATGTTTCTCGGACGGAAGAGTAATCAATATTGGAAATTCCTGACAATAGTTTTGTTATTTGTATTATTGGTGACACAAATTAACGCTGATTTGGCACCGAATGAGGATGATGAAGGTACAAATGAAAAAATTGACTTGGAACAGAAACCTTCTGAGGATGGAACTAAAGCTCAAACACCAAAAACAAATCTAGGATTTATTCATGCTTTTATAGCATCATTTAGTGTTATTATCGTAAGCGAAATAGGAGATAAAACATTTTTCATTGCGGCTATTATGTCTATGGTAAGACTTTTATTTTACCTTGAACATTTTCAAATTTCTCTAACTGACGCATGAATTCTATTTTAGAAATATCCTCGTCTAACAGTCTTTGGAGGGGCAATTACAGCGCTCGCGTTAATGACTGTCTTATCAGCTGTGTTTGGCATGGTCTTTATTCAATTCATTCCACCATCAATTACTCGATGGGTATCTGTGGGCTTATTTGTTGTATTTGGACTTAAAATGTTACACGAAGGTTGGAAAATGACTAGCACTGATGCAGCTGAAGAAATGGAAGAAGTACAAGCAGATATTAGAAAGCGAGAAGATGAGGTATGTTTTTGGGGTGACTCATTCATTATCAGTTTTAAATTTCAATCAAAAATTAATCGTTCTGTTACCAAATAATTAAAAAATAATTAGTGTAGCTTAATTAATAAGAATGAATGTAACCATCATAAGATTGATGATTAACTCTTTTAACATGTGTATTAAATGTAGCTAACGCAAAGTATGTTAGCGTTAGAAAGACGCAATCAAACTGAAATAATATTGGATTCGGAGCCTAATATGACTAACAATATTCTAGCAAATGGCATTCACGCTGAGAATAAAATGGTAATAATTGCTTAATTGCGAATTTCTGTTAAAAGTACTTACTTGTAACCTAACGAAAAATGTATAAAAGATCAATTAACATTCATTATTTCCCCCCGCAAATTAATCATAGAGAATATGCATTTTTTCTTCATTTTTGTTCTTATTACTCGGGAGCTTGCTCATGTTAAAGGTCACATTATTTGTTATCATAAGAAAATTGCTCATGGTTACGTTCATATTTCATATATATATATATTATACACGCATGTTATGTCTTTAATGTTTATTTATGTTTGTAAGTTTATACTTTATTTTTTGCAAGAAATTATCCTCAAACTGATAATGAGGCAAACAAACAAGTCTGATGATTGGATCTTTTCTTGCCTTGTTCGATTTTTTTTTTTTTTGAATATCTTGTGTTGAGTTTTACTTTGTTGGATAAGTAACACAAAAATCAATAACACGCTTTAATCGGTTTGTTCTTCACTCTTTCATCAAATCTTATAAAGTTAATTATTTCCAATTTTTACTAATCAAAAATCATTGAATTTGAAATAATTTTTCCAGCTTAATAAGGACACGAGAAGTTCGCAAGATGCTGAAGCTGGAGGAGCTAGGAAAAAAGCTAGTCCATTCACGCTGTTATTTAAGATATTCATGCAAGCCTTTACGATGACTTTTGTCGCTGAATGGGGCGATAGATCTCAAATTACAACAATTATTTTAGCAGCAAGAGAGAATTTATGGGGTGTCATTTTAGGAGGAATTATTGGTCATTCAATTTGTACGGGATTGGGTGTAATAGGGGGAAGAATAATAGCTCAAAAGATTTCTGTACGTACAGTAACCATTGTCGGTGGTATAGTCTTCCTCATATTTGCTATTACATCATCAATTTGGGATCCAAATGATTCAGTCGGTGGTCCAGAGCCAGCAAGTAATACCGGAGGAAACTGAACGCTATGTAATGCAGAAGGCCTTAACAAACCAACAGAATTGATTTTATAATAATTGTAACATGCCCGTTAGATCTATGTGAATTACTTGTTTATTTATACTTTTCCACTTCTTTTTCCCAACAAATCTTTCTCATTAGTGCAGAATTTATTTTATTTTTTCATTCTAAATGAAGAGTTATTATGATAAGAAAAATAGTGATATTTAATGAAGGATGAAAATAATATAATAATATATATGAATGTAAATAAGAGTAATGAACTGAACCTATTGTTATTTTGTTCACTCTACACGTAGGTAATAAAAACAAACTATATATCACTTGACTAGAATAAAAATGTCCTTTCTAATTCCCCAATTTATTTATTTGTCTAGGATATTCCAAATGAGTCAAGTTGAATGACTTGATAAGGCCAATGCAACAGCTTGTGCTTATGCAATAATGAATAAAAAGTATTATAAGGAGTGTGCATATCACGTAAGCAATTTAAAATCAGTTGCTAAGTTGTAACATAGTTGAGTTGAAAAATATCTGAAAGATAAGGCTAAAATTTTGAAGGTCTTGACTCAGATTCTGTGATTTTAATCAAAGCACTTGACAGAATTAAAAATATCCTTTTTACTAGACTAAAAATCACGTGAGCATAAATATGTCACGACTAATATATTTTAAGGATATGCATGTGACTTGACTAGGAGGGTGGAAAAAATAAATCATGTATGTTATCTTAATGTGGCACGGATGTTGTACTACTTCTTAAATCCAACTATAGTTCTTGGAATAGAGTCAATGTCCCATAAATCGTGTCAATTAAACTTTCAAAATACTATTAGTCATTTCTTACTCAATGGTATAAAGGAATAGAGCCTGACTAGCTGTAGATCGAAAAATGCAGCGGATATTAATTTTAAAAATGTTGAAAGTGAATTGTATTGAAGAAAAATGCACAGCAGATGACAGAAAATGTTTAATTAAGCAGGTTATTAACATTCTTGTAACCTTGAACTCGTTTATGAACTGCAAATAACATCAATAATATAATTAAGTAAAACGATCAGATACAAATTCAAAAAAATTGTCGTAAGGTTTTAGAGTCGCACATAGCCAGAGTATGCACATTTAATCGAAAATCATTGTCAAACTCATTTTTTTCTGAATTTTGGAATTATTCTTATAACTTAATAATAAAACTAGTGTGAATATTCAGAATAAGTTTTTCATAAATTTATTTCATTTACGTTTGAATTTTATAAAAACTAGTAATTTTTGGTTTTTTTTTTAAATCATAAGAAAGGGAGGGGTTTTTTTTTTGTTAAAAGCAACGGCTGCATCGACTTCATTTCCCAAAAAAAAAACAGCTCTTCTAAAAAGCAGCATAGATCAATTGCAATGAACTGGAAGTCTCTACGATAAATCGTTATTGAGATTTCTTGCTGATTAACATGCTTGCAAACAGAAAATGTATTTTGGAATTTGATGTGAAATTTCAGGTACAAACTTTTCATTTCTGGACATTTTTGGCTGTCTTGCTCAATTTCCTCACAAAATAAGTGATTTTTCAATCTGAACAAAACAAAACACGGTGTGAATAAAATTAATGTTTTTTGAAATTTTTGATTAGGTTCCACAATCAACATTCTTTTTATATTGTAAATCTTGATTGTAACGTTAGAAAGGTCTTAAATGTAGCTATATAAAAAAAAAAAATCAGATTATCTTTTTATTATGAGGTCCAAATTGAATCCACTTGTTTTTTGATTTACCAAAAAATTCAGTTAAAAGAGTAATAATTGTATATTTAAAAGGAACATAAACTTATATCTTGGTATTACACTTATATTTAATTTAAAAAAAAAATCTTTGTCCCGTCCCATCCCGCAATGCGGTGTTGAATGCAAAAATTCAAACTCAATTTTTGATTTGTGAATCTTGAGATAACTCAAAAAGTTATTTCAACCCTGACTAGATGTAAGGTTTTTGTGAGGTTTTTGTGTATTTTCAATTGTAGAAACATTCGGGAATTAAATTTTTCTTAATATTCGTATAATTTGAGTTTCTTTCTCTGTCAAAAGTTATTATGGTAGCATTAGAGGACTAGAAAAAGTGAAAAGAATAAAGTGCACTCACAAAAAGACAAAAATAATGTACATAATGAGTGTATAGCGTCTCATGATTTTTCTTAATTTTCTTAGAGATGAAACACATCAAGACAACAAAAGAGTGATAATCAAAGATCAAAATACCTAAATAATCAGGATATTCCAAAGTTAGTATCTATTTCATAGTGATTTGATAATTTCATTTAAATGTGAATGAATCGCTTTTTGAGCTCAGAAAATACTTTCACACATTCTGTTCGTCGAACAAAGAAAAAGTTTATCATGGTGTGTGTATAATTTTATAATTTTGTTGTTGTTGTTGCTGCAGACTGTTGTTGTTGGAAAATGGTTTTATATATATAAATTTAAAATATATATATTTTTATGCATCGTAGCAGAATCAGCGTAAATTACAATACGTCGAAAAAAAAATTGTGAAATTGTTGTAAATTGAATAAGAAGAAATTGTCGTCAGCAAAAAAGTAAAGTCAGGAGAGATCAGATTAATCATATTGAGGAGGAAATGTATTAATAATATTATTTATTTTAAACACTATATTCGTAAGTCGAGATCATTGCTTTATCGAATTGTCGTCGTTTTCCGAAAGAAATGGAAATTTATTCACTTACCTATATTATTTTATTATTAATACGATACTCTGTAATCATGAAGAATAAGAAGAAATCATCATCTTGAGTATATATATATATATGAGAAAAGTGGGTCACATAGCAAAGAAGAAGAGATAAATATCGAAACAATAACCGATGCTGAATTCATTGATAAGAGAAATCTTGCTGTTTTCACAAGCTTCTAAGTGCTTAATTCATGTGAATTTCCAAATTTTTTACACGATTGTAATTCGCTGCATATTTCTGCGTACTTTCGACGTCTCATTTATCTCACTGAATTTTATTTTACAAACTTATTTTTAGCCAGCGATGTGTTATTATTATTTTTGTGAATAGAGACAAGCATGCAAAATAGCAAAGAGGAACGGAAAAAAAATTAGTTTGGGGATCACACGTTTTTTCAGACGTAACAACGAACATATTCTATATTGATAGATAGACAGATACATTTTCGGGTCTTTGTCCACAAATGATATTCTCTCTATGTATATCGTCCGCTATATATATCATTGCGATAGAGAGAAAATAGTCGTCCGTGATAGAAAACATTTTTTTTTTCTGTGGTGTCTCATTCCAAATATATTTTCCTCATCCCTCAGACACTGTGCAGTATTCTGCTATATTATACAAAAGAGGTGAATACAAAAAAAGAGTGGTAAGAAGAAGTAGAAAATAAATGTGTATATTTTGCCCACCCCCAATGTCGTCATTTGTTGATGTAAAAAAAGAGAAAAAAAAAATAATAAGTTACTGGTTGGGGTGAATAACTTGTACGAAGGACGCACCATTGCTAGTGCATTAATATGATGTGAAAAGCACACTACATGTATAAATATATATATTTTTGGTATTTAATTAAAAAGCGAACTTGCGCGAGTTCAGAAGAGTAGTAGACGATGATGACAAGTACTTATTGCTTCTATTTTATCAATAACGAAAAAACACAAAATAGCAAGTGTATAAAGTCAGAGACGACATACATAGTTCACAGTCAAAAAATTTTAAATTATTTATTTTAAGCTTTTTTGTCTGAAAAGGATATACACACGTTCATTCGCAATTGACACAGCACATCTAGAAAGTTTATTACGAGTCGTTGTTTGTTCACGAGAAGAAACAGACATTAATATAAAAAGTGCATTTTTTCTCTTTCCATCTCTTTCGGTAACCTTGAGAAAAGTGAATGAAAAATTGAAGGCTTTTTGACTAGTGGAGTACGAAAAAAAAGTGATGATTTTCTTCTTTTCCGAAAGTTGAACGAACGATAAGTGAAAGTATGTAAAAAAAATAATAAGTTCTATGGTAATCTCACATTCTTGTTCGATTTTAAGCATTTTTCATGAGTAAACAAGACCCATATCAAATGTTATTATGTATATATATAAACACACATAAAAGAAAAATAACTCAGACCCTCTTGGATACATTTTCGCTTTTATTTTATTTTATTTCTTTATCTTGCTTTTATTATTATTATACTTATTTCTGTTGGGTTTCTTTATGTTAAATTTGTATATGTGTGAATGATTTAGATTTTTTGTATTATTTTCTTTTTTCCATCAATTTCGTCGTCGTTCAATGTCTTTACAATTCGCAACAAGACGGAGAAAATTCAATTTTCCTTTCACTCTCGATACTCAATTTCTTCAATTCTCAACCCTCAAAGTGGATTTGGGAGTTTCGTAGAATTTTTTTTTTTTTATCAATAAGTGATCACATTAAACATTCAAACAGCACAGCACACACATAAATTTATATACTTGAGAACCATGAACTCTGCTCGTTTAAATGGTGGCATTTAACATTTACATTATTATTATTTCATATAATCATAAAAGCTCTCTTTTTCATTGTGCAGACGAAAGTAATAGTGAGGTGTTTTTTTTTTTACTTTTCATCCATTCATTCTTCTTATTTTTCTTTCTTTACATTTTCGAATTGAATTCCCTTTCTACATCGTGCGCAAAAGCTTTAACCATCTTTCTCGCTCTCATTTCTCATCAAATTTAGAACGAAAGTAAAGCAAGCTAGCGCCACTAACAAAGCACTATTTCACAGATTGCAGCATCATTGACAACAGACGAGAATAAAAGTGAAAAAAATAGAAACGAGGACACTAAGGAGGGGAGGGAGGATAAGGAGAAACATTTTTTTTTCTTCTTTCGTTGTGGTCCTTTTTTTGTTCAAACGTTCGTCGCTGAATAAAGAAGGAGAAGACACAAAGAAACACAGAAACAGAACAAAGTCTGCAATTGAACTATTTGTTGGTGATTTGTCCAAGGCAATTATTTATGTGCTAATATGAAGACAGAAAACTTGATTGTTACTACTGTTAAGGTTGAACCATTAAACTATGCTTCACAGTCTTTTGGAGATAATAACATATATGGAGGAGCTACAAAGAAACAACGATTAGAAAGGTAAGAAGTGCTGGTAATTAAAATAATACATTATATTAATGCTGTGGATGTTGGCTCGCTTTTTAGTGACGAGTGGATGAATCACAACCAAACAAATATGAATATTGAATCTTCCAATATGAATCATAATACAATTAGTGGCTTCTCATCACCGGACGTTAACTATGAGGCGTACAGCCCCAATTCAAAACTTGATGATGGCAATATGAGTGTTCACATGGGCGATGGACTTGATGGGAAAAAGTCGTCATCGAAAAAAGGACCTGTGCCACGTCAACAGGAAGAGTTGTGCCTCGTTTGCGGAGATCGTGCCTCGGGATATCATTATAATGCTTTAACATGTGAAGGGTGCAAGGGTAAATTAATATTTCTTTTTATTTTATAGTACTCACGAGCTAATTTAAACGTCTATTTCATTATTTGTAGGATTTTTCCGTCGTAGTGTTACAAAAAATGCTGTTTATTGTTGTAAATTTGGTCATGAATGTGAAATGGACATGTATATGAGACGAAAGTGTCAGGAGTGCCGCTTGAAAAAATGTTTGGCTGTGGGAATGCGACCTGAATGTGTCGTTCCAGAAAATCAATGTGCTATTAAACGGAAGGAGAAGAAGGCACAAAAAGAGAAGGATAAGGTCCCAGGACCTGGCATAGTTGGAAGTAATTCGTCGTCGTCGGCGTCTCTCCTGACTCAAAGCTTAAATAATGGATCTTTAAAGAATCTCGAGAATTCATATCGAGAAGAGCTACTTGAACAGCTTATGAAATGTGATCCACCGCCTCATCCAATGCAACAGCTTTTACCAGAAAAGCATTTAATGGAGAATCGTGTTAAAGGCATACCTCAACTCACGGCTAATCAAGTCGCCGTTATTTATAAGCTTATCTGGTATCAAGACGGTTACGAACAGCCATCCGAAGAGGACTTGAAACGTATAACGACGGTAAGATTGACACCCTTGTACTGTCATTGACGCAATTCTTATTATTACATATTTTCTTTAATTGTGTGAAATAATAATAGGAACTGGAGGAAGAAGAGGATCAAGAGCACGAGGCAAATTTCCGATATATAACAGAAGTCACAATATTGACAGTGCAACTGATTGTGGAATTCGCAAAAGGGCTTCCAGCATTTATTAAAATACCACAAGAAGATCAAATTACTCTCTTAAAGGTTTGTCCTACATTGTTGTGTCTATAGAATGAGAATGAAAAAATAAAACTTCTTTGTGATTTTCAGGCTTGCTCCAGTGAAGTTATGATGTTGCGCATGGCTCGACGATACGATCACGATTCTGATTCTATATTGTTTGCAAATAATACAGCATACACTAAGCAAACGTATCAATTAGCGGGCATGGAAGAGACAATTGATGATTTACTGCACTTTTGTCGACAAATGTATGCATTATCTATTGATAATGTCGAATATGCTCTTCTCACGGCCATCGTCATCTTCTCAGATCGACCTGGTCTTGAAAAGGCTGAAATGGTAGACATAATTCAAAGCTATTATACAGAAACTCTCAAGGTTTATATCGCCAATCGACATGGTGGCGAAACAAGATGCAGCGTTCAATTTGCAAAGCTTTTAGGCATTCTTACTGAACTACGAACAATGGGCAATAAAAATTCTGAAATGTGCTTTTCATTAAAACTGAGAAACCGAAAACTGCCACGATTCTTAGAAGAAGTCTGGGATGTCGGCGATGTCAATAACCAACCGACGGCAACAACAAATACAGAAAACATCGTTCGGGAACGAATAAATCGAATCTAAAGCTATATGACTTCGTATTTTATATATTTACCTACCCTTAAAAAATTTCAAAAGAAAAAAAATTATGGAAATAAGTGTAATTACTACATTTCGGATTTTATGAAACATAACAATATGGAGATAATATATATATCTAGAATTACATTTATTTAGGTATAATACATGAAAAAAAGTAACGATGAACATGAAAAGTCACATAAAGCATTATTATTCGAAAAACAAAAAAAAAAAACATGAGAGAAAAAGATTATTTTGTTGAATTGTCAACAAAAGGATGTAAATGGATCAGCCCGATTCGATTCTTGATATATATAAAATCGCAATGAGTATATATCTAAATAAAAAATAATAATAATAATATAATTATTACGTACTTTATGAAATATTTTTATATAGTATTAAAAGAAAGTCACCAATTATAATCTCTAATAGATGATTCAAAGATCCAAAACAGATAAACTTATCGATTTGTGCTGCAGATAAGCTATAGAAGAAACATTTTTCTAATTCAACAATTATATGTTTAAGGGGTTCTTTACTTATTACGTGCGCTTTTTAAGGGAAGGGAGGTCTAAAGTCTTTTTTTTTTGCGTAGCATAATAAGTGAACAGCCTTTAATATTGATAATGTCATATACATTAACAAACGTCTTTCTCGTAATTTATTCAGATAAAAAAAAAACAAAACAAGCACAAATAATGAATATTCCGGGAATCTTGAAACTGCTTACATAAAAGTGTAATTTAATGTTTAACATAATTCATATTTTATGCTCCGATACATTACTCACAACTTTTCATGCTGCATATTTAACGAAAAAAAAAAAAAAAATATTAGAGAAAAGTTCAGTAGAATCCAGTATTAAATTGTTTGCATAAAATTTACTTTAACTTATGAATGGTTGAGCCTTAATTGAGTTAACTAAATCAAAAATAATATTTGTTCAAAACTTGTCGTTAAATTTTCAAAAAAAAAATATGGCTGTTGGTATGGTTCTGCTGAATTATAATTTTTAACATTTTCCGTTAAAAAGCATGAAAATTTGTGAAAAGTGTTTTTCTTTTAAATAATTTTCCCAGAGACATTTTGAGCACTTTTTGATAATTTCTGGAAAGGTGAATTAAAAAGTAGAATGATTCTAAATTTTCTTCATTATTTCATAATCTTTGTTGAATGAGCACGAATTAATGCATAAATTTTCACATTACACTTTTTACTTGTGTGATTCATGCATAAATTCTAGTCATTCGATGATTAATTGATTGATGCGGTTATAGTTTGAAAATGAGAAACGTTTTAATTATAAGAATCTAGTTTTACAGAATTCATTTCAGTAACATAGGAACGATAACTCTTAACAATATTATTATTATTTAAAATAATTAAAAAACATAAAAAGAAGAAAGATGAAAACATAATAAGGATAATTATGCTACTATGTAAAGAATGTTGATAATGCTGTTGCAATTTATTTTCGAGAAGAAATGCACACTTTCTTTGAAAGAAAGTCGGAAGATGTGGAATATTATAAATTTTTTCAATATTTGATCGATGATAAAGAAACAAAAATAAGAAAGAATGGAAAATCAATTAATAGATAATGCCTCACGTAAAAATTTATTAATTATCATGCTAAAATCAAAAAGTATCGATCGGAAAATGTCTTTATAAAATGAAATTAAGTTTATGTAATTTCTTTTTTTATTGCAAATAAATTTTTAAAAACTTACTTTATAGCCTTTTAATGACTTCGTGACGTATTGTTTGATAATTTTAAGAGCTGTTTGGGGCCGTTCACTTATTACGTTCGCATTTTAGGGGGGAGGGGGGGAAAAATTTACAAATTGTAACAAAATGTAACATAGGGGGGGGGGGGGTGTCAAGAAGTATGTAACGTTCTAAAGTTCACTAAAGTTCAGTAAATAAAAGTTCACGAAAAAAATTTGTTTACAAATTCTCACCAAAAACATTTTTTTAAATATTCCACCTTTTTAATGATTTATGAATGACCAGATCACTTTTGATAGCTAAGCAATACATAGTTTTTGTTATAAATGTTTTTAATAACAACATTTAAAAAATTATCAAAATAAAATTATGAACGTTCAGGGGGGGGGGGGGGGGTGTGAGTTGTAACATATTGTAACAAACGGGGAGGGGGGGGGGTGAAAAAAAGTCGTTTTTTTGCGTAACGTAATAAGTGAACGGCCCCTTTCAGTTGTACTTACTTTTTAAATTGCATGCAAAATGATGATGCAGTTGGAAACGCGTTGTTCGTTAATTAAAGCAATGCTGACCTCAATAATTTTACAATTCAATAATGTCTGTCGACAAAGAATTCAATATGCTTGACATGATTTTGCTTTGTTTCTAAATTTTCAACTTAAAGCTTCTATTTGTTTTTGAATCGAAATATCAAAAACAAGGAGCAAAAAGTGTTGGAATTTAACGAAACTTTGTTTCTATATCTGAATTAATCACCTTAGAATTAACATGATATTGTAAAAGAGACAACAGAAAACATCGCTCTTTTTGCAGATGATACAGCATTGATTGAAAAAGAACAGTTAATTATATTAGCTTGACATTTCTAGAATCAATAGTAATTCAGAATTTAAGTTTTTTATTCATTAATTGTTGAATTTGAAATGTCACTTAATTTGAAGGATTGAAAGAATTAGGTTTAAATTAATTTCAATAAGTTTAATTTTATTTAGAACAATCAATCGCAAAAGCATGCAATGAAAAACAAATAGTACATATTTACTCTATAAATCATATTCAAACTAATCATTCTTACCAATAATGAAAACAAAAAGAAAAGTGAAAACAGGAAAATGAATGAAAAGTGCAAAATATTATTGCATATTTGATAAATTATTGAATGTCTGACTGTTTCTCTGTTACAGTATTGAGAGAATTACTATCAAAGATCTCTGAGGTTTTACTTTTTTTTATTCCTTTCGTGGCTTTCGTTTTCTTGTTGGCTCTGCTTTTACTTCCTCTACAGGCTCTTCTTGCTCTTGCTCAACATTTTCTTCCTGTACATCTTCGTTAACTTCCAGCTGTTCCATTTCTGGCTCGTTTAAATCAAATTTACTCTTTTTATCTGTTGCTTGAGGTTCTTCGTAAGTATCATCAGCAGTCATTTCATCAGTCTTTTTGGGGTTTTCAATCTAAATTCATCAATTAAAATCTTATTACTTACTGTATGAAAAATAAATGATGAATAGCAATACCTTCTTTGGTGAAGATGAACACAGCATATACAAAATAATCGAGACTGGCAGTCCAATAACTACGACTAAAAGAGCTACTATCCATGGACTTTCGTTAACAATTTTCTTCATTTTTTGGACAAATGTTTCCTACATCAAATTGAATAAAAGCAATCAGTACTCTAGCAATAAACCACAATAATTTTGTTTGGGGAAACAAGCGATAACTATAGTAATATAGTAAGTATGAGTAGAAACCTCAATAATATCGTCATCTTTTTTACGTTGCCACAAGTAGTAGATATAAATCGTAACAGGAATCATACAGTATATAAAGTACGAGAGATAATAACCCGGACTATAATTCATGTGAGCCATCATTCGTTCCCAGAATGTGTTCTTAACGTCCACAATTAATCATATTTAATTAATTCATAAACAGAAAAAAAATAATGAATAATTATTTAAAACTTACAGCTTGTTTATCTAAATGTTTACGCTTGAGATCATAAGTTTTTTCAGCCCAATCTGTAGCATGGCTTTCGTCGTCAGTAATGACAATATTGTCAAAGAGAATGTCACTACTCATAGACCACAATTCGATACCAACAGCAGACTAGAAATAAATGACATTTGTAAGACTTCGCTGACATAACAATAAGCAATATGTAACATACGATTGTAGTAATTCGTGAGAATGGATCATTGTCCTCGAAGAAGTCAGGATTTACAATTTTCTTCGGTGACCATTTTCCCTGATAATTTGGATTGTCAATCAAAGGTGCTCGCCATTTGCCTTTATATTCTGGATTAGCAATCATTGGTGGTTCCCATTTTCCACAGCCAGCTGCATTCTCACACAATGGATTCTTAATCATAGGTGGTTCCCAAATACCTGTAATTTGATTCAATTAAATATTGATTTTTACTTCTATGTGCTTATTAACATTACCGTCTAATTCTACGTCCCAGTCATTTGGTTTTTCAGCTGTTGTGTCTGGAATCATGTCTTCTTCGTCGTCGAGCCAATTTTCAGGCTTTGACGAATTAGGATCAACAATTTGAGGTGGAACGTCCCAATTTTCTGGTTTGACTGCGGTTGGGTCTGGAATCTACAAATATATTGGGGATTAAGTCATGTAATAAGTTATATGAATAAGACTTACTTTTTCGCGTTCGTCCCATGATTCTGGCTTAAAGTCTTTGGGATCGTCAATCTCTTTTGGTGGGTTTATTGGTGGATTCAAGTCTCTTAATAGGTGTCCTTCATTAACGGCAATATGATCAACGAAAATTTTGTATGTGTTATCTGGATTAATGATGAGTTTGTACAAATGAGGTTGCTTATCTTTAAATGGTTCTTCGATACGATCTTTTGGTTTCTTGCTATGTTTTTCTTCAATAGTTCCATTCTTTGGATTCACGTGTCGCAAAATAAAGTGTAATTTGACGTCATTTCCACATTTATCTGGTCCAAACATGATTGTGTATGGAGTTTTGTCATTGAATGATTTTAAATCTGTTGTATCACTTCCTGATGAAAGTAACTTGATGTAACTTCCTCCACATTCCTGTCCATCTTGGAGTGTTACTTCGTATTGTACTACTAATGGTTTGCTGCCAAATTTAAAAGGTTTATTGAGACGAGAAGAGATTGCTGCATGTTTAGCTTTTGACTTTAAAACTAATCCAAGATCATTTTCAAGAATGTTTCTTGTAGGACTTTCGAGATTCCAAATGCCATCATATTTTGCAATTTCTTCGGCTATATCGTCTTTCTTAGCTTGTGACTTGATCCACTTCTCCTCAAATCGCTTTAAATCATCAAAATGTTCAGCCAAGTGAAACTTGCTATTGTCAGGATATGGACTTTGATATTCAATCTTTTCTTCTTTTTGACTTACCACTGGTTCCTAATTAGAATGAAATTAGATATTACTTACTTGTTTCATATATTTATGGAGCTTAATATGCTTACGACTTCTTCCTCGACTGTCACTCCATCATCAAATTCATCGTCATTTTCATCACACTTAACCAAATTAATACTTAGAATTAATAGTACGACCAATGATAGTTTGAACTTCATCTCTACACCAGCAATTTCCTAATGAATTAAAAGAATCAAAAAAAAGAAGACTAATTAGCTACGAGACATGTACTGGATCTGCAATAGAACTGAAATATTGCGTTTGACTAAACAGAACCCCCTTTTTTTCTTTATTCAACATTGTGTTACTAATTGTATTACTAGTCTCCATCCAATATAAAGTATACTTAATTAAATTAAATAAATTGATAACCTATTTATGGTAGGCGAGAAAAAAACTGACGTGTTTTTTACCAAAAATTGTATTATAAAAGCTATTCCTGACAAAAACTCGATGATCTGTTATCTTATATCATAGTTACCTTAACTTATAGCTTATTTAAGACCTTATTATTGCTTATTTTCTTTAAATATTACACAATTTTGTAGAAAAATTAATTCTTAAAAAATGATTCACTAACACAGTCAAAAACGGCAAATAAATTGATAATTTTTTCCGGAAAATAATTAAAGCATAACTTCCATATTAATTAAATACTTATTAACATTTTCACGATGATCATTGAGTAAGTTATGAGCTTATCTAATGCTTTACATACCTAAATTTGAAAATTGCGAAAAACTTCTTAAATAATTTTTATAAAGAAAATTTTGTGTTATTTACTTTTCAGTCGACTAAAGTCTTCATTCGCGTGACTTACTATATGCTGCATATTTTTTAAGAGACTTGGTGCTGTACAATAAGCTGTGTACCCATCACATTTATTGGGTGTTTTTTTAGATTTATTCGATTTCATATAGGATTTATTACTTAATTTTTATTGAGTAAATAGAGTCGTAGTGCTATCAAAAGTATGTTGAAAATTACGTCTAGACATTAAACTATTAAATAATTATGAAATAAAGAACTTTAAAGTGTTGAAAAGTGCTAAATTTAAGCAAATTCCTGAGCTCAGAAAATTTGGCGATAAAAATTTTGTTTTAATTGAATTGATTTCTCATTAATTAGCATACATGAGGATGATTTAAATAAATGTTTTATGATATTTATGAATAGATGGTGCCGTTTTTTTGAGATCCAGTATATCTTATATACTTATATTCGTGAAAATTGCATAAAAAGACATCAAATGTGAACAAGAATTCCACTTATTTTTCAGGGCTGCGAATCATATTGGAAAGAACAAGAATAGTGGACGGACGAAGACGATAAATAGACAACAAGAGAGAAAAAGTGGAAGAAGAACTCGAAAATACCTGTTTTGGACAGAATAAAATTTCTATTTCCGTTATTTTCGTTCATTTCTGGATGATAAAATATTTATATTGAGAATAAAAGATGTCCCATCACTCTGATGATTTGTTACAAGCTGGCTCTGATTCTTTTTGGGAACTCGGAAACTACAAGCGAACGACGAAACGGATCGAAGATGGATATAAGTAAGTAATCAAACACTTATTACTTACTCGGTCGAGCGGCAAAGAACGTTATAAATTTGTCGGTAGTCACATGGCGATGCAGTTTAAAGCCTGCACTTAAAGATTTGTGCGCTCCTAAATGTCTTTCAAACCGGCCTTAAATAGCTTTTTTTCGCATGTATCGTAACTATTTGATGCTAATTGCTTATGCAAATGAATTATACAAAAATGAGAAATTTGATTAAATAATGATCTTTATCTCTCTCGCTTGCCGTAGATTATGCACTGACCTTACAACGTTAATTCAAGAGCGTTCCGATATCGAGAAGTCATACTCAAAAAGCTTAAAAACCTGGTCCAAAAAGTGGGCTGATCTGATTGAAAAAGGTAATTGAAACATTATTAAATTATAAAGGAATGTGCTTGCTTCAAATAATTTCCTTATCAATATCAAGTGTTCAAAAGTTGGTTATCAAGTTATCATAATGTTGTGCGATTTCGTGCATAACTGACTGACGACAAATATGCAGACATGAAAAAGAAAAGAAAAGAAATACCGCGATCATTTTTCTCCATACAATTTAGTTGTTATCTCTAGACATATATTCAGATGTGATTCGTTTCTGTCAAAAAATGTTGTTACCGTTAATTAATCAGTTAAACATTTTAGGGCCCGAGTACGGGACAACAGAGGCAGCATGGAAATCAATTCTGACGGAATCTGAGCGCGTCTCGGAACTACACATGACCATAAAAGATAAACTCTGCAATGAAATTATGCAACAAATCCGTCAGTGGCAAAAAGATAATTATCATAAAGTGAGTGAAGTGTGAAGATTTTTTTTTTAAAAAAAACAGTCTGTGTCTTATGTTTGAGTAATGCTAATTGTCTATTCATAAACATCTTAAGGCGATGATGCAAATTAAAGAACGAAAGGAAATGGATGATCAGTTTAAGAAAGCTCAGAAGCCATGGGCGAAATTATTAGCAAAGGTTGAAAAGGCAAAAGTCGATTATCATGGAGCATGCAAATTGGAAAAGTCAGCACAGAATCAAGAACGTAATGCTAATTCCGACAGTTCGCTATCACAAGATCAGCTTAAAAAAATGCAGGATCGTGTTCAAAAGACGAAAGATGAGGTTCAAAAGTGCAAGGAGAAATATGATCAAGCGCTGGCCGAGATCAATAATTACAATTCCACTTATATTGAGGACATGACGACTGTATTTACACGGTGTCAAGACAATGAGGAAGTGAGACTGAAATTCTTCAAAGAGACACTATTTGGTCTTCATAAAGTCCTCAATCTCTCTGATAATATAGCGTAAGTTGCAGCATTAATGCTCATTATTGCGTCATGCAGCACATTGTTTTCATATCTTATCTCTCCCGTTTTTTTTTTTGTAGATTGCCACAAATTTATGAAGAGTTTTATCATACAATAAATAATGCTGATCACAATAAAGATTTAAAATGGTGGGCCAACAATTATGGGGTAATTAAGCAATAACGATTTGTTTGAATCAAAACTACATTAATCTAATTACTGCTCAACTTTTATTTTTTTTTTATCATAGGTCAATATGGGAATGGCTTGGCCAACCTTTGTTGTAAGTAGCTTTCGATACACGATGAATGATTGACTCATTCATTTCTCAGTTTGAATCCATAATACGCGTATTTATGTGTGTGATTTTTCAATGAGAATTATTTTTTTTATATACTTTCTGTTTTTGATTTGTCATAACTGACCTACCGCATTGGAATTAATTCTGTTGCCTTAATTTTTCTTATTATTAACTTATTTGATTTACGTGATAAGGTTTTTTTCACATTTTTAATTTTGTTAAATATTTAGGAATATACTGAAGAGTTTCGTGACATTGCCAAGGGCATAAAGTCTAAAGAAGCTTTACCAGCTGCCCCCATTACATTGATTCACCAACGCCCAGTGAATGAGGATTTGCATGTAATTGCATGATTTTATTTTATTATCCATCTCATTTCCCTCATCATTTCTTGCTTTATGATTTGAGTTTGAGTTTTATATATCATTTAATAACATAGAGTCTTGTAATTCCATTAACATGCTAATTGCTCGATGAGATCTTCAGCTTATAACATACTAATTGACGATTCACGCCAAATCTAACATGTGCTCTATATTAATCAATTTAGGATTATGAGAATCGTCACTCGAAGAATAATCGAGTTTCAGCTGATCCAGTGCAGATAATGAGAACTGCTCCAGAACCTAGACCAACCTCTTTAATGACAAAAACAACTACCACAACGACGGCGTCTCCAGTTCAAAACAGTTCAGAAACAAATTCCATTAATAGTGCCACGCCAACGAGAGAATCTCCTGATTCTCCAGCGATTACGTAAGTCCATTATCTAGATTTATGTAAATTTCAATACTACTTTATTTTATAGCTGTTTGCTGTGCATGCAAATATTTATATTAATTTTACTGTCTGTCTATATAGGAACGGAAAGAAGCCGAGTGCGAATGATTCTAATCCATTCGATGATCACGACGAGGAATGGGATGATAATTCAGAGAATGTTTTGACGGATAATGGTAATTGATCGCGCTTGTGTTTATGCCTTGTTTTGCTAAATTGGCAACAATATGATTTATTTTAAGGCGAGCCTGGAGTTCCAGTTAAAGCATTGTATGATTACGATGGTGCTGAAAGTGATGAGTTGACATTTAAACAGGGCGAAGTGTTTGAAAAATTGGAAGATGAAGACGAGCAGGGTTGGTGTAAAGGAAGAATCAAAGGTCGTGTTGGTCTATATCCTGCAAATTATGTAGAATCCGTATAAAACAAGTCAAAAAAATATGTATCCTCAATAGAAACGTACTGAATCTATTTAGGTCTTCAATATATAGGAATGATTTCGGCATGAATCCATAAAAATTTATTATTATCGTAAATTTCTTGTGTTTTTAAAGGACTCGAGGCGTGTAATACAAAAAAAAACCCTATTCAAAAATTCTATGTGTTTAAATATCATTATTATTATGTTACTATTATACATAAAAAACTGTTTCCTTAAAATTTCATAGCTGAATTTGTTCAGTTCTGTTAATTTGGGTACTATTAGTATTTAATGCAATTTAATTTCAAATTATTTCATTTTCTCTATGGGCATTCAATTTATTGGATATATGAAGTCTACGGGTCGTTTGATATAAAAAAAAATTATACACATATGGAAAAAGTTAAACGTGCTTTCTTTAATTAACAGTCCATGAAAGGGGTGAACAAGATAAATATGTTGTCGAAATGAACATTCTTTGGTTGACACTAATCAATGTCAGCGCTTTTTCACAAAATTTTAAACTTGGCTCACCTCCTACATAATTTTCATTTGATCATAATTTCTATGTTTAAAGAGCAATATTGAAAAATTTTACAAGGATTAAAAAGTGACGACAAAGAAAATGCCGAGTAATGCAAAAAATGTAAATTTATAAAACAAAAAAAAAATCAATTTTTCTTTTGGTAGCAATAAATGGAATGAGTTGATGAGAATGAAGAAATTACATAGAATAAGTATGACGATAAGATGTTATTAAAACGAGTATAACAGAAGAGAAAAAAAAATAATTGAGACAGGATGAAGGAATTAAGGAATATCGTTGACAACATATTGTTCGAAGCTTTAGAAAAAAAAAAATAATATTAATAATTAATTAATTATAATCTATAATAATAAAAAAAAAAAACAAAACGATGAGTAACAACGTCAAAAAAGAAACAAGAGAAATTTTAGATGATTGTACATCTTGTTTTGGATGTAAAACCTTTTTTGAGGGACACACTTATAAAACTGTTATTTTATATATTATCTCCACACACAATCAATGAGAAACAGAACAGATTTTCCACTTATTGACCATAACACAAATTCATTTATATATGTCAGTCATCTACAGCTATTAATCAGTTTATTCTTCTTTACTACCAAAATATGTTTCGAATAAAATATTGATTTATAAAGGATACAAGAAAGTCTTTTTAAATTCATCATCTTCTTTATTAATTAAATTATCATTTCTTTTTAAGTGACTAGCTTGAAATCAATTCATGGTTCAAGCTTTATCGTGAACAAATTTCAAGCTCATGGTATTTTTAGACGTGTATGAAAGCAATAAAACAGGGTACGAATTTCAGAAAAATGAACATGTAGATTTCATAAAAATTTTCAGTCTAAAATTTGGTATCTAATGTTACTCAAGACCAAAAATGTAATTAATTCCCTGAACGATGAACAATATAAGTGGTTGCCAGGCAAGAAGATATCGAAGCCAATCCAAGAGTTGTCCATAAAGTAAATGCGGCTTTTCCCAAGGATTGAATAGTGAGATTTTCTTCATATCAACCTTCTCTTTGCAGTATGGGCAGACCTAAAGAAGTTATAAAAGTTATTTAATTGTGGAAATACATAAGACAATTTCATTTACTACCTGTTTTTTGCCGACAATAAGCCATCCTCTAATGCAAAATTCATGGAAAGTGTGCTCACATGGCAATTTGTAAGTGTCCTCAATGACACCTTGGTCATTTTCAGATACAAAAAGCTTATGTGCACACAAGCCACATAAGTCTTTAGGGAGTGTTTTAGTTGGAATTCCTTCAATATTATAATATCCTATGTGAATCGCAATCTTGTCTGTGCATAATTCTGATAAATCTCTTCCCAACACACCATAATACAATCCATAAAATATAAATAAAAGCGAGACATCCATCCACGATTGAGGACTATGACTAAAAAGGAGATTGAATCCAACGAATGTCATCATCATCATAATATATCCGATGATTCCGAGTGCATAACTTAACTTATAAATAAATAAGAACCATTTGTACACTAATCGAGGTGTATTTCCTCTTGGAGGTTTTTCAAAGGATCTCTGCAGTACAAGGCATGTGATCATCGTAAATATAGACCAAAAGAACACAAAGCGCCACCAAAAGTTTCTCACAGATATGGCTGCAGGAATCAACCAAAGTGCTACCAAGCTAACTAGTAGATAAGATTTATAGTGCCGCTTTTTCCACTCAAACAGTCCGAATTGGGATAAAATAAGAACTGATAGAAGTATTAATAACATAAGGGCATGCATATCATCGTGTCCCTTGTGCTTCTCGTGCATTTGCTGATGTAGGAACCGGACCCTCTCATCTTCAGACATTTCTTCCAGACTCTTAAAAAAAATTCGACAGAAAAAGAAGATTTTTATAACTGTTTTGTTTTTAATCATATGATTTTGATCATTATCATATCAAAAGTGTGGGATCTATTGTGAGCTATCGTCAATATTAACAAACTGTATGTATGACTGTATGCTTATATGGAATCAGACCATACGACACCCCGTATAACATTGATAATGAATTCATGCCACTACTTACTTTATTAAAGTCTACTGGATCGTGTAAATGATTCATCTCTGGATAATTTTAATGTTCCTTCTTTAACTACTAGGATATTGAACCGAAATACAGACAAAAAGTATTATTTATTTCATCCACGAAATTATTAAGAAAACATTGTGGATATTTTCTTCTAATTGAATAAAAATTATGAACCACGTTTTTAAAAATACAGCATGTTATGCAAGCACATTGTCCATAAATTGTATACTAACATTATGTGTCAAGTAAATTTATGCTGGATCCTAAAGACTGATCTTTCCAAAAACACATTTCAGCTATTTAAAGTACTAATTCATTAAGTAAACTATATTAAATCTTAAATATCTCCGAAACCACAATAGTGAAAAATTTCATTATTATCTTGTTATTTTATCTTGTAGGACACAAAAATTTCTATCTTTTGACATACAACTCACTTCCTAAAGTTAAGCAGTTATGTCGGAAAATCACTTTAAGTAAGCGTCACTCACGAATAATTTTTGGGAATTTTGCCATAACTTTGTCAGTTTTCATTGATATATCTTCAAATGTATTTTTTGTAGATCAAAAAATTTATTCTCTTTTGTTTGATTTTAAAAAAAGTTATAAATTGTCGCCGAAACATGCTTAAATGAAGAAAATTAAGTTAAAAATATTTTAACGGGTTTAACTTTTTTGAATTTTTTCTGTAGTGGTTGTTTGTTTACAAACAACAATTGAAATTAAATTTCAAAAGTCATGAAAATATCACCCAGTAATAATGTTAAAGCTCTTAAAATAGGCAGAAAACCTAATGTATCATCTACTTTTCGTAATCATATCATAATATTTGGGAATAATGATTGAATAATTAAGATATTTGAGAATTTAATTTTTGATGTTTTGTAAGATAGTGTTAATGAAATTCAAATTTAATTCTTCCGTTGAGCAATAATTTTAAAAAAATCGTCGATACCCATATAATTTACACTATTGCTTGTGAGGTATTCACTTGATTAAGTACTACATATACGAAAATTTTAAAATTGTCACTTATAAAATAAGTGAATAGCATCAACTTTAGGGGAATAACAGCAAAAACCGTTAGAAAATATTTGAAAATTATGCAAAAATCGTCCAAAATTTCTTAAAATAATAAAAAGCATAAAATTCGCTTTAATTAATTGAAATATTATATTTTGATGTTTTTATAACTACGTTGCTCGATTTTTGAGCAATTTTTCTCATATTAAATCAAACAACGTTCGCACACACTTAAAGTTTACAAGAAATTTCGTGATTTTTCTAATATTTTCAATAAAACTGTAAATTAAACATGATACAGCTCGCTGGAAGACTACAGACAACATTATATAGAAGCATAACAAGAACTTGCTTGAATAATTCACAGACAATTAATGGTAAGAAATGAATTTCATAATTTCTCAAAGTTTTCTTTGATTTATTAAACTTGATTTTGTAAACATTCAATTTTTCAGCATATTCTATCTTAATTAACCGAAATAAACACACAAAACACAGTGTAAGTAACATTTTACCTTAATCTGCAAGCAATAATGTCTTAATTAGCATTGAAATGAACTGAGTAAAACTAACCTTTATAGATGTTATTATTTGTTTTCTAGAGCTCAAAATCAAACATCCAGCAGAATGCATTAAAATTAGATCCAACAAAGAAATTCGACTGTCCACCACAATCATCTAGTAATTCTGGATCATCCAATACACTACCACCACCACCAAAAAATGATTCCAGCAAGTACATAATCGCTGGAGGAATAGCTTTAGTAGCTGGAATTGCCGGTTTTGTAAGTTAATTAAATGTTTTTAAAACAAGCAGTTTAACAGATTTCAAATATTATCAAAATTTAAAACGCCGTTAATTTTTTAAGCATACATTTGTTAAGTTTAGTGTGTGCATTAATGATTTTATGACCATAGTTGGATAGAATTGAATTTGGGGTTCGTAATACACAAAAAGGGACTGCGATCTTAGATCTGTTGTTCCGTCCCTATAGAGTCAACTATTGAATTCCATTGTCCTTAATAAATCACATCATAATATTAAATATATCACACAGGTGTACTATAAAAACTCACAAGAAAGTACTCAGGATGATAAAGCTCAAACAAAAAGTGATGTCGAGAAAGAAGTTAAGAAAATTGTTAAATGTAAGTAACAGAAGTTTATTATAATTTAATAATGAACAATCGAATAATTTTCTTTAATATTCAGTTCGATCTCCAGAAACATCAGAGCACATTCCTAAACATATATCATACCTGTTAATTGGTGGTGGTACTGCCAGTTTTGCAGCATTTCGAGCAATAAAATCGAATGAGCCAAAAGCAAAAGTTATGGTCGTGTCTGATGAAGTTGTTTTTCCATACATGCGACCACCTTTATCAAAAGAGATTTGGTTTGATAGTGATTTAGGGCTTGATAAGGCAAGATTTAAGCAATGGAATGGAGCAGAGAGGAGCATTTATTATGAACCGGATGAATTCTATATGAATATCGAGAAAATGGATGAATCAAAAAACGGGGGAGTTTCAGTTATTCGTGGATATAAAGTAACAAGCTTGAATGTTAATGATCAGAAAGTTATTTTAGACGATGGAACTGAAATTACTTATGATAAATGCTTAATTGCCACAGGGAGCGTTCCAAAGACATTAGACGTATTTGATAGTGCATCGCCAAAAGTAAAGGAGAAGATATTTACCTACAAAAGTATAAAAGACTTTGAGATGATCAAAAATCATACAGACAAATCAAAAAGTATAGCTATTGTTGGAAATGGATTCCTAGGGAGTGAATTAGCTTGTGCTTTATCTCACTATGGAAAAGAAAAGAATTTAAAAGTTTATCAGCTATTTCCTGAAACTGGTAATATGGCTAAAGTGCTGCCAAAATATTTAAGTGAATGGACAACTCAGAGAATTAAGGATGTCGGCGTTGACGTGATACCTGAAAGTCAAATAACAAGTGTAGAAATATTTAATGGAAATCAATTAAAATTAGGACTTAGCAATGGAAATAGTGTAATTGTAGATTTTGTCGTTCAATCAATTGGATCTGAACCAAATGTAGATTTAGCAAAAAAAGCAGCACTGGAAATAGACAATAGACTTGGTGGCTACGTTGTAAATGCAGAATTAGAAGCTAGATCAAATCTTTATGCTGCTGGAGATGCTGCATGTTTCTATGATCCAAGACTGGGAAGAAGGCGTGTAGAACATCATGATCACGCTGTTGTTTCAGGAAGACTAGCAGGCGAGAATATGGTTGGATTAAGTATGTCTCATTTGCATTCATAAAATATACTTTAAAGTATATTGATATCAATTAAAAAATTTTAATTATAGAAAAGCCGTACAAACATCAGTCAATGTTCTGGTCTGACCTTGGTTCAGCCGTTGGCTTTGAGGCTATTGGATTAGTAAATTCATCACTTCCAACTGTCGCAGTCTTTGCAAAACAAAACAAGTTTGATTTGGATGAGAAACATTTAGCACTCGATGAGATAGAAAAAGACAGCAATAGTGAGGAAAAGAAGAAGAAAGTTGAAGAACAGAAAGGCATTGAAAATACTTCAGAAAGTACACCGAAAATTGAAGCAAATACTCTAGAATGTAAACCGAATGTCGATAGCTACGATAAGGGAATTATATTTTATATGCAGGAAGAGCGAATTGTGGGAATTTTGCTGTGGAATGTTTTCAATAGAATATCAATAGCTAGGAAAATTCTAGCAAGCGACGATACATTTAAAGATTTAAATGAAGTTGCAAAGTTGTTTGACATTTTCGATCAATATCATGAAGACAAGTAGAAACAACTAAACATGTGTGTTTGTGTTATCAATGAAGTAATTCCGTAAATGTTTAATGGGTGAGCGAAAATTTTGAGATAATTCTTTGTCAATTTAAAACTACTTCTTCTTTATACTTCAAAATTTATAATTGATAATACTGAATGATTGATAATTTTGAAATGCCAGAGTATAAAATTTTTATTTATAAAATTTAATAATATTAATGAACGATAATAGAATGTTATCTTATTGAACTTATAATTAAAGTAATGCATTCTTGAATTAAGTGTTTTTATCATATTATCATTATTATGTACATTGAGTCAATTCTCTTCAGGTTCCTCGCTTATCGAGTCCGTTCGATTTGCGCACCTCTTAATTGCTGACTTTAAAGGCCTTTTCTTGGCTTCCTTTTTCTGTTCCTTGCAAAACATGCAATGTGACTTTTTATGACATTCTTTTTCTTGCTGTGGTTGATATTTTGGTTTTGCTAGAATAATTTTAAGTTGATGAACATGTCATGAAAAACGTGAATGATAATGTATTAATAATAACGTGTCGCGATATGTCGATAAGATAGTCTTGTGAAAGATTTGTAAATAAAAAATATTTGCTTTAAAAAAGTTCTGGGATATTTCCCAGACGTCATTCTTTATTCAATTAAGTAAATATTTCAAATCTGTTCGATATGTGGGTCAAAAGAAAGTAAAATTGACAATGTTGTGCGCGCGTTTTTGAATTGTCCCTAAAAATACATTTGTAGTACTTCTACACACATTTTACATATGCGTTAGATGAAAACAGAAAAGTGCAGAAAAAGTCACGTAGACTCACAGAGCAACAGAAATTTTCCTATCAAAATCAACGGTGATACTTTAATACGTTAATTAATTAGACTTTGTGATAATTATTTTTAAAGGCAACAAAGAATTAAAATCACCGGTGACTTACAGATAAGAAAATTCTGTTTCAAAATAACAATAATAACTGAATGCGTAATAAAGTTTATTGTCTTTACCTTGAGCACTCTTATTTTGAGTCTCTATTGGAAATTTCTCATAATCCCTAGGCGAGCTCCGATAAAAACTGTCTCCAAAGCTATATATTATGTCCATTGTTTACAAAATTTGTCAATTATTATCCGCCTTTGAACGGTATTTTTTTAAACAAAATTGGTTCCTTTTTAGATTTGATCACTTTAGCTTTCAAAACTTGAATAAACTTACATGAACGACAACACAGCACACAACACATTTTCTCTGAATGTGTAGGCTACTGTGTAAGCTGTCTATGTGTTTGTAGGATATTATGTGTATTGTTGCAAATTCGCTTAACCGCTTATGCGCGATAATCATACTCACGTTTTATGAATGAAGTCACTGAAAGCGTGATTTAAATGTAATTTCACCATTATTCATGACTAATTTGAATTATTTTTTGCAATTTTATTCAGTTTAATAAATAGTTGAAAATAAATTAATAAATAAATTAAATTAAATTAGTAGCTCGGATCTGAATTCTATCCAACATTAATTGGCTTCCAATTTGTGTCTTCAGTAACAACTTTGCCTGTCTTTCGATCAATTCCGACCCTTTTTGGGCCCTCTTCTTCCTCAAAGAAGTCAATAATTGGATGATAATTGTAATTAACTCTGGTTTCTGATGGCTTTTGTGCATTTGGAAGTCGTAAATTGACAGATTTTGTGTCTATTGTTGATGAAATTGGTGGAGTAATTTTTCGTGGTTTCTCACTCGGAGAAAATTGTTGTTTGGGAAAAACTGTCACATGCGAAATTCTCAAATCACTCTCAGCTACAGTTTGATCAAATTGCTTTCTCTTTAAGACTGGTGTTCTTTGTCTGCTTGAAAATCTATTAAATTGATGATTTGTTTTATGACTGTTTGCTGGTGGTGTCAAGTAACTATCGGGATATGCTGGATTTTTTCTTGTAGTTAATCTATTTTTTGGAATTTCAGGATTGCTATCAGCTGGCTTTTTATTAGGATTGATTCGTTTAAAGCCATTTCCAAACTGATACGCAATATTAGAGTCAAAATTCTCGTCTTCGTCTTCTTCCTCCTCTTCATCATTTTCTGATGCATTAACATCAATTGCACTATAATGTGAATTCCTATTTGACGAAGCAGACTCAAAATCATGATATTTATGACGTTTTCCACTTAAACTATTACTTGGCGAAGCAAGTGGTGGAAAAGCTTCTTTATATCCAACTAAATGACATGAGCAACAAGTTGGAACTTTAAAAATGTCAACATGAAGTCCTCTCGCATTATCCCATGACAATAATCTATGATAATTATAGACTTGTGTACATTGCGACTCAAAATTTTCCGTTAAATAGCTACACGGCTCAAGTGGCTGACTGCACTTTTCTAATCTTAACGTTTGTGTGTGTTCACCTGTATTTACAATGAATTTCCATTCACCTGTTGCTGATCGTGCTTTTTGTGGTCGAGCATATCGAATAATACTCGTACACATTGCACCGGGATTGCTAGAATCTTCTGTATCTTTTCTACGCCTTTAAAATAAAATAAAATAATTTGAAATGACGTCAGACAATTATTAATAAAATTAATTACCTCAAGTCTGTAAGATCAGATGTTGGATCACCAAGATAATCTATATGCTCAAACTCAGCTTCTTTGTCTCTATACTCAGCAAGTAAAGCTTCCATTGCATACCGATGTCGCCTTATGCTTCCCATTATCTCATTAACTGGATAATTTTTGACATACAAGCATATACCCCCTTTTTATAATTATTGCAAAAAAAAAAGTAATAAGTAATTATAATCAACTTTCGCATTTATAATAATTGTAATAGTCTTACCTGTAAATCGCTCGCAACTTTCTGGTATCGGACCGTGATTATGACGCTGATTAGATGGTCTCTTTCTATGACGACCAACTAATGCCATTGGTGAAATTTCACTTCCATTCACGTCTTTAATCGTCTCTTCAATAGTTCCATTTAAGCCTGATAATGCCAATTCTTCTATCGCTTCCATTGTCATGTTGAATTTTTTTGGCAATGCTGTTGTTGCTGTTATTAGTGTCGAATTTAATTGAGATCTTGTGAGCGTAGCCGGTATTGAATTGTTAATTGTTAGATTTTTATTCAATATCTGTATCAATGGCTCTGTCCTAATATCGCTTAAATTTTCTATATTTTTCACAATTGGCTCGGAATCATCTACAACAAGTGAATCGTCTCGTAGATAGCTTATTGGTGCTGAAAAATCGACTTCCTTTACTGATGAATTGATCGTTGGATTAGTGTCAAAGCTTCTCCTTAAAAATTGCAATTGATTTGGTTTCTCGTGTTCTTTATACTTATCAGAACGTAGAAATCCTTCACGGATTAAGTTAGCGAGATCATACACGATTGGAAGAAGAAGAGGCTTCTCATTGTCAGTTCCAAACATTCGTTTTACCTAAATAACAACAAGTGATAATTGGCATGTGGATAGATAAAAAGGAATGAAAATAATGCGAATGAGTGAGCATCACAAGTTAGAATAGAAGTAAACAACATCTTAATACTTTTACTTTCATTACTTACATATAATAATAGCAACAAAGAAGAATATAGAAAGGTATAAGAAATGTAATAAGTAACGATCATCTGAGAAGTGCTTATAGCATAACGCTTGTTAATTAATATTACTTTCTTTGATTGAATAATTTTTATGATCGAGTCTGAATTGAATTTCTCTAACATAATCGATTCAGTTTTAATGCATGCATTTTAAAAGATTAATGCTATTTCCAATATATTTCAAGTTTCTAACACGAAACATCCAGCAGCATAATTTTGCTCGATTGGCAGTTAAAAGCCTTTAAGGTGTGCGCCGATGGATAACAAAAATATGTATTAATGCTTAAATGAGTCGTTCATAAATATCATCAACCTTTAAGTGTAGCTTCATTTCTCTTTAATATTGTGTCAGATTGTGTCAAGAATTTTAAATTTTTTTTAATTGTCATTTTTAACGGAAATTTGAAATGTGCGAGCAAGAGATAAGAAAATGAATTTGAATGTTCGAAGTGTTTCAAGTGAAGAACAATAAAAATTTGATTGAAGTCATTGACTTCCGAGATCTGAGAAATGTTTGAGATGACATTTATGAAAAACCACACAAATTATCAATAAACCTGCTTATGGCTTCTTACATACCTCATTAAAAGAAAATGATCTTCCTCCGTTGATTTGTGCAGAAATGATCGATGAGAAAACCATTCGCTGAGTTTTACTTAAGTGCCTTAAAAGTGGCAAAACTTCAGAGAATTTATATTTAAGCTCCCTCGTTGATAACGCACGCAGTATAGCGTTTCTTAAGATTTGTTTCTTGGAAAGAATGTCAAGTTGTTCAGTGTTATCATTATTTCCATCGTCAATGAAAAAGTCATCAAAATCATCAAGATTTAAATTTGTCGATTGAGGCTTTTGTATCGTAAATTTGGTGTTGGGAAAGTTGTCATCAAATTCAAAATCTGGAATCTCATCATCAACATTACTGCTAATTGTAGACTTTATTATGCATAGTGCGGTTACACAAAGTATTAAAATGTTAATCAGTGACATGTCTATTCTATGATTCATTATGTATGTGCTATATCTGATCTTTTTCCAAGTGTTGTAAATTTACTTTCTTTACACGGTGCTTTACTTTCTATGAATACGTCTAATCTTTCTTCCTCACATCATCATTATTGACTGGAACATCCAGAGAGTAGATTTATATCTTTCTTAACAACTTCACAGAAATCACTCGTGTGGAAGATGAGAAAATGGCTCGATACTGGTGCTACTGCTGAATTTAGAAATTAGCGAAATCGAATAAAAGTTGAATGAAGAAAAATAAAAATTTCTTGCTTGCTAGTTCCTTGAATTTATCAAACAGAACCTGTTTCTTCGTCTTCGAGATGCTTAAACTTCTATGATAGGAGCTTAGTATTAATTTTTTAGTGATTTTAATTTCTCTTTTAATTGCACCACACGATAGATCACTTATGTTACTTTTTTTTGGGACAAATTTCATTGACTTTTCATATGTAATTCCCTCTTAAGCACTATTATATCTTCCATATACGACTTTTCGCGTAAAGTCTTATTTTTTTTAAGATTGAGAAATTTACCGTTGGATTGATTATTGTTAAACGTTGAGTGGCTTTCAATTGAATTAGAATAATTTTTAGGCAATTCCGAAATTAATTCTTTTTCTACAATACGGATTTATCTAACTGCATAAGTTGATAGCTGTTTAAAGGAATAAAATAATGAATATTGAAATTATAAACTAGACAGCTTTCTCCGGCACGACTGAACAGTAGAAGATCTGAAGCAAGACTAAAAGAGATTAAGAGTAAAAGAGAGTTGTGTGTGCATGGCTGAATAAATGATAATGACCCATTTCTTCCTACTTCTCAAATTTATATCAAAATCTTCAACACTACGTCATGATTGTTGGCAGTATAACATGTGCTGTTAAAGAGCGTGAGTCGGCTTAAAAAAACAATAACAAAACAACCTCTCTCATTCACAAAATAATAATAATAAGCATAAATCGGCAATGCTTTCATTCTTCTCATTGTTTGGGTCAAAAAAAACTTAATCGCTGCATTAACTTCAATTGAGGAATTGGATTAAGCTTAACATTTCTTTTCGTTTTGTCTGTATATGTTAGAAATTTACTGCATCCTGATTAATGCATGGGGTCGTTGACATGACACGTCTAATAATTTTTTCATAAGAAGTGCTGAAATTAAGTTTTAGATATCTTACAAGTTAATTGAGTCACATTTATTACTTATAATTATTTCTACACATTTGTCATGCCTTATAAGCTACCAACATCATTGAATCTTTTCAATTTCTCTGGGAAATTATCACGGAAGAGGACTGGATCAGCACGATACTCGACAGTCTTCAACGGCATTGTTCCATAGATTTTTGTAAACAGATTAATACATTCACTTCTTTCAATCATATGGTTTGTGTCTGCCGACAGCATTTCCGCATTTGTACATTGTCGCGAATGACACTTGAATTTTTTTCTAGGTGTAACTTTAATTGGTCCTTTTCCTGTACTGTTTGAGACTAAAAAGTTCATTGCAATATCTTCACAATTCATGTGAGCATCAACATATTCTTTTATGTTTCCAGGCATAGACGTTGTGTATAAGTAGTTCCAATATTTATGATGAAAAGCAACACCCGTCAAAACCATTGAAATCTCATTTGTCCATTCTGATTCATACTTGTATTCATTATTTTCAAAAACATGTGTACGAGATGGAAATCCAACAATTCGATCTGGAAATTCTCTCCATACTTCGAAACCTATTAAATTTAATTATTATTATTATTATTGGTATAGTTATGGACATAAGTGAAAAGTGAAAACACGTACCGAAATCTAGCTCATCAGCAGTCAGCATTGTAATATCGTCGTCAATTGTTAAAACAGCTTCAGTCTCGATTTCAGGATATGGATAGAAGCGATTTGAAAGCTTATTTGCTTTTGTTTGGATGAGTTTCAGTGGTTTAGTGATTTTTGGAAACGATGAAATGTTTGGCGGTTGTTTCTTCTGATTATTCCAAATTACTAAAATCTTTTGTAAGGATGGTACGAGTGACAATTTTTGAATAAGCGTAAATAAGCTTTCTACACGGTCATATGTTAAAATGACTGCAGTGAATCCTTGAGATTTTGATCCCATTAAAGGTAAAAAAAGTGGATTTTGTGCAGCATTTGGTAAGTGTGGTAAATTCCATGAATTATAAGGTAATGAGAGATGTGGAAATGCACGGTCATTAAGCTCTTCTAGCATGGACAAAACAATTGTCTCGATATCTTTAAAGTACTTTTCATACAAGAAACTTCCTTGCCTCTGCATTTCCTTTATTCGAGTCTGTGAAACAGCTTTAAGGATGGTAGTGATTGAATGAAAATCACCCTCTCGAATAGAAATTGAAGCTAGTGTCCAATCAATTACTTCTTGAAACGGTAAGATGATATTATCAGCCACAATTACAGGAATACAACCAGTTGCTAAAGATTCAATTAATGACGGTTGTGATAATCGAACTCCTCTAATAACCAAACAGAAAGTTCCATGCTCTAATATTTCAGGATATTCTATTGGACTCAACGCTGGAAATGAGCATCTTATGTCACTGTCAATTAGTTCCGGCATGGATGAGATTTTATCTTCAAATATTTCCTGTGTACATTTCTGTAGCAATAATATGTTATTGTTCGAGTCTTCCAAGACTATTTCCTGCATTAATCTTCGATGATAATCATACATGTTAAGTTGAGGTGAAATCAGGAAGTAAGTCTTTTGTTCCTGATTTTCATATTTCCTTTCATATTTCTCTAATAATGGACTGTAAATTGGAATCGAAAAATCAAAGCCAAACCGATATGTTTGAGTATTGAAGCCTGCTCCTACAATGATCGAATCGGCTGATCTGTAAAAATTAAAAACATGACCTTTATTATCTCTTGATCTTCAAAAATTTTATAACTTATTTTATGTATTACTTGACATCGAATACTGTTGAATAATCTGGTGCTTCGCCTGCAAGCATATTAAACAAAATGTGGTTCCTCCCATTGTCCCAGCTGTAAATAATAATAAAATGTATTAGACTTAGCAAATATTAATTAAATTAATGACATGCTTACAATGGAAGTGAAGCTAGTGCCTTAGAAACTAAATTCTTATCAATTAAATTTTGATTTAACAAATCTATGCTGGGTACAAAAAGACACGCTTCTTGTGGATTTGTCGTGTAAAATGGACTATTTTGAATAGTCTTGAGTATTTGATAGAACTCCTTCGTGATGAATGTCTTGGACTGCTTATCTGAGTCTGTATATTCGATTAGTGGATAAATATAAATGCTTATTTTATTTTCATGATTTCCACACCGATAAACATTGAAACAGTCAAAGAATGAGCAGTTTGGGTTCCTCATACGAGACAATTCATCATCCTTGTTGAATCTTACATTACGATAATTATTTAAATTTAATATTTCTGTATGTTTTATTTGAAAATTTAAGAAAAACACTAAAATCACAAATGCTAAGACAAAACCTCCTGAAATCCCTACTTTTTCATATAGGAAAACTCTTATGGCACTACTTTTATTCATCAAAACCATTTTTAAATGGCTCAAACTCAAAGTTTTTCTTAATTTTCCTTTTCTTCGATTATTTTTCCATTTTCACAAAACAAAGTTTAAAAAGTTGTTTACATATTAAAAACAAAGCGCTTTAAGCGAAACACAATTATTAGAAACTTTATTATTGACAGTCGGAAATAAGATGAAATCATAAATTTGTCTTGAAAAACTTGCTAAAAACAGTGTGAAGTTGACTGCAGTTGATGAATTATCAAAGAAAGAGAAAAATATTTCAAAATTGTTAATTAAAGTGTATTTTAATAGGAAATAGATAGTCTTAGGAGTTGAAAAGTATGGAGGCAGTTAAGAGACTACCCATGGTATGTTTTGACATCAAAAATAGCCCAGAATCGACATCATTTCACAACTTAAAACAGGTAAAATTAATTTTCAATTTTTGGGAACAAAAAAAAAGGTATGAGTAATTGAATTAAGCTTTTCTCACGTCTTTGTTTGTTTAATTTTTATCAAAAAAGCTATAAGTGATTATCACATTAAATTTGTTTTTATCAACAGTGTATTGCTGAATATTATGGTGAAGATCCAGAATCTTATACAAAGGAATTTAGGGAACTAGAAGAATTACGTGGATTGGCATGCAGACCAAGAGTTGATATTGATTGCTGTAATACGATAAAACGTTATTATTCACAACTGCATAGCCTTCAGAATCGCTTTCCATTATCGTCTGAAACAGAATTATTAAATTTTGCATGGAAAGACATTTATTCTGGATCTATATGGCATACGAGCAATATAAGGTACGAAATGGCATCGACATTGTACAATGTTGCGGCTTTGCATTCTAAATTGGGCATAGAAGAAGAAAGAGTTGATCCAGAAAGTATGAAATTAGCATGTACTCACTTCCAATGTGCTGCTTGGGCTTTTGGTGAAATTAAGAATCAGTATGGATTACTTTTGAGAAGTGATTTGTCTGCTGAATTGATGATCTTTATGCAACAAATATGTTTTGCACAAGCACAAGAATGTATTCTTGAAAAGAGCTTAGCTGATAATAGAAAAGCCGGAATAATTGCAAAAGTTACTGCTCAAGTAATAAGTTTCTATAATGCTGCAATGTCTGCCTTGTTCAGTCAGAATGAAGATGGGACAATTCAAGAATTGATTGGAAATAAGTTGTATAAGGAATGGATAAAATATATAAAATTCAAAACCTCATATTTGAGCAGTATTTTGTTTCTTTATCAAGGACAACATAGTGAGGAACAAAGAAAAATGGGAGAACGTCTGGCATTGTATAATGCAGCATGTGGTCGATTAGAAGAAGCTAAAAAGGAAACAAAAGGAATGAACAAGATAGAAATTATTAATGAAGCATTAGTTTTAGCGACGGATATAATAGAAGGTAAGCGTAAGAACGCAAAACAAGAAAATGAATTTATTTATCATGAGGTCATTCCTGATATAAGCACAATATCAGCTGTACAAGGTGCAAATCTTGTTCAAGGAATTTCATTTGATGTAACTGATCCACAAATTATTGGTGAAGATATTTTCAAGCGTCTAGTTCCAATGAAGGCACACGAGAATCTCTCATTATATAGCGAGGAAAAGGCACAGATTTTGAGACGTTTGAGTGCTAAAATTGATGAACGAGATGCTGAACTGTCATCTTTTATGGGTTCTTTAAATATCGATTTATTAAATTCAATGAAACAGTCACAAATAAAACTCCCACAAAATTTGGTCGATCGCTGTGCTGAACTAAATGCAAAGCCGAATGCAATTTCTGATTTGATTGAATCAATGTCGAATCTTGGAAATATTTGTGCGGAAGTTGAAATTTCATTAAATGAAATAAAACAGATTTTGGATGAAGAAGGTAAACAGGAACAAAATTTCCAGAAACAAATTGGGAAACGTCCATCAGTTCACATGAGTGAATTAACTCGTGAATTTACAAAATATTTAGATGCTCACAGTAAAGCTGGTGAAAGTAACGATACTTTAAGAAAAGCAATGGAACTACACGTTAGTAATTTAAAGATTCTAGCACAGCCATTATCATCTTTAAAGTCTCAAGTTCCACAAAGTGATGTAATTGACGAAGAAGTTCGTAAAGAACTTGAAGTGCTTTTGAATAAAGTTGAAGAAATGAAGGTACAACGTGATGAAATTTATAATGAATTAAGGGATCAAATTTTAAACAAGGATGACATTACGTCACAACTTATTGCTCATGGTGATAAAGACGTTGAAGAATTGTTTAAGAAGGAACTGAAAAAGTATTCACAAAGTGTCAATATAATTGAACAGAACTTAATTGCACAAGGAAACATCTTGAAAGCGTTAACTGATACTTATGCAAAGCATGCAATGAGTCTTAAAGCTTTTAATGATGCAAAATCGAAGCGTGAACAATTTTATTCAAGTTTAATCAATTCCTTTGACGTTTATGAAGATTTATTGTCGAAAAGTTCAAAAGGTTTAGACTTTTATAAGAAGCTTTATGGTAACATACAAAAATTAATGTCACGTGTAAAAGCAGCACGTGATGTTCAAGAGGAAGAAAGGCAACAGCTCTTGAAAAAAACTTTACCAAAAGCTCAGCAAATTGATAAGCCTGATAATGCTATGAAATTATATCCAGATAATAGTAATGTTGTACCACAAATGAATACGCAAATTCCACAATCAACAACTACAGGAATGAAATTAAAAGACTATATTAAAAGTGGTTTGGTTCCAAATATTGGAAATATACGAGATGAAACGAAAATTCCAGCAATTCGACCGAATCCTTTAGGTGAAGAAAACATTTCATCAACAAATATCACAGCATGTTCAACAGCTAATTATCCTACGGCTGCATCTTATAACTCTCAGCAATACTATCAGCAGCAAATGTATCCAAATCAACAATATTATCAGCCACAAATGCAGAATAGTTCACAGATAATGAATCAAGGAGGCAATAAAATAATTTCATCAGCACCAACATCCAATTATTCATCAACAACAACGACGGGATATGTTAATCCAATGTACCAAAATAATCAAATGTACGACATGAATACATACAATCAGAATTACAGTTCTTATCAAGCTCAATATCAGCAGCCTGTTAATCAAAAACCCATTTCTACGTCCTTTCCTAGCACTCCAACATCAAGTCAACAAAATAATTTTACTGGATATTATAATAATCAACAAGTTTCACAAAATTCAGTAATGCCTAATCAAAATACAAGTCAACAAAATGTATCTCAAAATCAGACAATAAATCCTGTCGTGCAATCTTCAAATAATCAAAATGTATCTACTCCTTATTCAGCCAGTTCTCAATATTATCAACAACAGCCAACTAATGGAGATTTCATTCAGAATATTTATAAAAGTCATTTACAATATCCAACTGCTCAGAGTCCAATTCAAAACTATCCAACAACTTCAACGCCATCCTCAACTGGATATATTAATAATTCTGTTCAAAATCCAGCATTTCAAGCATCATCACAGTCATCAACTCAAACACAAAATCCACAGCAACAGTATAGTAATTTATCTGGCAACTATCAACCTCAAACTTCTCAGCAATCTGTTCAAAATTATCAGTATAATCAATATGGACAAATAGAAACATCACAAAATTATCCGTACTCGAGTCCAACAAGCATGGCTAATATTAGTCAAGGAACTCAGTCTAATCCTCAATCTCAAGTGACACAGTCATCGATGTATTATCAAAATAATAATATTCAAAATTCAGTGACACCACAGTCGATAAATTCATCAGTTTCTATACAAAATCAATCAGTTCCTTCATCTGAGCAACAAAATACTATGAGCATGGGAAATGCCCAGCCACAAGTTACTCAATCTAACATGTATTATCAAAATATGCCGGGAATGATCATATTTCATACCATGAGTCAATCAAATTCACTTCAAAATATGCAGGCACAACCAAATGCTTACAACTATGCAAATAATGCGCAAACAACGCAAGTTCCTGCTCAACAAAATACCCAATTTCCGACTCAAAACATTCAAGATGCTTCTCAGAATATTCAAGCTGCTTCTCAGAATATTCATACTGCACCTCAGAATAATCAAGCTGCTCCAGTTCAAACAACGGCTCTAGTAGCACCAAATCCAGCTATAAAGTCTAATAATATTGATCTGCTATCGGACATTGATTTTTCGATTCCTTCGTCTACAATCAACAACATTCCATTACTGACACCAATAACACCGAAAAAAGACGAGACAAAGGAAGTAAAGGAATCACCGAAAAAAGTAGCAGAACTCCCAAATCCAATAAATCAAAGTCAAGTTAAATTAAATGACGATTTAGCTGATCTCGATTTTAGTTCCTTAACAATGACAATGATTTCGCCACAAATTATACAGCCAAAAGTCGAAGAACTGAAGAAATTTGAGGATCCATTTGACGATGTGAATGTGCTGAAACAATTTCATAAGGAAGTTGAGAGCTTAGAGAAATATATGGAGACATTGACTGTAAAGACTTTAAATGGTATAACTCCATTGGCAAATAAATGGAAGGAACTACAAGATCTCTTAGTTAAGGATGAGTCATCAAGAAGTATTTCAATTGCTAAACTATTTCCTGATAAGAACAGATATGCTGACTTTTTACCATACGATCATGGACGAGTTTTATTGCCTACATCTACAGATAATTACATTAACGCAGCTATGGTAAGAAATTGCGGACCTGTCTCATTTATCATGGCTCAAATTCCAATGGAAAATACAATGAACGATTATTGGGAAATGATTTGGTCTCAAAAGTCAAATGTATTAGTTTGCCTTTATTCTAGTTCCGAGGTAATACACTTCTTATCTATCTATTGGTATTTTGAAATATATTGTTATGAATTCTTTAGCTACTCGATCCGTTTTGGCCACAAAATATAAATGACGAAAAATCATATGGGGAAGTTATTGTCACTTTGATAAAGCAGTTTGAGCTGTCACATTGCTTTGAAAAGCAGCTTAAGGTAACAAAGCATGGATCTGATAAAGCGATGGAAATTTCATTGATTCAAGTTAAGAATTGGAAGAAGAAGTAAGTTCATGTCAATTACTAGTCCATCATCTAATAATTATGCCATTTTAGGTCTGCTGATCACATTTTGGATGTTTCAAACAATGTCATCACATCATTTAAGCAAAATAATCCAGGCAGTAAGCAATATCCTCCGATTGTTCTTAATTGCATTAGTGGTGGCTCTGATAGATCTGGTTTGATGACTCTTGCAATAAGTGCGATTTTTGCAACGCAAATGAAAAAGCCAACTTTATTAAGTGAGTAGTCACTGACTAGCTTAAATACAAACAAATATGTTAATGATATTTTCAAAAATTTCAGATGTAGTCGATCATTGGTTCCGAGTATGTTCTCAAAGAAAAGGCGTTCTGGATGATGAAAGTTACTTACAATTGTCTCTACAACTTGTGCTGAACAATTCCCATAGAATTCTGAACAAGCGTAAGTTACTGTGTATTATAAATGTCTATCGTAGCTTAATAAACTTTACTTTTAGGTGGGATAATGACGTCATATCAAGTTAAGAATGCTGAAAAGCTGAGCTCACCGACTGAAACTGAGAAAACAGTTAGAGACTCGCTTCAAGAGCTGGATCCTTTTTGGAAGTTTAAGTAAATTTTAATTCCTTTTATGCTTTTAACAATGCCTTATGTGAACGAAAGAAGATTTATAAATTATTTATGTTATCGTCAGTAATATGATTTAATTTTATTCAAAAAATATATACATAATAGCATATATTCGCTTTTATTCTTTTAACAACATTTTATGATATCAATTAATGTACTATGACATTTTCTATTCATTGTTATTTTTCGGAAGTGGTTGATTTGGATTGTCCAATGAATGTATGAGAGAATGGACGAATGAAAAGAAGAATAATAAATTATCATGTTGTCCATTATATGGTGTAGTTAATTCATTTTGTTGTGTATCATGTGATATGATTTTATCTTCAGGTATCCAGTCAGTATTAAGAAGTTGAAAGTCTTTTAAGCATTTGTCATAGTAACTTTTAGAGATGCCCCAAGCATTTACGTGGAATTCTAATGTAAATTGATGAATTGCCTCGATTGTAGAAAGGAACCAGTTTGGGGCACCTTTTTGTTTTCTCCAAAATTTAGTGATTCTGTTCTGTATAATCACTGTACTCAATGCCTGAATTCTTTGATCTTGATAAATTCCTCTACATTGTTTCCATGTGCTGTCTATAAAAACTACCTTTTTGAATGGCAAATTATCTAACGTATAGACTTCCTCTGACTTATTGCTATTCAAAAAAACTTCTTGCTGCTTCTCTTCGTCCACAATCTCCTTAAGATTTTTAGTTAATAGTGTGCCTATACGATATCCCTTTTCTAATCCATAATTCTCCTTTAATTCAAGCTTCCTACATCCTTTAAATAAACTTTTGACATCAACTGCTTTTGGGGACACAAATATTAACACACAATCTTCTTTCTCCTCCTCATAATCCGGTATATTTGGATACTCGTAGATATTTACTTGACTTCCAGCAAGCATTTTTGCATGACAACTCGTACTTTTTCCATCAGATTCTTGTCTGTGTTTAACTATATCTATTTTAAATGGAAGCTGAAAGTGACAAAAAGTCAGTTTGAGGTCAAAAATCACTCAATTTATTATTATACCTTTATATTGGGCACAGTAATTTCTGGATGTGGAATTGAGCATGAATAACAAAAGAATTTTCTGTTCTTTTTACAAGAGTCACACTTAAAACGTTCATTAACTTTAAATATATGTGAATAGTCAGCTATATTAAGGCTGGGATATGGTTTTTCGAAATTCCTCATTATTTTTCACTTTTTACTCGTGTACTATTTGTTGATATTCAGTCATGCAGCATTTAAAATCAAGGCATACGTTATGACTTGGTTCTGCTCGATGTTCAAAAGGCTTCGTTTAATTCATTTTTAATATGATGGATTAGTTTTTATTTATGCATTTATGTCAACTTTGTGTTTCTTGATAGTATCAAATAGATTGCAATAAGTCTAGTCAAAGTACTAAGCATAAAATCCGTCAATTAAAGTTTTTTAATACTTTACGCATACTGATGCATATTTTGGTAAACAACACCTACACAACTTAAGATTTATAAGGAACTTGAAAAAATTAAATATTAATCAAAATGAGTGAAACTATCCAAGTTATTACGTCGGAATTCGTGAAATTGAACGTCTCTAACTCATCTAATGATGTCGTATCGTTTGAGAAGAAGTTTGACAAGAAATTGACAATTGGAGAGTTAAAAGTAAGAAAAGTTGAATGACTCATACATACAAACTCAACTGGATCTTTTTTTAATAAATCGTTAATTTTAATTACTTGCAGTCTAAACTTGAGGTGCTCACTGGTGGAAATAAAGGCACAATGCAATTAGAACTTTATTCTGGATCAAAATTAATCTGTAAGATAGATAATGATGATGCATACTTTGGCTCGTACCCTATTGATGACAATATGCGACTTCATGTGATCGATAATATTATATCCTTTGATCAGGATGTTGACAAATTTGAATTAACAGAAACGCAATATGAAAATCGTCAAGATTCAGTACGATCATTCCTTAAACGCAATCGATTAGGAAAATATAATGATGAAGAGATGAAACAATTGGAACTGAAAAAGCAAGAAGCTGAAAAGAGAGAACTTGAACGATTGGAGAAAATTACTGTTGGATCTCGATGTAAAGTAACGACTACTGGACATCCAACGAGACTTGGAACAGTTATGTATAAGGGAGAACTTGATGGAAAGAAGGGATTATTTGTAGGAGTCAAATTTGATGAGCCATTAGGTATTAATGATGGATCTGCCAATGGAAAAAAGTATTTCGAGTGTCAACCAAAGTATGGAAGTTTTGTTCTTCCATCTGCTGTAGAAATTGGTGATTTTCCTGAAGAAGAAATCGATTTTGACGATGAAATTTAAATGCATAATCAAATTGGCTTATAAAGTATAGCATACTCATATTATTCCATTTCTGGATGTCCTTTTTGCACTGCTATTTTTAACGGTTTTTATATTTTCAAATTTTTATTATTTTCTAAAATGCAACTCTGGATTTTCTAACCTCAAAAAAAAAAATAATTGAAAAGAGGAAAAAATAAATTGTTAATTTAATTTAAAATACACGCACATTAAAAGAGATTAAGCATGTCTTTCAAACGAACAGCTAATACAGATTTAAATCATGATAATTGGAATGAAGAGCATGAGAGTGAAGACGCAGGAGAGTTTAAAAAAGCATCTGAAGATATTTTACAACAAAGGAACAAAAAAGTAGCAAGAAGAAGAATGGTAGCCGGAAACGATGATAAAGCACCAGCATCTAATCCGTTTGGTGCATTTGGAGGCTTTGGAAGTTCTACACCTGCTGCATCTTCTCCATTTAGCTTCCTATCAAAATTGCCTGCTGTAGCGCCACAAACAACAACAACAAACAAAACAAATGGTGAAGTTAAATCATCCAGTGAAATCAACAAAACAGAAAAGCTTGATAATTCAGCATACTTTAATAAAGTTAAGTCATTAAACACAGCATTTGTTGACTGGATTAAGTCAAATATTGATGAAAACAAAGGACTGTGCGATCTCACACCAATATTCAAAGATTATGATAAGTATATGAAGGAATGCAAAGATTTAAAGGACAAAAAGATGCCAGAATCAAAGACTGAAGAAAAGGAAACAATAAAATCGACCTTTACTTTCGGAAAACCAGCATCAACAAATTCTTCAAGCTTCGTATCGGCACCTGATTCAACTCCAAGCATATTCTCTTCAATTCCAAATTCGGACACACTTTCACCTACTAAATCAGCAGAAAGTAAACCTTTTAGTTTTGGAATAGCTCCATCAAATTCAATAACTAGCAATTTATCATCAGCACCATCATTCTCGTTTGGCTTACAAAAAACATCTACAGCTATAACTTCTACTCCTGCACCGCTTTTTGGAAATTTAACAAGCACACCGTCGGTTCCATTTTCATTCAGTAATGTCGGTCAAAATAATACAACAACATCAACAGAAACTAAGACAAATGAGGAAGAAACTGAAGAGGAACCGCCTAAAAATGAGTTTGTTCCTGTTGTCGAAGAAGACAGTTTGTACTCGAAAAGGTGTAAAGTATTCGTTAAAAGTGGAGCTGATTATGCTGATCGTGGAATTGGAACATTGTTCTTAAAGAAAGTCGATGATAAAGTTCAATTGATAGTCCGTGCAGACACGAATCTCGGAAATATTCTATTAAATATAATAATTTGTGATGGATTACCGACGAGTCGATTAGGCAAAAATAATGTCATGATTGTTTGCCTTCCAACACCTGAAAGTAAACCCCCACCGATTCCAGTTTTGGTACGTGTAAAGACAGCAGTTGAAGCAGACGAATTACTCGCAACACTTGAAAAGTACAAGAGTCAAGCATCGTAAAAAGGATTAATTTTGTTTTAAATCTTTATTACCTTTTAATTCATCTTATTATTATTATTGTTTAATTCATAATGACATTGATTCTATTGAATATTTGTGTTTGAACATAAATCGAGCATAGATTCTCTTTTATTGATGTCTCTCAAAAAAAAAAAAAATTATTAAAAATAAAAATACACAAGAAAAAAAATTATAAATCCAAAGTCATAGTAAAGTGCTGTCTTCTCACACTTCATTCTCAACTAAATGTCATAATAGAAAATAATTAAATTTAAATACCAAGAACATAATCCTCTTCAAGCACTTCAATTTCTTGCGGTTGTGGCTGATTATTATCGTCAAAAATTCCAATTTGTATCTGATGGATATGACTTTGAACACTTCTCTCGAATAGCGACCTATTTTCTGGATCTAATGACTTGCTTGTCTCTATTAAACATCCACTAAGCACTTCCTCCACATTTGTATATTGCTCATTCTTCAAGTTTGATGTCACCCACATAATTGTCGCTAAATTTCCTATCAATCTTATCATCGTGTCATCCTGAATAGCATTATTATTATTCTTAGCGAACGTCTGCATTGCCAAATCCCGACATTTTTCTCTCAAATATGTTGGCGTGATTGTTTGAAGCTCATCTGGATCTGTGACAAATAAGTCAACTTGTGCTTGCAATATATTCATATAGTCAGCTAAATCGCGATTAATCCTTTCCATTTCGACTAAAAGTGTTGCATATTTCTTTTGAAAGTCTTCCGGTGCATTATCCCCAAAAGATTTAACGACTTCAGCTTCAACATTAAGTCTACGGATTTTGAGAAGTTGTAAATGCTTAATTTCAAGCGTTTTTCGTACCAAAACCATTGTTTCAAGTAATTTAATTGGATATCCGCCAATTGATCCAGTTGTTGGTAAAACTAGATTTGGGAGCTTTGGTTTTTGATATCCTTCAAGTTTTATAAAGCTGCTACTTGATGACAACATTGGATCATTTTTATGGAAGGTGTTAACATGATGTCCAGCAAATGATGAATATGCTCCAGTTAATTTCAATGGCGATACCATGTAATAGGAAATATCTGGTCGATTAATGAAATCCTTTGTCAATTTATTCAAGTTTAATGTATCTTGAAATTCTGATGCCATAACTTCATAATCAGGAATTTCTTGAGACCCAATTCCTTGACGTTCAAAAACAATTCGATATGAGTGACTTTTATGAACCAAGCCATCAATAGTACCAGTAAACAGACCGTCTTGTGGTTTACGTAAACGAGCAGTGACTTTTGTGCCTATTGTAAATGGCACAGGAATTTCAGCTGGCAAATCGCAGACAAATGATGAATCTCCAGTCTTTCTCGATTGCAATAAACGAATTTTTTGACGCTTACGTTCCAATTCAATTCTTTCTTCCTCGAAAAACTTTGCACTACATCGTCTAGGCTTTCCAAAAGTCCTACGAATCTTGTTCCATTCAATACGTGTCATCATGCGTGTCTTAAGTCTTGGAAACATGTCAACCAAGCATATTTCAAAATCATTAGTTCCAAGAAATATGGATCGATCAATGTTGCTATAGAAGAACTCGTACATGACAAACTTGTGGGCTTTTGGAAGCTTCAATAAATTTCTTAATCGTAATCCAATCCTTTGACATGCCTTCTTATCAATATTCGTCATATTCATTGCCTCAGTGTATGTCGTTGTAGTCTTTAAAACCTTCTTCTTTGGACCTCGCTTTATACCTTTTTGTCCACTCTTTACTGATTCTGAGCTATCATCGTCATTCTCATTTTCAATGTCTGAATCATCATTTTCATCTTTTTTTCTACTTTTTGGTGCTAGCTTTTTAGCTGACTTAACGATTGCTTTAAGTGGTGACGAAAGAGGAGTCTTTACAAGTGGCTTTTTGATTGGAGAACCTTTCGTTGGAGATTTTCCTTCCTCTAATTCATCTTCATATTTTGAGTTTTTCTTTCGTATTCTTGCTGGTCTACCACGAGCATTGAGCTTTTGTAGTGGTGATCCTTTCTTCTTTTTCGGTAATTCAGTTCCAACTCGATGTAAACCCAAAGCTGCAGGCCCAAATGATTCATCTTCCTCTTCTTCACAACTTTCGAATGAATCGTCTTTTTTTGCATCATCGTCAGACATTTCTGTTGGTATTTTGTATCTATAAAGAGTAATTAAGCTCATTAGAATTATGTTAGATCATGCTAATAGCTTAATTAAAGAGCATTAACGTCCTCGTGATAAAATCTGGATTGCAACGAATAATTTTTAAATAATTTAAATTTTTACCGTTTAATATTTTTAATAAAAGATCGTTAATTCAATTAAAAGGACTGAATGGAAGTGATTTAATGCTGTATTTAACTAATTTTTGATTATTAAAGAAAATCGCAAACAACGCTTCCTTGTTTGTTGTTTGGAAAATTGAAAATCTTTAAAAACACACAAATTTCAAGATATTCACCTGTTAATTCAACTATATTTAATATTGTAACTGGTTTCAAGCGTAATGCCTTTATTATATGCTCTCTAAATGGCTTTTTTTTAACGCTTTTAAGCCAATTTAGCAATGATAAAATAACAGAAAAAAAATATTCTATAATCTGTAATTCCAACGGATTGTTTCTCGTTCGGTATTTTTTTCCAGACTGATTTTTTAAACCTTCGATATAACGGAATACAATCACATTTACAAAATCAACAAAATTATTTAAATTTAATTAAAAGCTCGCTAAATATGGATAAAAAGGAGATAATTCAAGCTGTAGTGATGGCAGATAACTTTAGTGATTGCTTTAAACCTTTCACATCATTCAATTCACCTGTAAGTTTGTAAAAATACACAAAAATAGTTTCTCAAATTATTTAACTTATTTACTTTCAATATTAGGCACTTCTACCTGTTGTTAATGTTCCTTTAATCAGCTATGTCCTCGAAACGCTCAATAGAAATGGAGTGGAGGAAGTATGGGTTGTATGCTCAACATTTGTCGAAAAAGTCAGAGAATTTGTAAAGTAAGAAGCAATAAGATCCGGATCTTGTGAAATTAATTAATAAATGTCCCGGTTTATTTATAGAAAAGGCATAGATGAGCAAATGACATGGTCTGTTGGAATGACAGTTCAAGTAATGGGATGTGAAGTGAGAAGTCTAGGTGATGCAATGAGAGAATTGGATGGTAAAGGAATGCTACGTGGAGATTTCATTTTAATGAATTTTGATACAATCTCAAATGCAAAGTTAATTCCATTAATCATGAAAAAGCATATAGAGAATTGCAAGACAGATAAGGATACTGCCATGACTGTTGTTTATAAGAAGATCATGCCAGGACAGAGAACTGGAAATGAAGTTTTAGTCGTTACAAATAAACAGACTAGTAGAATGCTTTTTCATCATCGAATCCATTCGTCTATTAAGGAAGACAAGTTCAAGTTTCCAATTGAAATATTTTTGGATAATCAGGAAGTAGAAATTCATCATGATTTAATGGATCCACAAATTTCTATTTGTTCACCTAATGCTCTGCCACTATTTACGGATAATTTTGATTATGATACTAGAGATCAATTTATTCGTGGCTTAGTCATGAATCAGGAATTACAAGCAGCTTCGATTTATGTCGCACAATTAGCAAATGAACAATATGCAGCAAAAGTTAGTGATTGGATCGCTTACGATATGGTTTCACAAGATATTATTAATAGATGGGTATATCCATTAGTTCCAGACATGGGAGTTTGCTTGTTAAAGCAACAATACTTGTTCCTTAAGAATAATATTTACAGAAATAATTCAGTTAAAACTGAGCGAAATTGTGTGCTCAAAAATGATTTAGTTCTACAAGAAGGTTGTAATATTGGTGATAAATCTGTTCTGTCCCGATGTGTTCTTGGAAAGAATTGTACGATTGGAAAGAACTGTACAATTCAAAACACTTATATCTTCGATAACGTGACAATTGAAGATAACTGTATCCTCAAGAATTCTATAATTGGATCAAATGTAAAGGTTCATTCAGGATGTTCAATCACGGAAGGAAGTGTAGTTACTAATGATTGTGTCATTACAACTAAGAACATTAAAGGATGGCTTATACAGTCACAAATTCCAGAACAAGATGATTATTCTGTCGACACTTTTGAGAAACTTAATGATCATGCTTATATGCTTAAGGAAGAGACACCACAAGCAATTGATTCAGAGGATGATCTAGACGATGAAAATAATGACTGGCAAAACTATATAAAGCTTAAGCAACAATCCCCACATTATGAATCGAGTAATTATAGCTCAAGAAATGAAAGTGATGATGAAGAAAATGAAGCAGAAATGCCACAAGAAGATTCTCATGTGTTCTTCACAGAAGTATCTGACTTGCTTAAACGTGGGCTTGAAGAAAAATCGGATCCTGACAATCTCATTTTAGAAATTAATTCCTCTCGTTTTGCCAATCACATGCTGTTGAATGAAGTAAATTTTTATGTCGTTAAATCTGCTTTGTGTCTAACACTCGTCCAAGAAACTGTTGATCCATTAGAAGGATTCAAGGAAGTCTATAAACATCTCGAAAAAGTCATTAAGAATTACATAAAAGGAGATTATGCAATGATCGATTGCCTTAATGCAATTATCGAATGCTGTGAAGAGTACGAACAATCCAAGCCAAAATTAATGAAACTCCTTCATTTCTTGTACAACGAAGATATTCTTTCAGAGGAAGTGATTTTATCATGGTACGAAGATAATGAAGTCGATTGGATCAAGAGATCTTTAAAGAAATTCATTGAATGGCTTCAACAAGAAAGCGAGGAATCCGATTCTGATTAGATTATTTTAATGTACACATAATTTTTAATTTTAAACAATAAAATAGCACTCGTGTTAATGCAAGTTCCTTGACTCTTACTTAATTAATGATTTTATTATTAAAGGCGCTTCTTGTTTTTTTTCAGCAATTTCTGATGACATTTTTAACTTGTTCCGATTGTTTACAAATTGAAATTTTAATATTTCTTAAAAATATATTTAATTATGTATCGATTTGGAAGGATCGTGTTTGCAAACTACAGACGGTTTAATAATTTAAGGAATCAAGTAGAGTTTGCGCCCAAGAAATTCAATTTAAAGTCACCAATTAAATTTATTTCTGGAGCTTCAATATTTTCATATTTTGGAAGTACAAAAACCGATGAAAAGCTGGAAAATGAGGAGGAATCGGAACTGATTATGACAATGAAAAGAGGCATTTTGTCAGTCATGAGATCAGAATATGATAAGGCGGAGCAGTTGTATCATTTAGGTATTAAACTATTTTTGTTCCTGTAAGTTGTTGAATAACATTTCGATTTTATTTTTCTAGCACTAAGGAATGCACAGAGTGTCAATAATGAGCCTGCTGTTACATACATTTATGATCTAATGGCTAATTTAGCTTATGAATTGGGTCAGTTACCAAAAGCAGAGAAATTGTTTGTTTCTGTCATGCAAAGATTAATGGAAAAGGATAAAGCAGAGGAAGACGATATTCGACTTTTGCACATCTCGTCAAAAATAGCACATATAGCATATCAACAGGAAAATTTTGATAAAGCACTAGTCGGATATCAGTATGTACTTGAAAAGATCCAGAAACGAGATTATCTTAATGAAGAAAATTACCATGAATTGTATGGAATGGTTAAGAATCTAATTGGACAGGCATTTATAGCTATGAACAAGTATCCAGAAGCAAAAGTAGCTTTAGAGGAAGCTCATGTAATTTTTAAAAAGTACAAAGATGAAATGACTGATGACGGTGTCATTTTGCTTAATAATCTAAGTTGTGTATGTGCTGAATTAAAGCAATACGAATCGTCACTAAGGTATCTTAATGAGGCAATAGAAATCGCTAAAAAGATTGAAATAGATGATCTTTCACCGTATCATATTAATTTGGGCATGCTGTATCTGAAACAAAAACTGATAGAGAAAGCAAGAGTATCTTGTAGCATGGGATGGAAACTGGCATCAAAATATGAGAACAAAGAAGCAATTAAAGCAGCCGAACGTTGTTTAGATGAAGTGAAAAAGGCAACATCATAGATTGGCAAATGTGATGTACATTTAATTTTATATTTTGAAAAACTGTATGTGTAGAACAACATAATTTGAATTATTATATATGTATATGATTACATTCAACCTGTCTTACTATCTTATTGACATATTTAACTTTTAATAGTTATTTACTCAATTGCAGTAATGAGAACCATCATTAAGACTCCTAGCAATAGAGCAAAAATCTCCTTTAATGACTGCCACAATTTAGTATTTTGTTCGAGAAGTTCTGGAATGACACTAACTGTAGCAATATAGATAAATCCTCCTGCTGTGAATGGAAGAATCCATGGTGAAGATTCTTCTGAAGTACCAAGCAATGCAAGAACATTTCCAGCTAAAGCACCAAGCGCTGTTGTTAATTGAAGAAGCATTGCCTTCTTTTTAGAACATCCAGACTTGATAAGAATAGCAAAATCACCAATTTCATGTGGAACTTCGTGTAATAAAATTGTAATCGTTGTCACAATTCCAATGCTATTTCCAGCAAGATATGAGGCACCAATAGCTAAGCCATCAGTAAAATTATGTGTAAAATCAGCAGCTAAATTCAAATATCCAGCTACTTCCATAGTTGTTTCAGCACTCTCCTTCTCCTTCTTCTTATTGTCTTTTTCACCCTTCTTATCGCCTTCCTTTTTCTTAGTTAATTCTTTCTTCTCTGATTCCTTTTTCTTATTTTCACCTCCTGAATGACTATGTCCATGATGATCATGACCAATTTTTAATATGCGAACAATTTTCTCAACAGTCAAGAATGTTATAATTCCAGCAAGTACCCATAGCCCAATAAACATATCATGTCCATGTTCATGCGAATGTTCGTGACCTGAATGACTTTCATGACTGTGAACGTGTTCAGTATGAGAATGCGAGTGATCATGTGGAGCTACAGCATGTGGAATAAGATGCAAAAATGCATCACCTAAAAGTCCACCACTTGCAAATGCCAGTAAAGTTTTAAGCCTTGGTTGCATGTCTTCTGTATTATCGAGTGGAACTAAGTACAGAATGAAGAATGGCGCAGCACTAATCAATAAAGTTGAAGTCAATGAATGCAGCCAGATATTGAATGTATCTGAAAAATGTTATTAGGAAGTAAGAATGATAAGAGAGTGGTATTACATTGTAGATAAGGTAAACAGCAGTTCTGTCAAAAAAATGTACATATTTGCTCTAATTAAAGAAAGATTAATTTACCTGTATTTGACTGCACTTTTGGAATTTGTTTTTGTTCTTCTTCATGATGGTGATTGTCATGTGCATGTCCATGACTGTCGTGGGTATGTCCATTATTCTCATGAGTATGTCCATGACTAGCATGATGATTATGTTGAGCCTTAATTTCTTCGTTGGCTTGTCGAGAATACTTGAAACTTGGTTGCTGTTCGTGGTCGTGTTCGTGATGATGATGTTGATGCCCATGATGATTTTGATGTGCTGTAATTAAACTTGTGCCTAAGATTACGGTTAGCACTAAGAATATCAAGCTCTTCTGGATCATTTTAGTCTGTTTCAAACTTAATTCACTTAATTATTAAAAATCAATTCTTTAATCATTAAAGATGTTTAAAACAGTGACTCTCTTTTTTCGATCTACGTATACAGTAAGAACAAAAGTATTGAAAGTCTATTGTAAGCGTGTTTGATGCCTAAAAGATTTAGTAGCAGCATATACTTTTTGCGTTTTATCTTCGGACTTTTTCCACTTTGAGAAAGACACGTCTATAAATAAAGCAATCCACAAGTTTTGACACACGATTCTTAATGCCGGTACTGAATGCTCTGAATTCTAAATAACTTTAATCTAAATGTCAACAATTAGCAAACTCATGAACTTGTATTATGCTTAATATTAAAGAAACTTTTATGTTTCTGGATGTTTATGTTGGAATCTTTAGCATTAAAATGTTTCTGGACGTACTCAATGCAACAAGTTGCTGCTGTAGTAAACAATCGGGAAAAAGCTTTCTTGAATTATGTTTTATTCCAAATTACAGTAAATTAAAAGCAATAATTTTGGTGCTTTTACAATCATTTCTGTGCAATTTTTATGTGTGACCCAAATCATTATGCTGACACAGCTCTTTTGACTGTTCTATCCAGTTAACGATATTATAAAATTGTGATTTGATTTGTATAATATTTGAGGTCGCTGAAAATTCATTTACTAAAAATGGAACCTGACGAAAGACAGTTGTTTAACAATGAAACACCAAGCAACAAAGATGATCGGATCTCGAAAAAAGTGAAAATGATCGATTTGCTTCCGCAATTAGCAGCTAGTTGCTTAATGTATTCACTTGTCATTCAAGCAGGCATTAACATGTCATTTGCATCGGTATTAATTTCGCAATTGGGCGATGGAAATGAAATAAAAATGGATACAAAAACTGCATCAATTATCGGGTCAATCTGGTCGATTTCATTGCCTTTTGGTGCTATTTCCTCTGGATTTCTAATGGATAAATTTGGTCGACGAAAGATTGGAATGTTTCTTTGTGTTCCCTTTTTCCTCGCGTGGATTTTAGTAAGCGTGTCACAAAGTCTTACTCAAATTTATTTAGCGAGAATATTGGCTGGAATATGCTGTGGATTAACAGCAGTCAGTGTAGTTTACAGCGCAGAAATCAGCTATAAAACATTTAGAAGCTCCTTATTATGCATGAATTCAGTTTGGGTGTCTTTCGGAATTTTCTCAACTTATCTACTTAATTATTTTCATTTAAACTGGCGATTTATCGGATGGATTTATGCCATCGTATCACTTTCATCAATGATTCTAATTCTTATTGTCCCGGAATCACCTCATTGGATATTGTATTTTAATAGTAAGTCATCAGACGAACAAAAGTATTCGCAATTGAAATCATGTGTTGCATGGATTTATCGAAGTCCAAAGGTAGGTATCCAGCAGATGAATTACTGATTAAATTCTCACGATATGTCAATTCACAGATTGCATCCGTACAATATGACGAATTAATTCAGAATTATGAGAGACATAATGAGGAACAGAGAACAAATCAAAATGAACAACAGCATTGGATAAATGGCATCAAACTGCCTCAGGTCTATAAGCCATTAAGTATTCTCATCATATTATTTCTGTTACAACAGCTGTCGGGAGGGTATATCCTCATTTTCTATACAATAAATATATTCAGAAACTTGGGCAATGAATTTTTGACGACTGTCGATGAAAATTTAGCATCCTTATTGCTTGGAACGATTCGATTAATCATGGCTATTATTGCTGCTGTTTTATCACAAAGGTGCAATCGTAAGACATTGCTGTATGCTTCAACAATTGGAATGACATTATTTGCATATATGGCAGCTATTAAGATGTGGAACAGTGATCATGCTGGACACTCATTCTTCTCAAAAAGTTCTAATACTTCTCAAGTTGTGCCTTTGGAAACTGAAGCATCGAATTTTGGAAATTACTTCCTTCTAACCTGCATTCTTGCTTATATTCTTTTTGCATCTTTGGGTATCTTGATTATTCCATGGACATGCATCGCAGAACTTTATTCTATCAAGTATAAAGCAAGTTTTGGTGGATTAACAGTCGCCATTGCTTACATTCTTATGTCTGCGGTGCTTAAAATATTTCCCTTTATGATTGACTCTCTTGACATTTACGTAATATTTTTCATATTTGGGACATCAAGCTTATTATGCTGTATATTTGTATATTACTTCTTGCCCGAAACACACCGCAAAACATTTTCAGAAATTGAAAATTATTTTATAGGTAGGAATCAGTAGGATTTAGTTCCAATTATAGAAATTGGTTAGACTGCTTAAGTAATATTGGATTCAAGGCAGTTACGGAATAAAAAATTAGATTTGTATTTATTGGTATTTATGGCAAGCTATTGTGTTTTTATTAAGTACATTTTAATACAAAGCATTTCAGTTCCTTTATCGAGTATGCGCTTCAATCATCCAAGTACACGTGCTTCCTCTAAACAGGCAAGATGCTTGCTCAATATTAAATCACCTACATGCATTGAAAAATCTTTGGGGCGTTTTGACTTTCTTCCTTGTAACATTTAATGACTTTTTTGGATCAAATAAAGGAGGAGTGAGTGGATGATATTCGTGCAATATGTTTTACCTGTGAGAAATGATGTAGAAGTGCTTACATAATGCTGAGCTCAGCAAAAAAATATCAAACTATTCACATGTCATGCACTTTCATTTCCTACCTACTTGAATTATTTTAATGGGAAGAGTAAAAATCTGGAATATGGGCTCATCAATTAATGACGTCTATGGAATGGTTGAAATTTAGTAGTCGGGTGAAAATCAAAATTGACAGCATGCAAAGAATAATGAACGTCATTACCAAATAATCCCATGAAAAAGGAGGAGGGGGATATGAAAAAATGAAAAATCATTGCAATGCTACATAAATATAAATGTTTAGTAATTTATAGCGTCTGCTTCAGGTGTACTATTTCTGACTTAAAAAAATGATGATGCATTGACATGGAAGAGAAATTGAATGTAATAAATTATTCTCTCAACATACAGGATGGAATGAATGAATGAATCAAGGAGATATGTTTTATTCACAGGAGGTTCTTTTGTTGAAAATTTAATCTATTTGATGTTCCTTTTCAAATTTTCTAAATGATTCGTACATACAAGTTTTTATGTCTTATGATTCACAAACATCAACTTTCATTTTATATGTTTCTAGGTCTGAAAATTCTTCTCGCTTGAAAAATTAAAGGTTTGAGAGGGTGCTGCAGAGTGTCAATCAAGTAGAACGGTGACCTATCGAATTGAATGATGTACTATATATGGGTTTTTTGTGCTATTTTGTGAAAGCAGAAAAATAATTTTTTTAAATTTTGTGAAGTTGCCAGTTCCGAGATATGAGCATTTGAAATTCGACCTAGGGCCGATTTTTTACTTTTAACACTTTCGACTGTAGATAAAAATCTTTTGTATATTTCAATGAATAAAAAAAAACATTTGCACAAATTACTGACCAAGTTTGAACAATTTTCGTCAAGCTTTGTCAGATTTACAGTCGAAAGTGTTAAAAGTAAAAAATCGGCCATGGGTCGAATTTAAAATACTCTTATCTATTATTATTCTGCTTTCACAAAATAGCACAAAAAACCCATATATATATATAGTACATCACTAAATGCGTTAGATCACCGTTCTACTTTATTGACACTGCTGCAGATTACTTTTATTATCTTTCCCGAACATACAATGAGTATACTCAGAGCACATTATTTGTGAGCTTGCAAACTTTTGTGAGATCATGGAATAAAAATGTATTCTAAGTTCGATTTTAAGTTGGTCGACATTTTTGAAAATGTCATATAGATATAATTATGTTCATTATATGCTCATGAGTATGTTTAGGAAGTGTATTCATAAGAGTAAATACCCATGAGTATGTTCTTAATATTCCCATAAGCATGTTCAGTAAGTGCACTCATACGAGTATATTCACATAAGTATGTTCTTAATATTCTCATCAGTACACTCGTTGAAAGTACTCACGTGAGTTTATAAATTTTTTGCAAAAGAAATAAAGTGAGTACATTCGTAATGAACTCCTGAGCATGCTCAATTGAATGAGCTTGCATGAGTATAATTTTTGAGTAGACTCACTCATTTTGTATGTTCGGGTTTTAATTTTAATAAACATTTGCTTTCATTTGAATAATTCTTATCACAATATGAATCTCTTGATTTTACATTTATAAAGAATCTTTTAAAATCAAAGCAATCATTGCTTTTTTCTCATTTCTTAATTTTCATAAAATTTGAATCATTTAGCTGATAAAATATATCTTTAGGAAAAATGGATACCAATCCTACTGATGAACTTTACATTCCTGAACAAAACGTAACTTTCAAAACCTTTCCAATCGTCTGTAGAAATTCAACAGGTGAGTAAGTAGTTTTAAATTCAATAGTGAGAGATCCAAACTGTTGTGTAAATCTTAGTTTGTCTATTAATGCTGAAATCTAAAAAGAGACTTACTTGAACTAGCTGTAATATTCTTTAATTTGGTTAAATGAAAGATCGTTGAATCCTTCTCAAAATCTAGTGCACTAAAATTCTGATTAAAATTCTAGAATCGAAATGATAGAATTCGAATTCGAAACTAAGCAGTTCCGCTAGTTCCATTACGTCCATATTGGACCATAGCTCATATTTCACTTGATAATGGAGTAATTTTCCATTTTTTGTTCAGTTCCTGTTGAAACATCAAGTTATTGGTAAAATTTCAAGAAAGAATTTCAATTACAATTTCAGAATTGATTCGTTCAATTTAAATTCTGATTCTAGGATCGAAATAGAATTGGAATTGAAATCAAATTTTATTTAAATTCTCAGAGGTCGAAGCGAACTTGGTTCGCTTCGCTAAAAATTCAACTTGCCAAAGTCGAACTGTAGCGAGAAAAAAGCAGATACAAATTGCACCTGGACTTAAAAACCTCACGTGCAGTTTATAAGTCCAGGGGCAAATAAAGCTGGAATTATAAACTGCACGAGAGGTTTTTAAGTCCAGGTACATTTTATAGGGTTTGGGACTTTTGCCCACTCTACATATGCCCCACTGGAACATTAGCCCACTCGTATATTCGCCCACTGTAGAGTTGATAAATAATAATAATAATAACAATCCTTTATTTTAATTGATGGAACATTTTTGGCGGAACAATAAGAAAATTTTTTTTTTTTTTTCATTTTTTCAAAAAAAGAAAATTATTTTGATATTAATCAAATTTTGTTATGAGTAGAATTGAAAAGTAATAGAAAGAAGTGAACTAGTAATGCAATGAGGTTTGTCCAAAAAAAAAATAAAAGTTACAAAAAGACCAATATTTGTTTAAATAAAAGTAATATAAAATAGAAAAAAAAAAATGCTAGTTAATAAATTGTGAGGACTTAATGAAAAGTTTCGGTAGTTTATGTTTTACTCGAAAACCCAGTGAGTCGTTATTGTATTGGCCTAATGAAGAAAATAGATCTTTGGAATGATTTACAACTTTGGCATAAAAGTTGTCAGTTAGACGAGAAGTAAAATCAAAAATTAACGGAACTTTCGCTGAATCATGAATCTCTCTGGTTTATTGAAAGTCATACCAGTTAATGTTTAAGATCATACGAAGCAGTTTATTTTGGAAAAGTTGGAGCTTTTTAACATGGCATTCAGCAGCATTATGGAAAATAGGGCAGCCTTAAGTCAGAATGGGTCTTATGTAGGACTTGTAAATTCTAAGTTTTGAATCAGTTGATGCAAAGGAATTTCTACTTAAGAGGCAGTACAGACTGGAGAAACTAGTGGCACTGGCTTTGATAACTGCGCGCTCGATGTGATGTTTGACAAGACCCAAGTATTTCACTGAGTCTTTCCAGTCGAATGTTTGTCCATTGAAAGAAATTGAATCTCCTCTTAGTTTCTGGATCATTTTAGTTGACTTAGTGAAGACAGTGATTAGACATCAAATATATATGAAAATGCTGATTGACAGACAACATAAGCAGAACGACCATGAAGATATGATTGTAAGAGTTTGATGAGATACATAGGATAATCAAACTTGATCAACTTATAAATTAAATCATCATGCCAGACGCTATTAAAGGCTTTACGTAAGTCTAGTAAGACCATTCCGGTGCTTTTGTTTTTGTTGAAACCAAAAGATACTTGCTCGGTAATTCTGAGAATTTGATGAATCGTCGAGTGATTTTGTAGAAATCCACATTGTTGTTTAATGAAAATGTTGTTCTCGAGCTCAAAGTCGTTTAGACGCATCAGGACAATCTTTTCGAAACATTTACCAAGGCATGAAAGAAGGGAAATAGGACGAAAATCATCGAAAGAATTACAATTTTGCTTTTCCTTAGAGACTGGCATGATTTTAGCAATTTTCCAGCATTTCGGTAAGTACGATAGTTTCATACAGGCATTGATAAGTTTAGAACAGAGCGAGATGAATTGAGTAGAAGAACCTAGAGCTTTCAAAACACAATTAGGAATCTTATCATGGCCAGAAGCTTTGCGAGGATTTGAAGATTGCATGACATATTTGACATCTTCAGTAGAGATCAGGTCGAAAGAGGGATATTGGATGTCTGATATTGATTGAATAGCGCTGCTGACTAATCCTTCAAACTTTGAATGTGAATTCTGTGCTGCATTAAAAGAAGACTGAAATGATCGAGCAAATGCATCTGCTTTATTTTTGTCCGAGAAATGAGTTCCAAAATTATCAGCAATTGGAGGAATGGAGCTTTTCTTCCTCTTAAGAGATTTAGCAAAACGAAAAAGAGAGTTATTCTTGAACGATAACGAAAGCCATTTATATTCGAATGCAATTTTTTTCTCACGAACGACTTGCTGCCTGATCATTCTATTTAATAAGTTGACTGAGGATTTAAGAGCAGGATTTCGTGAGCGTTTGTAGAGATTCCGGAAGTGATTTCGATTTTTAATCAGAACATTGACCGAGTTGGAATATTTATATCGCAAAAGGAGGGGATTTTTCCTTGCAGCTGTGGATAAAATTGAAGCGATGGAATCGACACAACTATCTATGACATCATGCGACAAAAGATCAAGATGGTGATGATCAGATGATAAGTCATTAATCACTTCAATTGGACTAAGGGATGCAAAATTTTTTGCAACAACGAAATCGACAACTGAAGGTTCACCACTACACGGATAAAGTGTAGGTTCATAAGGCTTTGAGATCAAGTAATTATAGCTGTTCAGCAAGTGCAATAAGTCAGTGCCTTTACGATCATTAGAGATGTTGTTCCATTCCAAATGCTTGCAATTGAAATCACCAGCAACAATGTGAGGAACAGTTTGTGACAGTACCTTGTGAAAAAAAGCATGAGATTGTGCACGTGAGGCACTAGGAGAGCAGTAGATTGAGGAAATTCTTACAGCCAAACTGTCAAGATGAACGAATATTGAACATGATTCGGCATAATCAAAGTTCAACTTAGTAAAACCAAAATGTGGGATAACAGAACGAATAAATATAGCAACACCTCCACGAGATCGATCAGATCTGTATGAGGTAAAACCGGGAATATCGAAAAACATATCATTAGTGAGCCATGAAAAAAACCTACTATGATCCAAATCAAAAATGCTTTAAATTGCATTTTGAAACATAT